ATTTTTTTTAAAAAAAAAGAATGGTAGAGATGCAAAAGAGAAATGTTGCTTTGTTCTCTTCTTTTCTTGAAATTTTGTTTTTAGTGTCCTCCATGTTCTTTATTCTCCCCTCTATTACCTACCAAATGGTTGTTACCTTGAAAGGGAATTAAAGTTAAAGCATCATCTTTTTTTATTGTTAGGACACTCACATCCTTTTTTTTTTTCTTATCTTTTATTTTTTCTATTTTTTTCTCCTATTAGTATTTTTTATAATTATAATTATTAATCCTACCATCAAACCATAGAAAATTTGCACTTTGAATCACATTATTTTTTAGTTAACATTTTGAATTTATTTGTATTGTAGTCACTGAATAATAATAATAACTTAATTACTGATTACTAAATTTTTCTGTTGGCACCACCTTTGCATGGTAACAAAATGGCAAATCAAACTATAGAGCCAGTAGATGAAAGGCTTTCTTTTATTTTTTGTACTAAGAAAGTATCTGAAAAGTGTGCCTGTGAAAGAGAGAGTTCGTAGAAGTGAATGATTATTAATGTTTAAAGAAGTTTGAGTTTCCATTTGTTTTTTTTTTTTTTTTATTTTTTTTTTTTTTTTTTTTTAATTTGATAATTTTTTTTTTTGAGAAGGAAATTTGATCATATTTTTAGCATTTAATAGAAATCGTTATATTTTATATTTGAATCATTTTATTATATGAAAATTATCAACGTAATTGTAATCAAGTTAAATTTGAGAGTTTTCAAAATAAATTACTTAGCGGAATTTTTTTTTTAAATAGAAAAAATAAAGTAAAGAGTAGATGAAATTGAGAGCGTGGATTTGAGTGATCCCATAAAGACACAAAACGCATGCTTCTTAAGTTTAATGCCGCATGAGTAAAGCGAACCTCATAAAGCTTTTCTGTCTCTCCGTCTCTGCTATTCAATCTCACGGCTTTTTTTTTTTTTTTTTTTTTTTTTTTTTTTCTTTTTTCCTTTTTTTGTATCGCTACTCTTTCTTCCATTCTGTGCAATTTCCAAAATGTGATCAAAGTATATAATTATATAATTAAATATAATATAATCAGAAAAATATATATTGGGACAATATTTGTTTTGAATATTTGTATAAGTCATATAAATTTGCAAAAAATTTCAAATATATATATAGACAAAAATATATATTGGGACAATATTTTGTTTTGAATATTTTAAATCATATAAATTTGCAAAAATTTCATGCGGGATAGTAGATTATATATTTTCAGACAAATTTTACTTCCAAACATTTCAAATCTGAAGTGGTAACTATTAGACTCAGGTGCATTGAGCAAGTATTCAATACCTCTATTTATCTAAATATTGGTGGGTTTATTTATAAACTCAAACGGTGTACGGCAACAGTTTTTTAAATAATTTTTAGTTTTAAATAGTTTTTAGTGTTTTGATTAAATGTTATTTTTTATAGTATTCGATAATATAATATTTGAATTAGCTTTTAAAAATTAAAGTAGCATTTTATAAAAAGTTAACTTATATAATTTTTAACTCTTAACGTTTCATGAAAAATTATTCAAATATTAGCACATACTTGCCGAACAACTATCAAAACAGCCGGTTGTGGTCTATTTTTGCCATAGGTAAACATCTCGTTTCAACAATTTCACCGTCTTGTTTATTACAACCTATACATTAGCATCGACCTACCAATTTCATATCGCGTCCAAGCACTTTCTTCAAACAATTTCTTCAAATAAATATATTTATATCATTCAAGAATATTTTAGAATTTAATTTAATTTATTGGTGTACAAGAAAAGTTAAACAAGAAAGAAGAGTATTAATTTTTTTTACAGTCCAATCATTATTACACTGAAAAAAAGAAAAAAAATTACAGAAAATCTCACAAAGAGCAGCAGCCAAGATCCTGGTGGTCGGTCACAAGAGCTATGCTTTTTTTTTTTTTCTTTGTTTCTTTAAGCACATACTTGTCTTTGCCATTTCTGAATCCATTAATTGCAGAAGCAGCAGCAAGTGCTGCTTATGGCTGATGAGACTTTACACTAGTGAGTAACTTCTTCCTGTAATAAAGGCACTTTAACCTATAAAAGCAGTAAAATCACATTGCATGAAAACAATGCTAAATGATTAGTATATGGAAGATCAGTTTTCACCTATTAATTTGCTAGAATGAGCGTTTAGTCAGTGTAATTTCAACCAAACCCGAAAACGGTTTATTTGGTAAAATTAATTAGTTTTTATAATTTTCATAAAACACTAAAAGTTAAACGTTGAAAGGGTTAACATTCTATAAAACGTTATCTTCATCTCTAAAATTAGTTCAAACACTATTATGGAACATTTTAAAAAATAATATTCAGTGTTTTAACACAACTACTTAAAAAGTTATTGTCAACCACAGCTGAAATCAAACAAATTAATTTTTGATATAACAAAAATTAAAATAAACCAAACTGTTTAGATAGTTGAATAGACAAAACTGATTTGGCTCGATTTCAATTTTGAACTAATTTTTGGGTTGAATAAGTTTGATCTTCACTATCTTTTAATCTTTTTAGTTGTATATACTAAAAATTGAACCAAACCTAAAAAACTTTCCGTTTTTCTCTATTAAAACTGAAATCCAACCGAATTTTTTAAAAATTGAATGACATTTATCAAATTGACCAAATTGGTAAAAAATTTTACATCGGAGGGGGAGAAACCTCTCACTTTTTATATCTTTTACTTAAAATAGAAAGATTAATTAAACCACACTTATCGATTAGGGTTTAATTTAATTAAAAGCTTCAAATCACTAGTTAAAAATTGCTTTTGTATTTTGGGGAATGATGTACTACTGGAGTAGATAATGAGAGGGAAGGAGAAAAATGAAACGTGCAAGGAAAGTTGATTGAAGTGAATTTTTGGGATTATTGATAGTACTCTTTGCAGCAGGAGAAGCTTTTTTTACATTTTTACAGACAATTACTTTTACCACTGTTTTTTCACATGAGCAACAAAGCTTCTACCAGACTTGAAAGATTTCTGACTCTATGTTTCTTTCTCAATAGAGATCTGATCATCCACAGTCTGCCATCCACAAATCAAATTTCCTTTTTTTTTTTTTTGTTTTATTTGTTTTTTCATATATTTATATATTGCGCTGTAATATTTTGGCATTGAAAATAAATATAATCTTGCAGTCTTGATGAGTTTACCAAAGTCACAAACAATAACAGTACAAATTCTGAAATTCAGATAGTAAATAAACTTGAAACACTTTTAAAAGTCTCACTTATATACATTACATGCAAAATCTGGAGTTTAAACTATGGAGTCGCCATGTTAAGAGGATTTGATCTCAATAGGACTCCATACCCAAAAGTAGGAAATTGTATATTAAATTTTTTTTTTTTTTTTAAAAAAAGTGATTTAAGTGATAAGATATATTTAAATTCAGCGGAGGACTTTTGCAAGATTAAAATTTTAATTCGTAGAAAGAAACACTAATGGAGAAGCAGAACAACAAATCTATTAGTTTCACTCCAAGAAGATTATGGAGATACTTGTGAAAAATCAAAATAAATAAAAAAAAATAGTTAAAGAAAGAAAGAGAGAATTTTTTTGACTAAAAGTATAATATTTTCAACAATGTATTTTTTTTTTTCCTTGACAACAGTTGAAATAGTAATACGATCAAACACCCATTTTTAATCTAAAAGAAAAAAAAAAAAGACGAGGCTATGCTTGTGTTTAACTGGAAAAAGGGCTAGAAATAAACAAGTAGCTGAGGCTGTATGAAACTGTGCTCCTCGGTTTAGGTTAGATTAGATTAGGTTCTCTTTCTCTTTCTCTTTCTCAGTGCTGAAAAGATAAGTACAGTATGGTGTTCTTGAAGCTATTATCACTATTTTTGGTTTGATTGCCTAATAGTTCGCAACTGCAGATTTGACACTTAACCCTAATTCAAAAAAGTGACAGCAGAACTAAATAATCGAGGAAACCAAATATTAAGGACCAAGTATTATACCTTTAAAAAACAAAGAACGAGCGATTAATTTTGACATAACATAGCAATGTAGTAGCAAATTTCCCTAATAATATTTACCCTTCAAAATTCTAAAATACCATCACCTGTCCTTTTTCTTTTTTTCCTTTTTTTTTGCTTTAATGTCTGTAACTTTATTGGTCATATTTGAAGAAACCATAGTTAAGAACAATTTAAGGTACTAACAACATTATTTTTACGGCAAGAGAAAAAAAAAATCAGAGGAAAAAGGATAGGCCTAAACTCTAATAAAAGCACTTTATAGAGAGTTATTATTCAATAGCTTTTGAGTAAATGGGTTTCTAATAACTTTAGAACTTTGAACTTCAGATAAGGGATAGAATTTCTTGAAAATAAATTTCATTAATGGCTTGACATAACATTATAATACCTGAAATACCTGTTATTGAACGAATAGATAGAAATCATCAAATGCCCGAAACGATATTACAATTTTCAACACAAATCATCAATACCTGGCTAATTCTTTTATTTGTAAAACTCTTTAGGAAAAATGACATCGACCACTTAAAAAAAAAACAGAAAAAAAAGCATATTTAATCCTTAATGCTTATCTAGATTCCAGATTATTATTTAGTAGCTATTAACCACGAGTGTAATCAACCACCATCGATTGAACAAAAAGAACCCTAAACACGAGTACACCTAATACCACATTGCACAAATGCGCAAGAACTGAACCAGAGAGCACAAGCATAATCTATCGCACCAATCACAGTAGTTTGTAACATCAAGCAGGATAAATTCAGCATTAACGATATCGCATAAACTGTTTTTCAAAATGCATTCATAAAAGGGAAATGGAAAAAAAAAATAGAGAAAAAAAAAAAAAAAAAAAAATAAAACGTTTTTTTCATAAATTGACATTCAATAAAAGGAAAGTGGAAAAAAAAAAAAAAAAAAAAAAAAAAAAAGGAAAATGAAAATATGGCATGCTATGTGACCAAGAAAATGAAGCACAGCTAACATATTTTATAACAAGAAAAATCTATCCTCCAGGCAATATATTCCTAGATGACCACTTCTATATAAGAATACTGGCTCTGCAGTAAGGAAATCTGTTTACTCGAGTAAGCAGCAAGGTAGGAACATATTTCTTCATCCTAAAGTGCGTTTTTGTCATGTATGTGTAAATACCAAAACATTTGAAGGAGCAATTCTGCCATCACTCCATTTGGTAGCCATTGTAGGATGGTAAATCTCAATCTTTAATAAACATTTTTCTGAACTCATCATTGGACTTTGGCTTCTCATCTCCCTCTTCAACAGGTTTAGGTTTGTTTGCGGTAAAACCAAGTGGCCTCACATTTCGCGGCACTAAAAATGTGTTCTTCCCTTTGAGCTGGATGTTGTCATCCTGCTTACGAGCTGCGAACTTTTGGTTGTCTGTTGTCTCCTTGGAAGCTTCAGTTGACACTTTAGATGCAGATTCTCTATTGTTTCCACCTGGGTCAGTAGAATGTGTTGCTAGTTAAGCAAAGGAAGCACTAAGCAAGATAAAAACTGTAGACGCAAGCAAGCATGCAGCAAATACCCAAGACAGATGATAATAGAATGCATAGAGTGCAAGTACATTTGCATAACATTGATGAGTGCCTTTTTGGTGCATAATCCAGTAGTACGAGAAGAACTAATCGATGTTATTAAACTTGAGTAATATACCATGTTAATTGGATGAAGCTACATGTATCTGATATAAGAACATCGTCCAGTTTGCCAATAAAGGGTTAAAGTGAAAAAATTGCGAAAGCAACCCTAGATCCAAATTAAGATGTGTGATGGAGATCCCTATAGTTATCAATATCTTCTGAACCTGAACTTTGTTCTACTGACCAAGAATCTGTACACTAAAAGAATTTCACCAATTATACCCTTTGAATTTAATTTCCCCACCCTAAAATATAAATCTCTCTCACAATATAGCAACATGGTTTCATCTAGATGATCAGATATAGAAATGTACTCCAAAAAAAATTTGAAAGCATTTATTAACAAATTCCAAAATCTAACAAAATTGCACACCCAAACCCACATGCTTGTGCACATTCCTGCACATACATACAGTAAAATGCAAGGAAAAGATATAAAATAAATCATTCAACTTACTTTGTTGCTTTGAAAAATTCCGACCACCTTTTTTCCCTTTAGGATCTGACCGTGCAATGCTCAGTTTCTTCCCAAGTAACATCTGCCTGTTCTTTGCTATGGCTGCAGCAAGGCATTCATCATCCGAAAAGTCCACATATGCCAGTCCCTTCACAAAATCAACATAATGTGGGCAATGGTTAAACAACTCCTCACATGAATACACAAAAAATCGGATGGGCTAAAAACCAGGTCGGACCGGACAAAACTGGACAGACCTGGGAATCGGCAAAACCGGTACAAACCGGGTTTTTAAGGCACAGCGTCATTTTTCTTAAAACCTATCAGTACTCTGATTTCCATTTCCTTTCTTCTCTACTGCAAACCTAAAATCTCTCCCTCATATCTCTGATCTCACTATCTCCTCTACAAATCGAAGAAACAAAGTAGAGATTGGGACTTCAATTGGGCTACTGAAGGTGAGTTTTCAGAGTTTTCATTCCATTGATAGTAGAATTTGATTTGTTTATTGAAGAATGAAGACAACAATTGTTTATGAATTTGATTGAACATGAGCATAATCTGATAATACTCTTTGAGTAAGGATATGATTATAGAAGGTTTACGTATTTTTTTTTTTCCATAAAAGTTGGGTGATTGAATGAATAACCCATATTATGTTTAATTTCTGCTATGCACATAACGTGCTTGAAGAAATATCTAGGTGGAATTTTGAATTAGCTTATGCTATGAACTATTGGACTTCAGCATAAATTGATCAGAGTCAGTAAAATAAAAACGTTGGAAAATTGAATTGATAAAAAATCAATAAAACGAAAACGTTAGCATAAATTCATATACAGTAGGACTATTTCTCTCAAAATATACATTATTCTTAATTAATTTTGTACCATTTTCTCTTTTGGTTTTGATTATTAAGCTGATAAAGCCCACTTCTACGTTAGCTGAGTATGCACATAATCTGCCTCTGGGAACCCATGTGCTTAGCGAACAGCCTGCTGGTTTGAATGAGTGGCTTCCATGATCTGCGAGGGGTGGCCTATTCTAGGCTTGTCTAGTGTTTTTCCCTTTATTGCCAAAAAAAAAAAAAAAAATCCATGATCTGCGAGGGGTGGCCCTATTCTTAGGCTTGGTCTAGTGTTTTTCCCTTTAATTGCCAAAAAAAAAAAAAAAAAGCCACACTTCTACATATGCAATCTGTTAGTAGATTTATTTGTAATCTCTAATATATATATATATAAGTTAAAGTCACTTGCAAAAAAAAAAAAAAAAAAGCACACTTCTACATATGCAATCTGTTAGTAGATTTATTTGTAATCTCTAATATATATATATATAATTAAAGTCACTTGCTCAGTTGCTTATCTTGAGTAAAATTGCTATAAATTTAGATGTTTACTTATATTGGATATTGATATTGAATTATAGTTTATATTTGGATTTTTAATTATAAATTATGTTGGATATTCATTTCTAACTTATGTTTGGGATTTTTAATTATAACTTATACTGGACATATTTCTAATTTATATTGTGATATTTATTATTTGTAATTGGTACTTGTTATTTTAGTTTTTGATAAATAAGAAACAAAAAAAGTCAATAATCCGGTTCAAAAGTCAATAATCCGGTTCAACCGAGTTGACCCAGTCCAACCATGACCCAGTTACCACGCCGGTTCAATGTCTGGTCCGGTTTTAAAAACACTGAAAAAGAGTGTATAAATAACAGTGTATGAATGATCAGGTATGCAAGAGATAGAAAGTGATACCCTTGATTTTCCGGTATTCTTATCATGCAGTATTCGAATAGAAACAACCCCACCAACATCACTGAAGAATTTCCGCAAATCTTCAGAATTTGCCTGAAAATGTTTAATATTGGAATCATGAGTTCTTAAGCCTGATTGTCTAAGTGCAGAACTTAGGCAAAAAGTAAGTTCATCTTTTCTTTACTATACTGTACGGAAGTCAAAGGATTGTTGTATACTTGCCTTGAGATTAAGATTTGATATAAATGCAGTGCAACTGTCTGTGTATACTTTGTATTTTCCAGTATCAGAGTCTTTCTGCCGTTTGTCATGCGTGCTATCTGTCTGTTCAGCCGTGGCTTTCACTTGTCCTGCTTCAGTCACTTCAGCTAGATTTTGTGCTTGATCTTTATTCTTCTCATGCCCTTTCTTTTGCGTTTGAGCTGTTTGTTTTTGCCGTTTTAATGGAGACTGTTCATCAGTAGAGTCTGGACCTCCTTTTCTCTTGTCACGGACATTTTTCTTAATGGTATTTTCTTTCTGATCTGTTGATGCAACGAATGCTTTTGATTCCTGCTGCATCCTGTATAATCGTAGCTCTTCTAGACGGGGTGTAACCTGAGAAAGACGAAAGACAATGAATTCCTATCCTATAAACTGTTATTCAACCTGCCTATGATATTCCCAAAAATTTACTCGGATACGAGGATCTATTCACTTCTCGTATTCAATTGAAGCTTTATTCTCTACTACCAAACAATGTGACAAGTACATAAACTTGTCACTATATCAAAGCATAATCTTGTATGGTGCAAGTAAAAAGCCTCAAATTCCACACTATATCAACATACTCAATGCAGCACTTCTGAATTATTTTTTTAAAGATAAATAATAAGATCTTAAAAGCACCAAACGATGGGTTGCTATCCGTGTATATTTGGTTATAGTAAAATGCAACCAACAAAAAAGAGAAAATAAAAAAATAATAATTAAAAATGAAGATCATTTAAAATTGCGATTGCATTCCAGGGTAGTCGCACATAGACAAGGCATTTAACCATGCAAGCTTTTTAAAATTCTGCAGGCAAAACACATTACAGCCCTTGAACTCTTGGAGTTTTTGCTATTGAACCTTCCGATTGAGAAAATGTATTCTATTAAAGCCTTAAGTACTGTGTACTAATTTAACTACAACAAGTATAATGTTGGTCAATTATCACATTTTCTCAAGCACTTTGGTGTACATTCTTGATGGTTGTGTATGTAGGAAAGCAGTCATTTTGCTAATAGAACATACATGCTATGTACTTGTGAAGTGAATATATCCAAAATTGGATCTTAATTCTTTCTCAGGAAAAGTTCTGCAACTGCAGTCTTGCTTCTTGCTTGTATTCAGGCAAGGTATATCTTATCTAGTGAATTAATAATTCAATAAGACACGCGTTCATGAGTGGGCCAAAATGGGCCTAACATTGGTCCATTCACCAATCGCGGTCCATTTTGATAAATTACACACAATATATAGTCCTAAATCTTTTCTAGGTTGGCAATTCTAAATTCTAAGCTTAATCTGCTGCATTGCTGGATAGGGCAAGCCAAAGGGCAAAACCCATGCTGATGCCTTCTTCATGGGCTAGGCAAGCAAGTTCATGAGCCTATGAACATATCTACTCACTGGAAAAAAACACAAAAAGTTCAAGGGTCCAATGCATTTTTCCTCGAAAAAAAATTATGAAACTCCATTGAGCCATAAAACTTCATTGGATCAAATTTGAATATCCCACTGGCATTCTTAAAACAATTTAACCTTGAATTTATCATCAGCCATTCGATCCCCAAAATAAGACATCCTCAACCAACCAAACTCCTTGAATCTAGTGCAGGTGGAAGATATTACCAACAAACTCTGGCTTCCAATGTCGCACTAGGAGGATAAAATGAAAAGCCTAAAGCAGGACTCCAGTCTCCAGAAAACTAATCAATATAGCCCATAACAATTCCTTTTGTTTTCTAGAAATCACAAAAGAAATGTACCTAAGAGGCACTTATCCAGGCTACAACAAACCAAAGTTTCTTTGTGTTTCTAATTGTATATCCTGACTACCCCATAACATTAAAGAATATAATACAGCAACACTGATGCTAACTTCTTTCACATCAACTTTTAAGAAACATCCATGTATTAACACATCCAAGTTCCATTAACAATTATAATGCATCATAAGAACCAAAAAGAAAATTGTTGCAAGGTGTCAAATAAGTATCTAAACAGATAAACTGGAATTTCTCAAAATAGACAATAGGAAGGAAAGTGTACCTTTTGCACAGCATGGTCAAAGTCTTCAAGTGTGCCAAATTCCCTCTCAAAGCGCAACCAAGAATGGCATACATCCTGAATGATTCTGTTAATTAGGAAGGAAGGTATCATCTAATTCACAATGCAGTTTGTAGATAATTGAATAGTACCTCCCAAGAACTAAATATTAACGGCCAACAGAAATAAGACTACTATGGATACCATGCCAGGCAAAGGATACAACGATTAGTAGGGTAAGAGAGAACTTGATAATCAAATTCATTCGAGCTATCTTAAGGAAGCTATAGATTGCAAAGGAATTGCATTCTAACCATTTTCATGATTTTTCACCATATAAAAGGAAACAACAATTAATAGGGTAACAGAGAACATGAAAATCATATTTATTTGAGCCAAAAAGATTTTATTATCAAATCTTGAGGAAGCTATACATCTGCAAAGAAATTCTAACTGTTTTCATGATTGTTTGACAATAAAAATTTCTTCAGCCAGCAAGTGAAAATTCGAAACATCTATCATTCCATTACATAAATTATTTTAAATCCATAAGCTACCAATCCCAAATACCACTGGGGAGAATAAGTGGCTTTTACCAGAATTTCAGTTTTGGTTGAGTGGCGGATCTTATTTATGCTGCTCAGTACAGGCAATAGTTCTCTTCATTTATAATCAAGTTCCAAATAGAATAGGTTTTAAGTCTCCAAGAAATTTTTTCAATTTCAATTTCAATTTCTAAAATAAAGAGAATTTATATATTTCTTCGCTTCCAGCAATTTAAGGGTACTTTTTTAAGTTTGTTCAACTTGGGATTCTTCTGGAATTGCAATACACAGAAAAGTGAAGTGATTGTATCGTTTTCATATCTACTTTTGGCTTCATAAGTTATGAGACTAAGGTTAAAAAAGAGTGAACCATTGAAGCATATAGAGTATAATTCAAATGCTCTTTTAGAGAATAAAACTTTCAATTAACAAACTAAAAGGTTAAAAATAGAGCACAAAATGAAAGGGGATGCCTGATGGAAGAAGCAACAGGATACCTCTGAGCCTGTCCCAGTTAGCCTTTTACTGTAGCATCTCTTATATATGGACCGAGCTTCATTTATGTGACCTTGTTCAATTTCCATTGCTATATAACCTTGCCAGGCTTCCAACATTGAACCGCTAGCAAAAAGTAAATAAGATAATATAAAAAAAAAAGGTCAATTTGCAGAAGAAAAATTCCAATTGGAAATAGATAAAAACAAGATATTCCAAACCTGATTTTAAGCAAGCTCTCCCATACTCCACGGGCTGCCGCTAAATCTTTTCCCAAATTCAGCTCTAAATGGGCCCAATAAGAATACAGATGCAGAAAGCCATCTGAATTCTTCAATTGTGGTGATAAGTAATCTGATGCATGCTGGATATCAGATAGCACGGTGTTAGAATTAGAATATAATAATTTATTGGCATGTTTACTTTCCCAAATTATATCACATGCACAAACTACATGAAAATTATTAACATCGAGTAAATTATTTACACAAAAATCTGGAGGTAACGATGTCTCCTTTGTGGTTTTAAGACTAGATGCATAGATCTAGATGCATTACAAAGCAAACCACACTGACACAAACCTTAAACGTTTCCCTGATTAGTGAATAATCCAAGACAACATCTACTTCACTACCATACAAAATTCTCCGCCTCAAGCCATCTATCCGAGTGAGAAACAAATCCAGGTACTGAAATCAAATGGGCCCAGTTAAAAACAAAGATATTTAATGCAAAAGAAGCAAGATAATGAACACAACTTTCAAAGAAAACTGACCCCAAGCTAAGAATAGTAGTTAATAAAAAAGCTTTACCTCCTCAAATGTTGAAAAAGTGCATTGCAGGGATTTTTCAAAGACCTGAAATAAATGAACAAAATCAACCAATTGATTAATCACCATAGCAGCCTCTGAAGAGAAGGGGACATGTTCAACTAAATAGAAAGAGAGTATAGAGAGAGAGAAGGGGAACGAGGAGGAGGAAAGTAACTGAATGACCTGAAGGAAAATGTGGACTATATAATTAAAGAAGGCGTAGAACAAAACATAAATATCGCAATTGCTTGATTTTACAGTAATCAGGTCCATTAAAAGAAACAACCATCAATTTTATAAACTAAAAATAGAACAAGACAGCATCCCTTTGTGAGGCACAAATGATTCCAGAAAAACAGCCAAAATTGCTATCATTATTATTTTATTTCTCCCTTTAATAGCTTTTCACAGTAAAACCTACAAACAATTGTGAGCTATTTATGCCTTGCTAAAATTCAGGATACAGGATATGTGCAGTGCACATAAAAGCTGTGGGTTTGTACAAACTAGAAATGGACCCTACTCATCAGGCATATTATAGAAATAAAATTAGTAATCAAATCATTAGGCCAAACTTCATTCACATAAGGAAATAATAGAAAGAAAGGGTAACAACAGAAGCATACAGTTGATATCTCAGTTTCAGAAGCCCGACCACGTTCCAAAGCAAGCAAATACCTAACCCAAAGTTCTCCAACCCAGGGACAATTTCTGGTGGCCCTGAAGTAAGCATCCCTAGCAACATTTCCGACCTGAAAATAATCAAGATAACTAATTTATTGGCCTATGAAATAGGACTTTAAAAGCAGAACGACTTGAGGGTGCCAAATTAAAGAGACAACCTTCAAGGTCCTGTCCAAATATCGCGTATAATCCAGCCAGAGATCACTTGATATAGGAAACTCAGTGATAGCACGTTCATATAAAACTTGAACCCGTGCTGGATCGCCTGCAGACTTTTCAAAATTTAAGTAGTTCTGCAGCAGACAAAGGCCAAAGCTGTTTTAGAAAATTTGAAAATTAAGAGAACACAAAAAAGGAGGGGACATGAAATGATTACAATCAATACTTTAGCTAAACAAAAAGACAGGTGAGGATATACAGTAAAATTAAGCGTTAATAACCAAAAAAATCCAAAACTATACTTGGTTTCTCATTTATGGCCACCTCTTTTATAATTCTCAAAATGCCTACAAGCCTAACTAACAGCAACAATTGTGGCCCAAATTAGTCTTCTCTCTATGGTTTATGCTTACGGATGGCATGGCAGCCAATTTTAAGTTTGAACTTTTACGTATTTATCATGCTGAGACCTCCACTATCATCATAATTCATAAGATTATTAAGTACCAAGAAAGTTATTTTTTAGAAAAATCTTCATCAACTTGTGTGCTACCTAAGTAACTTAATATATTATGTCCATCATGTATGCCACATTATCAAAGGTAAAAGTTGTCTAGAATTGTTAAAAATATTAGGGTCCACAGCTACTATTAATAGTTCTAAAAAGAAGTGGATATAATGAAAAAACAAAGCTAGTTTATTATTTTTTTGGACCATTAGCCCAAACTTAAATAAGAAATAATCATTTTGCTTGATATTTGTGATCAGCAAGATAAAGAGGCAAAACAAACAGTACTAAAAGAAAAAAGTCAAAAGGGGAAGAAAGCGTGAAAGAGAATAGACCATTAAAATAGATGTTGTCTATGTACTTAAAAGTTATGATAACAAAGAAACAATGACAAAATACCTAAAATAACATTACTTATCACAAGATTCTGCTAAATGATAGTAGGGTCCAATTTACCATGAAACTTTGAAATTTGTCCGTGTCAGATATATTCTGTTTAGAAATCTGCTCTTCATGTTGTGCACGAGAATTATACATTTCCATGGCCTTTTGGTATGCTGAAGCAACATGAGAAGAAATCCCATCAACATCACTTGATTCAGCATCTAGAACATTCCCTTGTTCCACTTCCCAAGCTTTGTAAGCAAGAAGTGTTGACCTCAAGTTAAAAAGTGGGACAGACAATTGACGGTGGAAAATACTCCGAATACGCTGGACTTGTAATTCCTTTGCCTGAAACAGAAAAAGACTCTTGAAAGTAAATCTCAACGAAATACAATGTCTAAGATAACAATGCAACTTTCTTGTGAATTAAAACCCAAATACGAACTAATAAGAACAATGAGAAGATGCATTGAAGACAACAAGATAGACTGACCATAGTGCATTGAGATTCCCCCTTTCACTCTCTGCTATACGAACTGACTTTTCAATTTATCCAATGTTTTAGGTAATGCAACAGTAGATTTTCAACTTAGAAAAAACGACAAAATGCTAGAAGCAAATATTTCAGGAATACCCTTCCCTTTTTTCTCTTCCTCAACTTATTTTAGACATATATCCAGGAAAAGAGAGTTAAAAGCTTAACCTCAATAATTTAAGAAACAATATACTGCAATGACCAGAACACTGCAGATTGTGTCAAATACAGGCACTTGAACTAAGCAACAATGCCCATGCTAGGAAGAGTATGACAATTTGGAATGAATGCTTCTCTTTCTATCAACCAACTTCACATTTTACTGCATCAGTGAATAAAGAGACTACGATTTGGATATAGGGTTTTGTGAAAAAAGGTGAACTTTACAATTATAAGATTGTAGGAGATCGATCAAACCTGATATTTATGAAATCAATAGTTTTGACCAAAATGCCTAAATGAGAGCCAATGGATCAACAAATATTTATAGTCCCAATCAATTATGGTTTGCCTTTTTGATCTGATACTTTGTTGCAGTTCTTGGAGGATGAACAACTAACAGCTATACTCTAACACACCAACTAAATACCCTCCTTGAAGACAGAATGAATAATAACATTTTTATACATGACACTAAGCCATTTCAATTTTCATTTATTTTCTAAAACAAAGTAGTTCCTACAGTCAATTCTTGCATGTAAATAAGTTTCCCAAACTCTGCTACCAGTCTCAAATGCATACATTAATAGACATGCAGATTTCATTTCACATGTTTTCCCTCATAAAAGAACACTATATGTCTGACACAGTAACATCAAGGTAAAGAGGGCGAGTGCAAAGCGTTTGTGATGTAAACCCAAATGTTCATCAATTTCTCTTTCTCCCATTGAACAAATAGAGAATTTTATTACAGCATACCAAAGCAGAGCCAACTTATACATAAAACAGAAAAGTTCTCTATTTATAGTCAGTCATATGGCAGCTTATATGGTCACTCTTCAGGAAAAAAGAAAAGGAAAAAAAAAAGCATTAATAGCAAGTCAAATTTGCTAATTATCAATCAGGACTTGAAGTCCCTGCCCTTCAATCAATCAGAGTATTTTTATTTTACCAATCCTTCAAACTTTCATGAATAAGTTGGTCACACCTTAAGGTATTATCATGAGTATACAATCCACACTTCCCAGCTCTAAGAAGAATATTGTCACACTTAAAAATATCCTGCACTGCTCTAGGTTATAAACTAACCAAAAATTGCAACACGGGAAACAGTCCAGTAGGATTAAACACATAATTGGCAACTCAAGACACAGAATCTTAGTTATTGCACACAAAAAAATATGCATGTGTGTTTGCACATGCAAGTAGAGAGAGAGAGAGAGAGAGAATAAAGGAATGAGCTCAAGAGTATTCAGAAGTGGGAAATAAACAGCAGTTAATTCTGACCTTTGTATCAGTCTCATCAATGGTATATAAAATAGCCTGCTCGAATTCCCTATACCTTTCCCATATTTTATTGCCTTCAGCAACATGCAAGCCAGCAGCAGTAAGAGCACGCTCAAAAACATTTCTAGCCTTTGAAATCCCATCAGCAGAATGTTCGCGCACTGACACATCACATTTTTGCACATAATTCAAGTAGTCACACCAAAGAGGGACAGACTGTAAAAATGCAATTGATAGTTAACATTTTTGTTTTCAAAGCAATTAATTTAGAAAATATGCAGTTAAATACTATATATACAATTGAACCCTCCTAAAATTTCTTTCAAGTTTCAGGCAGTGAGATGCTTACCAAACTACATATGTTACAATAAACACCTCACATCATTCCATACAGTCACCAATGTGAAAAGGAAGAGTATCCATAAGTTCTATGTTTCACAGACTAAAATACTAAAGGTTCAGCATTCTACCTCGTGAAATGCTTATTATTAAGGTTCCAACAATCAGAATCTCGTATCTATCTTGCTGTCATGGGAAGAAGTGATTGAGAAAGATCTAGATATGCTAGGTCTTTCGAAAGAGCTAAGGCAAAATCAAGAATACTGGAAGAAACAGATGCCCAACTAGCTTGGGAATAAAGGGTTAGTTGTTGTTGCAGTGTCTTGCCTCAACAACCAATCACAATCTTTGAAATTTAATCCATATATGTTACATGGTCAGCACAAAACTTGTACTCTGAAAGTTAAGTTAATTAATCCAATAACACAAGGGAGTTAAATTCCAAATCAACTGAAACCCACCAGATAATCAAGCACTCCTAGCTCATAAAGCTTCTCAAATGCAGAAAATTCCTCACCTCTGAAAAATTCAATAAAACAAACATCAGAATATCCGTTCAAACAACTAAAGAAGCAATCACAGAATAAGTTACATATATCACTCTATCACATTCATCATGTGATTACAAGTTGTATTATATGTTCAATTTTCTACTAGTTTTCAGTTTCTTAAAAAGCATAAAACCTACAACACTTAATTTGTACTTCTCTACCTAAATCTAAACATGAACGGATTAAAGACATGCATATATATAAGTACCCAGTGGAAAGAGAAGCTTCATCATTAGCCCATTCCTGCCACATTGCAGGGGTCAATGGAAATATGGCACTCATAGCTTCCCTTGCTTGTCTCAGCTTCTCTATCTCACCCATTTTCCTCAACAGCTTTATATACTGAAAAAGCAACATAAAAAAAACAGTACAAATTACTTAAGAACTTTAAAATTCTAACGGCAAAACAGTACAAGTTAGAGGATAATTTATCTAGTTGCTTACTTGTACATGAGAGTCGTAGTTTGACGGGTTAGTGGAGAGCTCGGCTTCTAATGTTTTAAGCTCTTGATTCAGGTAGGTGTCGTCATCCGATTCGGCGTCGGAATCGGAGGAGGAAGGGCTGTTAGGGTTTTCGAGATTATCTCCGTTAGTATCATCCATTTCTTCCTCCCGGGTTTGGGTTTGATTGTCCTCCACTTCCATTCTAGTTTGCTGTTTGCGTTCTCTGCTTCAGTGGCTTTCAATGAATTATGAATTATATAAATTTATAATTCTCAAAACTATGTAATCTGTGTTGCCTCCTTTTTTTTCTTTTTCTTTAAAACCTTTTAAAGTATTATTAAAACATAAAAAATATTAAAATTTAATTCATTGTTTCTCATTACTCTCTCCGCTGCTTACACATATACATGAAAATTGAAGTAATCATTAAACAACTTTAATTGTAAATAATAACTAAAATTACTTAAATTATATATAATATATTTATCAATTATCTTAATAATTAAATTTTATTTACTGAAAATATTAAAAATATAAGTAAAGTTAAAAAATAATTAATATATTTGATTTATGTTTGATAAAATGAGAAACAATTAAATTATAGTATTTTAATGGAACGGAGATATGATTTTTTTTTTTTTACTTGTGAAATGTATGTTATTTCAAAATTTTTAATTAATTTCATATATGCGTTTTTTAAAAATTTTGCTGGTACAATTTTATCTATTTTATCCAGATGGAATATAAATAAACAGTGCAACACAAATTTTCCTATGAATAGATAAAATCTTATGGTCCATAAACATGATAATATAAATTAATAAATTTATATAAATTCATACATACTTTAAATTTCTAGAGCTGATTTTAAAATCTAAATCAATCTGATCAGTTTGATTAATGAATTTATAAAATAATGAACCAAATTATATTGATTTATTTCAACAAAACGACCTAATTGGTTTATTCAATAACATATATTAATCTATATAAATCAGTAAATTAAATTATTTATTTTAATTATTTATTTTAATAGTTTATATTCACCTCATTTTCTTTTTAATTATTATATCACTTCTTATCTAGCATTACAGAGTTTAGGCACGAGTGTAATGCTCAGATTTTCCTGGTATTTGTGAATTTAAAAAATAATAATAATAACTATAATTTCAATAAATTTCTTTTTTATTTTATAATCCCTCAAATTAAATGCTTTCTTATTTATACTTTTACATTTTTACAAAGTAACAAATAAATTAAAAATAAAAAAAAAAGAATGAGAGAGGGAGAATGAACATAAGATACACGCAACGTAATTTTCTAATTTTATTGAAATCACATAACAGAAACTTGAACAACTTCACACTCTAAACAAGAACACCATAATCATTTTTTTTTTTTTTCCTTCTCATTCCATAGCAAATAAAACATTTCAATTATTATTTTATAATGAACTCATATAACAGACTAATTCTTAGTTACAAGCAAAAAAACTTTCACATCTGAGCTTTGGTAGCCTTGATATCTTGACCAGAAGTTTCCTGTTCAACAATGTTGATAACCTTAGGCTGTCTTTTCTGTTCCTCAGCAAATTTAGGCACAATGATCTTCAAAACCCCATTTTCAAGATGTGCTTTAATATGATCAAGATCTGCATTATGAGGCAATCTAAACTGCCTCCAAAACTTACCACTTGTTCTTTCAGCTCTATGCCATTTCTCTCCTTGAACCTCCTCTTCTAGTTTCCTCTCTCCACTAATCCTCAAGACCCTGTTCTCTTCCACTTCTATTTTAATATCATCTCTCTTGATTCCTGGAATGTCCAGAGTTATAATATGTGATTTTTCTGTTTCTTTCCAGTCTGCTCTCGCTAGTGCAAGAGCTTCAGCTCCCTTTGGGATTGTTAATGGGGTTTGTTCAAGAATCCTGAAAGGGTCTTCTGCTGGGATCATCATGTCCCATAAAGATCTTGTGTAGGGAACTAAGGCATTTGCTTGGGCGACCATCAGGATTAGAAACACTAGGCTTGTGGGCGTTAGAAAAGACAAGTTTTTTAATCTTGGGTTGGCCATTTTTTAGTGAAAATATGAAAATTTTATCAGAGAATTGGGGTTTTTTTGAGAGCAAGAGAGAAAAGTGTGATTTGGTAATTGGGCTTTTGTCAAGAATTTGTGTGCGTTTCTCGACTGATTGCCTCCTGAGAAAGGAAATGTGATTTATATAAGTTGGTGGGAATTCTGGAGGTTTCTTGTAGGTACTAAAAATAGAAACAGAGAAATCTACAAGAGTCTAGAGGAAAGATAAATTAATTGCTTCTAACATGACGTGGAAAATTTATACGTTTTTTAGAATGTTCCTGAAGAAACGTTTTTAGAAGTTTCAAGTCCACAAAAATCTATGCATTATAGCGGCGAGTCGTTTGCCGAATCAAACTACCGTAAGGTTAAAAATCTTGCAACAAATTATCCTGACGTGTCGTTTACCATTTAAAATAATGGTCAGCTAAATCTAATGGCGAGCCACATGTAACGACAGCGTTTAAGAATGCGTAACTAAAGATAATGAAATAAGAATCGTCATAATAAAGATAATGACAATGGAATGGTTCGGGATATTTTTTTGGGTTTGAATATAAAGAATTTGACATTTGTATTTTTTGTCTTATTTCTCTTTATTTTCCTATTTTTTTATTGCTAATAACTTAAAAATACATCAAATCTCTGTTTTTTTTTTTTTCTTTTTATAAAGCATCTCGAGATAACAAAGGGTTATGTCATTTCATATCAGTAAATTATTAGGCCGAGTTGGATTTAAATTAGCATAGACATATTGGCAACGAATTTACTGTCCAACTGCTCAGGCATCGACCCAGAAAGATGATTCATGTTTGTGTTTGAAAAAAAAAAAAAAAGGGTTGGAGAGCTCAATATTGATAAACAAAAATTCAAAGACGTAATGGGAAAAACTGAATAACTCTAGTGGCATGTGTGTTACGTTTTTTGCCCAACAATCTTCTCTTTCTTTCTTTTCTTTTCCAGGAATGATCCCATATAACAACCAACGTTAATGGAAACACAAAACATACTATTACCACTCCTGTGGATGGCAATGGCAGCAAAAGAAAGATCTAATATTCCTTCTTTTCTTTTTTCTTTCGGTAGTAGCAGTAGATGGTTATTACAGTATTCTACTGCAGGGGGAAGAAATCAGAATGAACAAGATTTCATTATAATCCATTTTGAGAGTTCATACAAAAATAAACTGAGACCCAACAAAATTAGAAACATGGGTCGGTATGATTTAATAAGGATAAAAGAAAAACCTCAGTTGATGTTGTTTGGCTTGTATAAATTGCTGGAGTTCTGTGAGTTGGGTTGCAGATCTGCATTATTTCACAGACGTCTAAACTGTGGAAACACTGCACCGATAAACTTGAATGTTATAGATCATTTAGTTACTAATGAGATCCTTAAATTTAATTATGCAATTCAATGCTCGCTCGAAATCATTTTCTTCCAAAGCAATTGTGAAGCGGCAGTAGCTGGGAATTCCAGTCCATAAGCCACTGTTGATGCATAAACCTGTTGACTTCACTATAGCATCCCTAATATTTGAGTCATTGAGCTTGATTTCATATGGAGCAGCATTTCCAGCACCATCTTCTGGGGAATGCTTGATTTTAATGACCTTGTTCAGGTAGGCAGCAGGCTTTGCCATCATAGAAACACCACCACAGGGTTCAAGCACTTCCCACCCGCATTTCTCTAGTGTCTGGCAAAAACACCGCGACAAATAAATTAATGTTGCTAATGAACAATTAAAGCAAGACATTTAAAAAGTATTGTGGAGAAATATGTCATGGGGTAGGATTTTACTTGATTTGACAGTATGGAGATACAGATATGCATTGTAATTTATTTATGACTATAAAATCCTACTATGCATTTAGAACACTAAAAATGAAAATGAAAATATCACAACAGTACAATTGGTTTTTCTCAGTCTCAATCCTCCATCTATCGGCTGCGGACACCATGAAAGATAAACCAAGAAAAACTAGCCAATGAAAAATAGAAAACTAAAAACTGTTACCTCTTTCATGCGCTGGGATCTGGATTTCAAATTTCTTGTTTGTTCTGCAACATCATCTGTAAGGTCTCTTGCCTTACTCTCATCCAAGCCCAACAACTTCTTTATAGCATATTTAACAGTGCTATGAGGTTTGCTTAATCCTGGAAAGCTATAAAATGCATCCACTAAAGTGGGATTGTTTAAAACCAAAAACCCAAATTTGAGTACTCCACTTAGAAGCTTAAGAGAAAGTCCTCCAAGCAAAGACACAGAAAAAGAAGGGTTGGCAGAGGCATTCAACTTTGATAATGTTGCCTCTAAATTCCAACCACCCCAACCTTCCAGATCAAATTCCAATCCTGAGAATGAAGTATCAATGACAACTCGTGCCCCAAATTTTGCACAAGTAGTCAATATGCTCTCCATCTCTTTATTGTTGTACAACAAGCCAGTAGGGTTAATTGTTGGACCAGAAATATACACCCATGGCTTATTTACAGTATTAAGCGCTTCATTGAGTAGCTTGTCTGTCAGCTTGAAACCTGATGCAGAGTCAGTTGGGATACTCAAAATGTTTGCTTTTAAAAACTTGGCAGCAGACACATAGTTCCCATTTGAGCCAGCTGGGAAGCAAAATGTTCCTCCTTCTTGGATGCAGCAGAGGATCAGTCTATTAAGCAGGGCTTGTGAGAAGTCTGCATAGACAAACTCTGTGTTGTTGTCAGTATGGAACCCATAATTGCTCTTAATGAATTGCTTGATGCTAGGGGTAACATCGACTTCTGATTCAGCCATGTTCTGCCTTGCAAAACTTTCGAAGATTGCTGCTTTTACAGTAGATGGAATAGGCAAGAAGGATTGATCTGCATCCATGTGAATCAAGGAAGATTTTTCTTCCTCAGTAATTGACAACTCAGAATCATTGAGGACTGAAATAGCGGAACTTGAAAACCCAATTGCCTCAACTGATTTGGCCTTTTCACATTCTCTCTGAGAGAAATATCAGAGACCATTTTGTCATCGAGCTTGGCTCCAGGAATATCAAAATAGATTTATAGAAAAAACTTGAGGACAAAAAAGCTAAACGAAGTAAACTGCAAACTGATATCATGAAATGTTAAGTTGTTCAGTGAGAACCACCATCCAAACACCATAAGTGGGAAAAAAATAAAAGAGTGGTAGTTGACATAATCGCATATCAAAGTTGGCATCTGTGTGCTGTCCTTTCATGGTTGATTAAAATGCTAACTGGCCATCTGTCTAGTTAGGAAGTGTAAAACTTTTGCATACACACATATTCAACTGACAAAACACTAACAATTCTTAAAACCAGAAAATAGCGACGTGAGTGACATACCTCTGCAAGTGGACGTCGGTCTGCAAGCTGAAATGCCAGAAGCTCATGAAAAAGACAGCCATAATAAAACTGCCTGATAGGTGCAGTATTTCCTTCTAGTACTTCGACTGTCTTGGACAAGGCCTTAAAAATGGCCTCTTCTTCTGAAACGACGAAAGCAACTTCTAAATCTGAATAAACCTGGAAGATGCATCATTTTATTAGAATGGAGCATGTTTCAAACAACAAAATGTTAAATGAACCGAGGTGAAGGTCAATTTCATGAGCTCCAATGTTGACTAAATACAGCAAATGGAAAGCCTCCTCAAGTGACATACTGAATTAATTGTGATAGCATAAATACCTGGTTCTTTACGAGGCCACAAAGGATTGCAGCATGTGAAGGTAGACGAGCTCCTGAAAGATATTTTAGGACTCCATTGGGACTCGGAAGGCTGGATAGCTCAAGGTGATCAGATATGTCTAAGAAAAGACGAGATCCAATTTCTCTAGTAATATCCAAAAGTTGAATAAATGCTGAACTAGTTACAGCCTCAAATTGAGCCATCCCAGTGACCACCACCTGTGGTTTGAGCTTCTTTATCAGCTCTACCATTAAATCAGACTGTCTTGGTGCTTCAATAACTGTGATTGTATCCTTTGAAGGGTCATAATTTTCTGTACCCTACAGAATGATAAATAAGTTTTAGTTATTAGAAATGCAGAAATCTATTTGCCTAAGATTATTGCATTTAATCTTTTGATGTAAACCACAAGATCTACCATTTATCATAATAACTGAGCAAAACTCATCACCATGGATTTAACATGCATTAGAAAATTGTGCATATGCTTGTGCACACACAGGTCAATGCAGTTTTTTCTAGGGTTCAGGATTACGAAAGATATCTATCTATCCATGCTCGACATATACAAATATCAAATTACAACACAGTAATAAAAATACAACATACCTCAATTGCTAACGAAGTTAACCATTGCCGAGGTAAGTGTCGAGTCAGATGTTCATCAACAATTGCAAGACGAGGTGAGAACAATCGAAGAGTATTTTCAATTGCAACAGCTCTTGAAGGAAATATGACGACATTCTTGTGGAAGAATTGGAAAAGATAAGTTAACAAAATAGCTTATGCAACAAGAAACAAAAAAATGAATAAACTTGAAATTCTTTGAAGCCATCTTTTACAGGCATCATAATTCTGAAAAAAGCAGAGGACAATAACTCATGAAGCATATCAGCTACAATCAAAACTACAATGGAAAACTTTAGCGGTCAAGATGAATTAAATGATATTAAATAGTTAGCCAAGCAAACAAGCATCACGTACTGTACGCATGAAACATAAATTAAAAGTCTAGATAGATAGCACAATCTTATACCATACCATTCTGATCTAAAACATGTCAAAGCCACTCAAATCAAAGAAGCCATGAAAAGAACATTAAACAGTAAGATATGTAGTAACAAGGAGTGGTTGATAGAATATCACTTTTCTGATTTCTTTTTGTTTGATTAATTGATGAACTACTCCAGGCTGTGTGTTGAAATTCACATTCATTATAAATTATTTCAAGGAGGTAAAAGATCAATTTTGGTTTATGAAATTGTTAAGTGCTGTTCAGATGATTCTGTTAACAACAAGATAATGACAGCACAAGCAATTATTGATTAAGCAGCGAATGTCTTCTTACATTGGAACTGAGTGGAACATGGTGATACGTTTTCATAAAGCCTGCAATTAGATTGCGAAATCGTTTGCTTCCAGCTGGTGACTCATAAGGGAAACATGACTGTTCTTTCAATTCACCAGCAAGATAAGCGAGGTATGGAATCTTCTCATCAGCAACAGAATCATCCACAAAAGACAAATCTAAAGAACTGCTGACCTCCTGGAAGCCATTCTTAAGAAACTCGAAAATTTTTTTAACCTGTTAATTCATTCAGATACACATCCTTCAAACAATTTTCCAAGATTGATAAACATCCACTTAATAAAATACGTACTTAAATGAAGCACGGACCTGGTTTGGTTGGCGAAGTTGACAACTGTAAACTGATAAAGCATGAGCAATGCGACCACCAGCCTTCCCATAAGCCCATGCTGTTCGAGCACAAATCGGCTGATCTCCAGAAAGACCCATGAAAAACTCAAACCGGTGCGGACTGTTCTTCTCAATTTCAACTAGGGCTGATATATCTGTGTCACCAGCCTGCAATAAAACATTCTCAGGAGGAGAGCATTGTGGATGAAGAAACAGTTTTCAGATGAAAAAATTTTCATGCCTGAATAACTTTAGTCTGCCAAAGCTTGCTAACATGAAATCCACGGCGTTCAAACAAACGTTTACAAACAGCTTGTCCTGGACGGCCACCCATGTTAAAAATCATAATCCCCATAGGCTTGATGACAGCTATTCCTTCCTCAACAGCCCTGGCAATTAGACCTAAGCCAAACTGATCCTCAACAAAGCCCTACATAAAAAAGAAAATAAAAAACAATGATCAATAAATTGCACCTGTGAAGAAAAGCACTAATTCCATATATAGAAAAGCACTAAAACCCTGAGAAGCCTTTCTGTCAAACTATGATTGCAGATAAGGAAATATTATACTGAACTTACATTTAATGAAACAGAAACTCTTTAAAGTAAAAGGCCATGAAATACGGGACATATAAATGTATCTTTCAATGATAAAGCAAAAATATGCTACCACTTGAATCATTAGAATTAATGGTATGAAGATTAGGCTATTTAGAGATATGGATGCTGATAGCAGACATTTGTTTCCTTCATCTTCTGAATGTGTATCTATTCTAGACTTGCAAGTCTATTAATCAATTATCATCTATTTGTATTCACTTATGGATAGAAATTTCCTAGAATATAGAATCCATTATGTATCATTCATTAGCCAATTTCTCATCGGATTAAAATGAGTACAGGTGAAATTTTATACTACAAACAAAGGAGTTAATTCTTATAGATACTCACACCACATGCAAAGATTATCACGATTCAATTTTGAATAAGGTTTTAGCATTGCTGATATTCTAAATACTCTTGATTTTGGGTTCAACAATAAAATCAAACTGGAAACTGGAGACAAATAAATTTATTAACTTTGATGACATGGTGATTAGAGTAATACTGTAACTTTGGACACTGTTGTCTATTTCTATTCCATCAACTCCTAGCAACGGTCCATCAAATAGAAAAAAAAAAAAGTATCTTTTTCCTGTATGTATTTGAACCATACAACCCCAACTTTCTGTTTCCAGCTGCAATCAAGTTGCATTACTTGAACACTGACTGACTAACAATTTTAAAGCAAGGATAATTGTAAATTATTAAGATTGTCTCCCAACCTGAAGTGCACAGTAGTTGCTCAATGAATGCAGAAATTCTTCACTAGCATTTTCAGTAATCATTTTAGACATTGCATCTGGATTTGGGTTAAGAATCTGCAAGAGGAAAACAAGCAATGGCAAAGTAAGGGTCAAAATAAAGATAACAAAAACATCCACTACCAGCCAGCCACTTGATAAACTAACTTCATCGAGTGTCTTTGTTAATACCCTGTGATGTTGATTGTGATAATACCTGTGGTATGCACCCAACAATTCGTTCAAGTTGAATGTCATTATCTCTACAATAAGCAAGTAGATCAGATTCATGAAATTCCACCCTCTCCAGTAAAGTTTTCTTCTCTGCATCATAGATGGGTTGACCATTTTCATCCAAAGCATTTAAATACAAATTGATCCAGGAAATCTTTATTGCTCTAGGGTTAATATCAAGGCCATACACCTACAAAAGGTTATTTAGGCACCATGTAAAGTAATTGACAAAAAGCTGCATCAATGTTAAATTCTATGAGAGCCTATTAAACAAGGACTAAGGAAAATAACAAACCTTTGAAGGCAACCACTTGTCCGCAAGCGCAATGGATATCCATCCATTTCCACAACCAAGCTCAGCGACTGTTCTGTCCTTGAAGATTGACTCAGGATGTCTATTCAGTCCCTCATAAAAAGTGAAGGACCAGTCTTCAGGCATAAAAATGCTTGGGATAACCATCATTGTCAATTTCTTTCTCCCCTGATAACCTGCACTAGGCAAAGAAAAGTGTCGGAAGTAGTTAATAAGCAATGTGATTGACAGTTCCATTAAATAAATAGGTAAAACAACAAAGATCCATGGATAATAAAAGTAACAAAGACAAACAATCTTTAGGTGAATCAAACATTTTCAAAGTAAAACCCCGAGAAAGTAAGAGGTGAAACAAATTTAGCTTGACCTTTCTATCCTCCTGTGAAACAGAAACTGAAAACTCAGTGGATATATTTCAGAAGTTTGAATGATGTATGATATAAAAACAAAGTGTCCTGTTCAGATGAAAAAGAGTCTTTTTTTCAGATGAAGTGGTGGATGTTATTAGGATAATATAAGGACTGTGCAACAATATATTCTGGGAAATGTTGTGCACTTTTCTGACCTATGGTCATGCTCTTACCAGAAACCTAAGAACCCATAATCATAGGAAACTTCTTTACAGTTTGGATCCAAATGCCAGTTCAACAAACATTAGACAGGTTTGTTAACTGAAATAAGAGAATGTTGAACCATATGCAGATATACATCATCAAGCAGATCATTTTCTATTATGTGCTGTTCAAATTGATATCCTTCAAAAACATGAATGCATTTTGCTTCACTTCCATTCATCCAATTGATTAATTGGATCAAGTTCGTAATGACAGAAACATTAGTAAAGAAAAAAAAATCGTTTACTAAAGATTTTCATTAAAGTTTGATGACGTTATGTTTGCTTATTTACCATTAAATTATTTACCAAACAATTGGGGCATGTAGGTTGGTGAGAACCAAGAAAAAAGAGAGAGCATATGTGTTTAGATAATTATGCTAACGACAAAATCGAATTTCCTAATACTTGAGTCTTTGTTTATCTAGTACTGGATGGATTGGCGTCGTTCATTGTTTTCTTGAGAACTGCAACGTGAAAGCCGCCCAAAGCAAATTGCCAATAAAGGTCAAACCCAACAAAACATCACACTGAACAAATACAACTATTCATTCTTTATATAAATAAAGACCCCACAAAAACAAATAGGCTGAAATATAAAAACTAAATAAATAAATAAATAGCAGAAAGCAACGCTAGCACAAACTGGAATCAGAAAAAAAAAATTATGTTCGTCTTTTTTTCCCTTCAGATGCATCCGCTTTCCAGCAACCAAACAAAGACATATATCAAAAACCAAACACTCTCAGTAACAACTAAACTAAACTAAACAATGCACTGAGCATAAAGTCAACTCCTTTATTCTACACTGAATTGTAATATATAATCAGACATAATTAAATTAAAGTGACTAAAAATCAAACTCTCATTGTCGTCAATTCCTCAACTTATATAATAAAGATTTTAGGAGCATGTATATGTACACCTTCGAATTGGTCCAAGAAGATATCTTGGATCCGAAAATGGTATTTCTGGAGACACTGATCGGAGTCGCCAACACGCTTATGGAGATCCGAAAGGAAGATTCGGGCCTCCTTTCGAGTCTTCGAATCCTCCAACCGCTCCAACAATGACCTGAACGCAGCGTATGCAGCATCACCAGATTGCTCACAGTTTTTCAAGAAATCATCCATTGAGACAAACGCTGCCATTATCAACTCTGCACTACAATCACCAGTCACTATACCTAAAGAGCAAAGGAGAAAGTACGATTATGGTGAAAGACGGAGAGAGAAGAAATGGCCATTGCTTTGTGTGTATATATATAAAACAGTTAAAGAAGGAAACAGAGACTGGTTGCTTCCCGGCATTTGCCAAAGAACTAGGATTTTATTTATTTTATTTACGTTGAATAACTATTTAGACCCTTATTTTTATTTATATTTTAATTTCATTCCACTTGTCTAGCAAATATACCAATTACTCCTTAAAAGTTTACATTATTAAGCTATTTAGTCTATGTTAAAAAGTTTTATTTTTAATAGATAAATAAGATATTAAATATAATTTATCAATAAATATGATGTATTAAATAGTAATATTGTATTCATTTATTAAATAGTCAAATATTAAAAGATAATATTAATTTTTATCAACTAAATATACTTTATTTGATCTTCTCTTTAATGTGAATAATGAGAAGTTTCGAATCACATTTTTTAACAGTTGAAATTTTTCTAACTTAATGAACCACTAATCACGTTATATAATCCATCGTATTACCATCGAGTCTCTCAATAAATAAAGAGATTAATCCTTAAAAATAACACTTTTGAATGAAAAAATTGAATAATTTATTGATGATAAACTTTTTCACATCAATCAGTGTGCTTACAAAATAAAAAATTTTTAAATTCTTTATTTAATTATCACAACTTAAAATTAAACGAAAAGTGAAATTCTTGAGTAGTCTACTTGCCTTCCAACGACGGATTACCGGTATGGACAATATTTTTATTATACTCAAATTTAAAGGATTAAATAGTAAATTTTCTTTATTTTATCGTTGATTTATTTTGGTCAAACTTATTTAGTCGGTTGAGATTCTGAAGCTGGCTGATTTACGCGTGGCTCGTCGGGGTAAGGCGTATAGAGGGCTGGAAACTTATTTTGCTATTTTTTTATGATCTTTATTATCTTAAGAGAAAAAGTTTATTTACTGCAAGAGAAATTCACCGTGTCAATATTTTCTACCTTGTGATTTTGGACAGTTAATTTAGATAAATAATTTACAAATAAAGTTAACTACTTATTTTCAAAAAATATATATATAATTAAGTGGGGTAAAAATTATTAATTTTAGTCCGAATTTTTTTTGTTAGAAAAATCAAATTATAAATTTTATTAATTGGAAAATGTATACAGATATGGGATACAGATTAATATGTTTATATATTTTTGTATAGGTATCTAATTGAGTTGACAAAACAGAATATTTGTGTCATAAGCGATCGTTTGCTCCACTTAGTGCCTATTCATGGTCATTGTTCAACTCATGGTCTTTCTATAAGTCTGATCTGATTACCTTCAAATTTCTTCCTTTTATTGGAGAGGAGATCTGCATTTATTTTTACATAACTATCCAAATAATAAAATACGCTAGATGGATAATCCATAATGGTGATAAGAATAACTCTGAACTAGATTTGAGAACAAAATCTCAAGATATAGGCAACAATTCTCACACTCTATTTGGATGTAGGTATGGGCAACAATTGATCTCACACTCTATTTGGATGGAGATATTTTTTTGGATGAGATATTTTTTTGAATGAATCAAAATAGCTGAGGAAAATAATTGTGGAGAACAATTTTATCCTATTTGGAAAAGAAGGAAAATATCAAAGGAATGAAAAATTAATTATTTTTCTCCCAATCTCACATAAATATAATATGTTCATTTGCGAGAGAAAATAATGGTGAAATATTGAAATTTCTCAAATTTTTATGTAATTATCCAAATACCTCAAACTACTTTTAACTAAATATTGAAGATATATGATCATCAAAGTCCTCTAAAAGAATAAGTAAGATTAAAATAGTAATGTATCAATATTAACAATTTTTTCCTCTAAAATTTTACATTTTCCAAACAAAACACAAGGATGGAAAATAACAATGGAAAGAAAATTAACAATTCATCGTTATTTTCTTTCATTATTTTGATTCCTCTTCTTTGCAAATAAAATGTGATAATAACTCAAATCTATAAACTGACGGATTATTTGTTAAAAAAATAAATAAATAAATAAAGGGGCGATCACCTGTACGAACTCATCGGCCACTCACCAATGACCACCTGTGGAAGAAGAAAAAATGAATTTTTTAAGTTTTAGATTTTGAGAGAAAGAGCGGAAAGAGACAGCCAGTCAAGTTTTCATTCCATAATCTTTGCTTAGAATTGGATATTGAAAAAATATACATACATCTGCATGATGACAGAGCTAAAATTTAATATCAGAAAGTTAAAAAAAATTATAAAATTAAGCAGGATAAATAAGGAAAAAATATTTTTTTTTCATCAATTTATATAACAAATTTAAAAAGTGTTTGAGCTAGGAGCCACCTTTGGCCTCCCTTCCCCGCCATTTTATCGATACTTATACAGAAACAATTAAAATAAATAGTAACAAAATAATTCATTGAATTTATAAATTTATTACACTTAATTTTAATTTGAACTTAAAGAATATATATAATAATTTTGTATGGAAAAATAGAAATATTTCACTATTATAAAGGTTATAATTTGATTTTTTTTTAAAGGATAATATGGTTAATATTATAAGGTTTCACACATTTTCAAGAGGCTAACGTAATGGCTGACCACTCTATAAAAATAGGAGATCAATATGTTTATGGTGTTTGAGAACGACCTTTTACGTCTTGCAGCACATTTGTCGCTTATGAGTCAATATTGGTTTTTGTTTTATCTATTTGTTTTTATTCTTGTGTAAAAAAAAGACATTATTTTTTTAAATTATATTAATATCCCCTTACTAATTATTTTAGATAAATTTTATTTTTTTGAAGCACAAAAACATGCAGATATTTTTAAAATTTTATGATAAAAATAACTCAAATGGAATTCTTATACAGTTCGAAGTTCCTCTATGCTTTGTAGTCATAATGCCTATATTCTTTTAATACTATACTTTTGTTAATTTAATCATGTTATAAGGTGTGTGTTGCATTATTGTTTGAATTTTTTATATTTTTTTTAAAATAATGTAAATATCACACGTTTTTTTAATGTTTATTTTACTGTAAATATCATATATTCTAATTTTAGTTCATTTATCTGTTCAAAGTTCAAACACATGAATATATTATTGATTTTTTCATTTATTTAGTAAAAATTATTAAAATAAGAAGACTATCGATTTAAAGTTAATCATGTGTTTGTTCTTTAATCATGTCCATTAACAATGGATTCACCACTCAAAATATTAAAACAAGAATATGGGTTGATCACTCAAATTGCACCATATGGATTAGTAAAATATTAAAATATATTTTAAACTCAAAATTAAATTATTAGGATTAAAGAAGATAAAAAACAAAAAAGTGCTTCTTATGGCTTCTAGCACATAATTTTTTTTTTTTTATAACATGAATCACTGTAAATGATTATTCATACCTATTTCGTTGAGAAGACGAAATATAAATACAGGAGATTTTTATTTTTTTATTAAAAATTAACAATAAAAATGTAAAATTTTAGACATAACGATCCTATTGTTAAATGGTTTTAAATTACAAAAATACATTCATATATTTTTTAAAAGGCAATAATTAAGAATTTGATTTTATCAAATTATAGTAATTAAATAGTACTTATCGTATAATAAAAACCAGAAACTATTTTATCCTTTCAAACTCAATATTTCCACTTTAGGTTTTGATCCTATTGCTTGAAATGTCAAACCATCCTTTTCTTTGACAAGAACATACGAAAGGAATAGGTAGTTTTCTTGAGCACGACATCCAAAATTTTGTCCGTGGATGTTCTTTTCCTCCAATTTCTAACCAGGCAAAATTTCAGAAATTATATATTAGTTTTCTTTAAATTTTTTTTTTTAAATATTGCATTCAAATGATATTCTGTGAGGAGGAAAAATTAATTTCCTTTGATCACCAACACATTTCAAGATGAAAAAGAAAAAACGTGAAGAAGAAAAAAACAAAATTTAATTATCATCTAGGTCAATTATTCAAGTATTGATATTTTAGTGCAATTAAGAATAAGGTTTAGATAGTTAATTAAGGATGAACATTTAGTCAATAGAATATATTTATCTATTAATAAAATAAAATTGAAATGAATTATTTATTCAAATAAATCAAATCAGCTTGATTCAATTTGATTTTGCAATTTTCACTTAAATTTTAGATAGATTAGTTTGATTTTAAGGGATTTTCAGTTTTCAATTGTGTACAATGGAAATTAATTATTTAATATTTTATAATAAAATTTTAATCAAATTCAATTTCTTAAAAATTAAATTGAAACAAACTAAATTATAATCGATTCAGTTCAATTGGATTGGTCCATCAAATGAATAAATATGCAACTTAAATTTATAGTTTTGATTTAATGGTTCTCTAAATATTGACGAAGATCTATTTTATATGTCTCTATTATAAAAAATTTTAGTAACATTCTTACATTTTCACGCTATTAACAATAATTTTTAAAATTCTTATCATTTATATATAAATAATTAATTGATATATAATTAATATAATTTATGTTTTTATATTTTAATTATTTATAAATTATTTTGATTTTAACAGTTAAAGTATTAAATTCAATAATTTATAAGATTAAAATATTTAATATATATAATTTTATAAATTTAAGATAAAAGTTGAAAACGTGGTTATTACTTATTATAAAAAGTTGAAATATGCGTTTGGCAGTGAATTGAATAACTTTCCCAATTGGGTATTCATCTCATTTAATTAATCAATTCCTATATATCTCCATCAACTCCTATTTTTAGAATTTTTTAACAAGACATGTTGCCCCTACTAAGATCTTTAATGATGATTGATGGTGCTTTGGGATTAGGTGAAGACCAACTAAAAGAACTTGCAACTTGTTACTATCTCTTTTTGCAATTGGTGAGCCACAAGCATGCTTGCCATTATTGCCTTTCATGGTGTTGAGGGATGCTAGCTTATTGGCTTGCATCTCCTGAGGGCCCCATGAATTCTTATATAGTATATAACTTTTGATGTGATTTGATTTGATTTGATTGATAGATTAACGTGATTGCTTGAGGAGAAGGCACATGCAAAAAATATTTTGTATTTATTAAAACAAGTGCCATGAGTCTTTGGTATGATCCAAAATTTTGTTTGGACAGAGTGTAAAATATGGGTAGATTTGAAAGAAAAAGTGAAAATGATTTGGGAGATTTAAAATTTTTTGTTTGGTTTGAGTGAAAAGGGTGTAATTTTACCCTAATTTTCACAGCATTTTGAAAAGAAAATGAATAATGCCATTTATACCCTTATTTTACTTCCTACTTTTCAAACACAGCATTAATTCAAAGTGGATTTTTTACTTTTTTATTAATCAAGTAATTTTAATCTACTGGGTTAGGATTAAAAAATTCCTTATGAGATCTCTCTTTTTTTTTTTATTACTTAGAGATATTTCTAAATTCATCTGATTATATCTAAATTCTACTTGTCTCGGAATGACTCATTAAAAGGTAAAATATTCCTAGCGAATATTTAATCTACTCATAAGAATTTAACTATTGATCTCATTTATAAAAAAGAAAAGTGCAAAACCATTAATCTCAATACTTAAATTTAAATATATTTGAAGTACAATGTTTATTTACGAGGATAAATTATCTGACGATTTCACATTTGAATGGAAACCTATCTTAAAATATGTTGAACATAAAAAATAAAATAAATATTTGTATGATAACTTTAGGAGATTTAGTATTAATATACATAATACTCAAAAGGGAATTTAAAAAAAGTTAGAAGATAATTAAATTGTAAAATAACAAAATGTTACATCAATTTATAGTGTAGTTATTAATTATTTAAAAAATTAATAAGTGTTCTATTATGAATACAAAAAAAAAAAAAAACTACAAGAGTGGATTTTTTACTTTTTTATTAATGCAAGTAAATTTTTAATCTAAACTGGTTAGGGATTAAAAAAGTTCCTTATGAGATCTCTCTTTTTTTTTTTATATACTTAGAGATATTTCTAAATTCATCTGATTATATCTAAATTCTAGCTTGTCTAGGGGGAATGAGGATGACTCATTAAAAGGGTAAAAATAATTTGCCTGAGCGAAATATTTAATCTATCATAAGAATTTCACAAACCTATTGAATCTCATTTATAAAAAAGAAAAGTTGCAAAACCATTAATCTCAATACTTAAATTTAAATATATTTGAAGTAACAATGTTTATTTACGAGGGATACAATTAATCTGACCAGTATTTCACATTTGATGGAAACCTATCTTAAATAATGTTGAAGCATAAAAAAATAAAAATTAAATAATTTGTATGATAACTTTAGGGAAGATTTTTAGTATTAATAATACGATATACCTAAAAGGGAATTTAAAAAAGGGTTAGAAGATAATTAAATTGTAATAAACAAAATGTTACATCAATTTAATAGTGTAAAGTTTATCTAATTATTTTAAAAGATTAATAAGTGTCTATTATGAATACAAAAAAAAAAACTATTATTTGTTTATAAGTTAATTATTGCAAAGAAAGAAAACAAATATTGTTCTGTTTATTAAATGAGATAAATATTTTATTATAAGTTAAGTTAGTCAATTATTGACTAAAGCAAAATTAGTGAAAAGTATTTAATAATTTTGGATTATCTTTAAATTAGATAATTAAATTTTATAACTAATGATGTTTTAAATACTCAATCAATGACAGTTAAATAATGGAATTCAATACAAGGAGAATTTTGCATTACTAAATCGAAGATTTTGAAATCAAGAGACGCTGTATAATTATAAATTTAAAAAATAACAAATTCTAGACTAATTTATAGTAGTACCATGAAAGGAAACTAAGTTAATGTTACGCTTAAAATTTTCAAAAAAAAAAAAAAACTATTATTTGTTTTATTAATTATTGCAAAAGAAAGAAAACAAATATTTTTTTTATTAATGAAATAAATTTATTATATAGTTATCAATTATTGACTAAAGAAAATGAAAAGTTTTATAATTTGATTTCTTTAAATTAGATAATTAAATTTTATAACTAATATGTTTAAATATAATCAATGAATTAAATAATAATTCATCAAGAGAATTTGCATCTACTAATGAAATTTTGAAATCAAGAGACTGTATAATTAAAATTTAAAAATAAAAATTCTAACTAATTTATAGTAGTACCATGAAAGAACTAAAGTTAATTTACGCTTAAAATTTTTTAGTCTTGTTCATTCCATTTGTAAAGGAATGTAAAAAGTCATCTATCAAAGAGGGACAAAAAAAAAGTACAAAAAACCACAAATTCCACGGTTTCTTATCCAATTAGTATTTCTGATAAGCATCAGAAACAAAATTTTGAATTTTATTTAGCTAAATTATGTGGAAAATATTTTTAAAACTTATTATAAAACTCAACTTGTTTGGTTGGTAGGAAACTTCATAGACATTGTCAATAATTTAGCATTTATAAATTGATTTTTGCTATGTAATCGTTAGTTTTTGGGCATTGTTCAATGCTTTTAGCATGGATAATGGTTTAAAAAATTTGGTAGTCTACCATTTTTGAGTTGGGTGTCAACGGCCCAAAAGCTACGCCAACACGGAATATACAACATGTTTGTCTAGTTGGAATCCACCGCTCCGTGTATAGACTAAATCAATAATAATAATAATTTTTAAAATTATTATTATTATTATTTTTTTTTTGCTCAATGTATAGTCAGAAATACATATAACCAATGATTTATAGTTCAGTTATTTATCTCTTCAGTTTGTTAAAAGAGATCATAAAAATAGACGGAGGAGATTACATTCTTCATGGTATGGTTGTGAAATTCAAACATTAATGAATATGGTGTGAAAATATTTTTTCAGTTTGGAATTGAAAATCTCCAATTGATTATAATTTAAAATTCAAGGCCGGATTTTGATTTAAGCTTTTTTTTTTTAATCAAAATATCCGAGATTAATTAAGAGTTGTACATTTTCTATATCTAACGAGATTAATCTCATTAATAAAGATATGAGTCGTACTTTTTCTCATATAATTAAGAGATAAGATTGCAATTAAGGTTAAGGACATATGGCAAAAGTCAACATTTTGAGCCGACCACTCAATTTATATAATGGAAATATTAGCTTTATAGCCGGTTGATGTGTTTGGATGACTTTAAGCATATTAAATAGGGAGTTTTCCAATATCATTCTGCTGAGTTGAATCGCTCTATTCTCCAATCATGCTATACTTCTAGATATTGCATCTAATATTAGAAAATTAAGAAATTAAATGTGCTTTCAAAATAAAAAAAAAAATTGTCTATTAACCTATTGATTGTGGCTCAGTTGACAACGCAAGCTGAACATGTGAAAAGAGCTCTCATATTCTATTCCCACTAAACACATTTGTATAGAGGGGGTGAAAAGTCCTAGCTGAATCTATTCCCACTAAATACATTTGCATGGAGGGGTGAAAAGTTCTAACTGTGACTAAGCCATAAGCTGGATTTAGTCGAACCTTGATACAAATAAAAAAGAAAAGTAAGTTTACCTTTGTAGAATGAAAAGAATAACAAAGTACTTCTTAATTTTAGCTAAATTATTTTTTATTTTATCTAATTAATTCAGTCTTAATAATTTTATATCCATTAATTTACAACTAAAATAGGGGGCAAAAGAGTTTAGTAGATATAAAATTGAAAAAAACTATCTAATAGAACTTAATCTTTTAAGAAAATGGCATATAGTAATAGACGAAGATATGAGGTGATATATGTATTTACCAGTAGGCTATATCTTGGTATGCAATAAAAATAGATTTCTTTTAATATCAATCACTATTAATTTGGTGTATGAGAATATTGGGAAAAAAGATGGACAAAATAGTAAAAATATGTGACCTTTTTTTTAAACGGCAATCAACAATTAACCATGTGTAATCTGGATGCAGGTAAATCATAATAAAGAGTACTTGCAAAAGTTGATCACTATGCTTATCCTCCACAACGCAAACTTTTCCGGTTAGTCTCTTTGCCTCTAAAGGCATGTGGAATTAGTCGATTTACCATGGATCGTAAAAACAGACATAGACTTGGACAGCTCGTGGAATTATATAAAAAGAAACTTTTACCCGTGTGTATGAGAAGTGGATGTATATGGTTACATTACATCAGCATGGAGCCAGTCATCCCAAATGTTCATCTAAAAAAATCAACGACCAGAAATGTCAAGAGCCGGCTTGTTTTGTTATAAGAGGATGTATATATGAGGATCTTTCTAGTTCAATGTCAAACAAATATGTATGTTCAAAAGCAAAGAAATATTATTTACTAATAAAAAACACCCAACTGTTATTTATAGGCATAAGGAGGCTGAGGATCTTAAGCCAGTTCTCTTTTGAAAAACTAAAACAAAGAAAGAAAAAATGGAAGTACAAATCATTTCCAAAGAAAAGATCAAACCTTCTTGTCCAACACCAGACCACCTAAAGACTCACAAGCTTTCCATTATCGATCAATTAGCTATTCAATGCTATGTTCCTGTTATTATTTTTTATTCACCATCCCATAATCAAGATTCTAGCCAAATATCAACTCAGCTCAAGAAATCATTATCAGAAACATTAACCCATTTCTACCCTCTCGCAGGAAAAGCTATAAATGGTTCTTTTATTGATTGCAATGATGATGGAGCAAGTTTTGTTGAAGCAAACATTGTTGGTGACATGTCTATGGTACTTAACCAATCTAAAATTGAATTGTTGCGGTTGCTTTTACCTAGTAAGCTAAATGAGAATTTTGCTGAAAAAGAAATAGTTTCTGTTCAAGTTAATTATTTTACTTCTGGTGGGATAGTTATTAGTGTTTGCATTAAGCATTTGATTGCTGATGCATCAACAGTAGCTTCTTTTGTTGAAGTTTGGGGTAATATTGCTCGTTGTGCGACTAACAGTGTTTCTAATGGCATAATCTTTGACCGTACTGGTCTTTTTCCTCCTGTTAATAATAAAATAGAAGGTTTATCATGGGTTGAAGGTTCGTTATTACCTGAAACTGTGACTAAGAGGTTTTTGTTCGACGGTTTGAAGATTGCTGCACTAAGAGAAATGATTAGCAATGGAGTTTCTGTTGATCAACCGACACGTTTTGAGGCAGTTTCTGCACTTATTTGGGGTGCTTCTATATCTGCAGCAAGAGAAAGCGAAGAAAACGTTGACTCTCATGTAGCAGTAACTGTTGTAAATTTGAGAAAGAAATTGAATCCAAATTTACCACAACAGTGTATAGGAAATATCTGTCAGGTAGCAATAGCAAAATCTGCAATAGAGAAATCAACAGATTACAGAGAACTAGTGAGAAAAATTCGCAAGTCGATTGGGGTTTTAGATGATGGGTATGTGAGAAAGTTTCACGCAGAAGGAAAATGGTTTGATTTTGTGAAAAAATTAGTGGAAGAGCCAGGCAATAATTATAAGGTTAAACAGTTAAATTTTAGCAGTTGGTGTAGATTTCCTTTCTATGGAGTTGATTTTGGTTGGGGAAAGCCCATTTGGGTAAGTACTGTAATGGAGCAAGAAAATGGTGTCATTTTCTTGGATACTATTGATGGGCAAGGAATTGAAGCATGGATAAGCTTGTCCAGAGAAAATATGGATAAATTTGAAAAAAACCCAGAAATTCTTGAATTTGCTACTTTTAATCGAAGCACAGTGAAGATTGATTAAAGTGCAAATAAGGATTCTGGACCTTCTGGTTGTCCAGGCCACTTTTCTTAAGATGCCTGCCTATAGGCATAAAAATGAAAGGCATTTTTTCTCTCATTTCCTGTTCTTTTCCTTTGTATGCTAGTCCTGTTTACTACGAAGATCCTTCATTTTGAATTTTAAGAAACCAGGCCAAAACAATTCAAGGGGAAACAAGGATTATTAAATCAAAATAACTCATGTCTTATCCTGCAAAGCAAACCTAAATGAGTAAAAAAAAAATAAGGGACAGGTAAGATACAGAATTTGAATAATACCTCCAAATAAACTAATCCAGCAAAAGAGTGCATTTAACACAAAAGTACACTGTGAAGTACTCAGAATAGAATATACATGAGAGAGAGAGAGAGATGTAAGTTCCGCTGAAAGTGTAAAAAATTGAACAATAACTTGAGCAATCAAAGAATCGTCTCTAGCTTTCCTTTTTGTTTTGGTCTTAAATCTATTGAAACAGTTAATTCTTGATAATGCTTGCAACACAGTGCGACTGCTTATCTTATGGGATGATATTGATCAGAGATACGCTTCGGAGGCAGCTTCCGCAAGATGAACAGCACCATAGCAGACGGTACAACCTCCACCAACTGCATATATTTAAGGGAAAAAGAAAAACAACGAAGAAAAATATATGAGGACAAAATGTATAGAATGCAAAATCTTATTTCTGTCCTGTTTACCTAATAGTTTTTGAATGCGATGATGATCCAATAGGACATTTTCCAAGAAAATGCTATTAGAAATCTTTGACTAGCTGTTTCATAATTTAAATGGAAGCAGAGGTATTGTTCTAAACTTTTGATGATTAGCTATTCTTTCTTTTAGTTTTTTTGTTAAATCGATAAGCATTTCATTTTTGTATATTCTAAAACAAACGAGTTAAGGAATTATTTTTCTTCCCCATGCAAGAATGAGCCAAATTGTATTTTAATGGTCAAATATTTGCCATTTGAATTTGTTATGATAATCTGCCACCACTTCTGGTTTAATTTGGTAAAGGCAAGGATGTACAATAATGAAAGATTTTATTTCCATAGGGAGACGAAACTTACCATGTAATAAATAAGATTAAGAAGAGGATGATCTAGAACATCAAGATCAGCTTTCTTGTCAAAGGCTGAAATGCAAACCTAAAACATAGACCGAAAAAATGTCTTCACCCGAATATGCAAAATTTTAAAATAAAACTTGCAAAAGTCTAGTCAAATGGAACTCACCACAAAACATCTTATCAAGAAACAAGTGAAGCAAATTCCAGTCACAAATCCAACCTGCCATTTAAAAGAGTTGGTCATTCAGAGTTTTTATACCCAAAGATGCAAAGAAGTATCAGAGAGAATTGAATATTAACCAACCATGTAAAGAGTAAGTGTTAAAAGAGTTCAGTTCTATCAAAGTTAAAGCAGTTAAGAAGGGGAAAGCAAAGCTCTCAATCTCATTGAAAAACATTACCCTTCAAGAAAACAAATTATTAGGAATACATGTTTAACAGAAGAAATGTCCTTGTCTACTCTTTTGACAAAATCTTTTCAGAATTATTTAAAATTCAACTCATTGAAAATACTATAATATGGATGGGTAACTTTGAGCTATAGCACAAAGAAGATAGATGCCTCTGGTACAAACCTCATAAAGCTTCTTTTGACGACCTCTAGATTCAATGGGGAATCGCCTCAGCATGACAAACAGCCTAAAAGCCAAAACCAACTTGAGTATCATATACATTTGCAATAAGAAACGTTGAAATTTCTAAGGTTGACACCAACTATTACCTCCCACCATATATCAAGAATCCCAGAGCTATGCAGAATGAAATTACTACAGAGGAAATTAAAAAAAAGTCAATATTTTCCCTCATATATATGAACAACCTGCTAGAAATTTACTGAACTGGTCGAATTGATGGCTTCATCATTAACCTATTATAATTCTATATGCAAGCCCATAAGATTTACAGTTCAAATCACATCACTAGTTTAGATCACAAAGATGATATGGGGAAAAATGAAGGAAAACAAGTATACGAAGACTCAATTGAGGAAAAATAAATATCACTTTGATCATTGCTGACAAAAATGACCTGAAAAAAAGAGTTTTGCTAGTTCCTCCCCCATTGGACTTCCGCTTAATCTAATGTATATCCAGATACATGCCTGTCATCATGACAGAATAATTAAGCATCCACCAAAGGCTTATGAAGAGCAACTTGAAAAATATGGTTAGCCTATTTTCCTTGGAGCCAAGATGTAACTAATAATTATGGAATTGTGTGATTGTTTCACACCTGCGTGAAGTATATGAATCCATTGATGATGTAATAAGTTGGCCTGAGTTTATCAATGGGAAGGCTTCTTGCCTAAAGCAACGACATTAGGAATTGTCAGCATTCGTTGAAGCAAGATAGCAACAAACATGAAATTCATGGAAACAAATGAAACTGGTATACCTGGTGATATATCTCAGCCCAAAACAGGACTAATAATGTATATGTCGAAAAGAATAGAAGACTAGGAAGATCCAGAAGCACAATTTCAAGGGCCTGCATAGAGATGATGTTTGATGCAATGCAGATGAAAAAAGTAAGATTAAGTGAGGTGCAACAGAAATTGGATTAACCATTTAAGAAATCATATATTGTAGAATCATATTCACTTTCAATTCAGGAAAGCAGAAAATAAAGCAAAGAAGCTTTAGAGAAACTGAAAAGCAGGGAAAACAGGTTGCCGAAAAATTTACTAGATATACGTTTCTTCATTTTATCTGGTGCATTATGTGACTACCCTGTCAACCTCCTTGGCACACATATAAGTTTCACAAGATTAATCATGTATTAGGACAAAAAAGAGAGAGACACAGCTCACTTTTCACCTGGAAGTTATACCACGAAATAATAAATATACCTATATTTTTCACCTAAGTAATTTATTATATCATCGAAAATTTTCATGAATAAATTCATTTACAAAGTCCAGATACATTCAAGCTTAGTAATCTCATCTGGTAGAATAATTGTTATTTTTAGTCTCCAAGCCAGAAGATGGCAGTGATTATGAAGAAGATGAAACTGGTGTCTTATACAAGGAGTGAGCAGATGTTACATACTTTTCTTTTAGAGATATGAGCTCAAAAAATTAGATATCTAAAAGAGAAACTTACCTTTGGTCTAACACGAAACACATCCTTATACAGACCAAAGAGGATAGCCCTCACTGTCAAAAAGAAGTTTGGTTTTAGCAAGCTTAAACAACTTGTTAAGGCAAATCTGTGATAAATAAAGCATGGCCCTTACATCCATTCACAACAAAATTCATCAAGTGGAAAACCTTTTGCGTTGTCCATCCATATTCTGGTACTCTTAATTGGATGCGGAAAAGTTGTAGCTGAAAATTATACAACATCAGTGCTATTGAAAACATATGCTGTGTTCTTTTCCGGATCAGGAGGATAGTGAGTGTAAATAGGGGGAAAAAGAAAAAAAATAGAAAGAATATATACCGGCTATCATTTCCATAAATATTATAGCAAGAAAATAATAAATTTAAAGAAAGGTCATAAACCAAGACCAAGGACAAATACAACAATCATAAGTCCATTTTAGCCTCAATACTATGAAAATGCAACAGGGCGTTATCCTCATGATGGCATCACTAAGTTGAGTATTTTACTAATACATGGGATTGAAGTTTTCCAAAATAAAAAATAACCAAAGAAGAAAAAGAAGAAGAAATTTAAAAAATTATTAGGTTCTTTAAAAGTACATGGAGAAATACACCCACACATTAAGAATGCATATATTTATCTCTGGAATCCTAATAAAAAAGGATCTTCAATGAAATAATCCCAAAACAACCTATATGAATAGTCAACTCGTGAAGAAAGCTGTCAACTAATATACAAAGCAAAGAGGGAAAGAAAATTTAATAAGAAAAGGAGAATTCATTAGATTTAGACATATCTTCTCAGAAGCAAACATGCCTACTTCAAATGCCATCGGAAGATGAATCACAACTTGGTCGATCGTAAGATTATATGTACTGAAGGAAGACGAAGAATCTTTCTAGCAAATTATAAAGAATAAACAAAAAAGTAATCGGATCAAGGTTTCTCTTCTGTTGTGGACTGAACAAGAGTAAATTGGTTAAAGATTAATGTACAATTTCATATGTTTGAGCTTGGCTCAATTAAGAGGCAAGAGTGCATGCAATCTCTTAAACCAAAGAGCAAGACAAGCTCAAGCTATTCAGCTCGTCCAACACCTTTTATGTGTTTAATTATGAATACAGTAATAACTATATCATGGAGACATAATCAAGAATGTATAACAGAAACATTTTGGAATTACTAGTTCCACTAGGCCTAAGAAAATTGTTGCCAAAAGGCAGATTTTGCTTAACTTTACAATAGTGCCTTCAAATATTTCCTAGTAAATGCAATATAGAAACAAATATATAACCAGTTGAATTTGACCTGAGATAAGGTTAGTTAATTAGTTAAACATTGAAAATGACTTTTCTCTAATTAAATATATATAACATGTCCATTCTATAAATAACCAAAAACCAATTAATGATTTTTCTCAAGTATATATATCTTACAAGTCACAAGACTATACCTTTCATTAATTGACACTTTCAAAAGTGATAATAAGAACAAAATTTCAATAAATATAGAAAATCAAGAAACAGATTTTTACAAAAAAAAGTTTACTCTTTTTTCTTTTGCATAATAATACAACTCAAGAAAATGGAAATGAAGGGTAAACCCATCATTACTAGTTAGAATCAACAAGAAAAGCCACAAACATTAAAAAAATAAAATAAAACAAAAGCGAAGGGGAAAGTTAAAACACACCAGAGCAACAATGGAGACCAATGCATAGGAAACAGACAAGAAGTAGAAAATGCCTCTTTGCCAATCCTTAGACTGATCGATCTCATCCCACCAATGGAATCCATTTCCACTAGTATAAACCAATCTTTCTCCAATCTCAAAACCTTTTGTTCTCAAATTCCACGCCATTGATCACAATTATTATAAGCCTTCAAGAATCAAGAACAAGTAAAGGCTGGTTGGTTTTGTTCTAAGAGAGAAAGGTGGAGTTGGGTTTGGGCCATTTGGATAGAGAAGAGCTGAAACACGTAGAATAGAAATTAGTTACACGCGTTAACGAATAAAAGAACAAAAACAGAAGAGACAATATGTGTTGGTGGCATATTCGTTAATTGCGCAACGGACATCCATAGCTTAGGTAAGATTTGCTTTGTATCGGAGATTACCATGTTGCCATTGCCATTGCCATTGCTTGCCGGTTCTTGATTAAAGCTTTGACAATCTACTTCTTTCTTGCAAGTATCTTTCCTGTTCTGTTCTTTTCTTTCCCTTCCCCCCGGCCTATATCACTTTTTTATTCTTAGAAAATTCGAATAATCTTAATGTTCTTTCCAATTAGAATAACAAATAATTTAGGCTCCATTTCTTGTTGAGTGATAAAAAAAATAATTAATGAAAAATATTTTTTGATAAAAGGAAAAAACTAAAAATCATTTGGAGAATGACTATTTTATAAAAGATTTTCTAGAAATTGATAAAATTATTTTTTATAAATTTAAATTACTGGCTCCATATTTTATATATTTTTGTAATTTCATTCTATTTTAATTCTTGTTAATTTTACTTTAATTTTGATTTTTATGGCAAAAGTATTTTCAATTATAATTAAGTATGAAATTGAAAATAAAAAAATATGTCTAACCGATAAAAATTTGAAAAAAAAATTCATTAATCTAAATAAATAATGTTAAACATATTAATTTTTAATATAAATGTGCTAATTAATAATTTAATAGCATAATTTTTCCTTACCAAAAAAAAATTCAAATATGGTATAAAATTAAATTAATAGAATATAATTTACATCATGTACTTTTAAAGATGAAACTATCGTGATTATAGCAATTTTTTAGACTGATCATATAGTTAAATCTTTATTAATTAATAAAAAATAAATAAATATTTTATTAATATTTTAATTTCACATATCTTAAATATCACATTTTTAAATTTATAAATATGTAACCAACTAGATATAAATATAATTTGGTATTCAAATGATATTTAAAATTTCATTTTACTATTAATTTTTTTAAGAAAGATAAGTCGATTTCTTTTTATAATTTCATTCTTAATTATAAATAAGAGTATTATTGCTATAAAATGTCGAAATGAGACAAAATTGATAAAAATATCAAAATGGAATGAAATGCAAAAGCCTACAAAATTTAGAATATTATGTATAGTAGGTCAAAATTATTAATTTACAAGTTATTGGCTGCTATATTAATCACCACCAACTATCACCATTGATTATTTTTTACCTTCGGCTCCACCGCTGGTCAATCGCGATTGCTTTACTACAACTTTATCATATTTATGCCTTTTAATTCTAATTTCTAACTATTTTCATAAATTTGTAAATTAAAATTAATTTTCACCATTACAACTAAATAAGTAAATAGCATAAAAATGAGCATTTAGAAAACATTCTAAATAAAATATTTTCATTGTAAAATATTTAAAAATAAATAAATTATTTTTGAAAACAAATGAAAATTATTCTTATTAACTTATGCAGTGATATTATGATGGGTATTGATATTTATTTTTTTATATTAAAGGTGAAGTCATATGAGTATCAATATTTTAAATCACTTATAAAAATTTTTAAATGACAAAAGATAATATTAATTTTGATAAAATTAATTATTTTAAAAATATGATTTTTGCATTATGTGTTAATGAACCATTAATATCGTTATGCGATAAAAGCTAAAACTAATGGATTCATCTCATAAATAATAGGTGATTAGATCAGTGCGATTGAAATACATCTTCGAGTCAGTTTTATATACAAGGTGCAAAATTTCAAATTTGGAGTATCTGCTATTGAATAATCCTTAACTCGATATAAAAATGTGTGTATAAAAAAGAAAAATAACTTAAAAATATCTATTTATCTAGTGTTTTTTTCGAGTTATTTTTCGGGAGAAGCTAGAAACATTATATTCTAGATTTAAAGGAAAAAATGATTTTAAACTCGAATAAAAATTCTTAACAACAGTGGAATAAAATATTTTTAAAGAAAAAAAATTTACATTTGCGGTCTGATTTGTGCTAGTGAATAATAATGGAATATAGATACGAGATTTTATTTCCTATTTTATTCAATATATTAAATATGAATGATAACTTATTTGTTCATTTTAAATGTTTTTAAGGTAATTACACAACGATAAAAAAATTAAACAATCTGAATTCTAAAAATAGAAAGTTATATTAATGAAATTACCAAAATTAATATAAAATTTTAAATATAATTAATATTTTCTTAAATTTTCAAAACCGTATATGAAGTGAAATAAATTTTTTGAAGTAACACTGTGAAATTGATAGTATAAAAAGGCGGATTTGTTATAAATATACTTGAATAAATTTGTTTGTACTAAATTTTGGAAGAACTATGGCCGTATAAGCCTCCAATAAATTTAAAAAAAAAAATTTTAAAGAACTATTTTAAAAATATTTGAAAAATTACCATTTAATCTCTATATTTTAAAGGAAGTTCGATGGTCTAAATATCGAGAAATATAATTGATAATGAAAATCAACTGCAAGTACGTTATACACATTATAGAAAGTTACATTGTTCTAGTATTCTTATCCCAAATTAATCATCACCTTAATAGTTTAATATATTTAAAAATTAATGATAAAATTTTGTTTTTTCAGAAATGGAAGTACAAAATAGTTACATTTGATAAAATGTGGAGATGAAATAGCAATATCCTTCAAAATTGAAACAAATAGTAGATTTATTATTAAAAATAAAAAATTGAAATGAAACAGGAACGACATAGAAAACATTCCTTGTAAACCAAGCCGAAAGAATATTCGCGCGTAACTGCACGACGCCCGCCTAACCTGAACCAAAAACTCTAAGCCCCGGCGTAAGATAGCATCAACCCACAAAAACCCCGAGATCAAAATTGCCCCCCTCCGCCTCCTCTCTAAAACCCTTCCTAAACCCCATTTCTCTCACTTTCTTACTAACTCTCTAACATTTCCTTACAATCATGACAAAGCCACTGAGTCTGATCAAAGAAAATGTCTCGAATCCGAAGGTATGGATGGTGATAGGCGTAACTGTGGCGGGGATCGTGGTGCTAGCGGAGACGCGGAGGCGGAGGCGAAAGGCGACGTTGATGAACCGGGAAGACTTTGGAGCGTTCGTGGAGAGATTCGAGATACTTCCTTTCCCTCAGCCTCCTCCTCCCGCAGCCAAACAATCTCTCTCTGGCCTTACATTTTCTATCAAGGATATGTATGTATCTCTTTCAAGCTATATGTAGTACTTAGTACTTGTTTTTTAAATTTTTTTATGTGTTGAAGTTTATGGATTGTTGAAAAAGGAAGAGAAAATTTTAGGAAAAAAAAGAAAAAAAAAAACATGTTGGCCCCTTAAACTTACTGTTTCTTGTATATTAAATTTATTGTTGTTTGTATATTAAGGATTCTTCCACGTTAAGCACCTATATTTTTTATTTCGGACTTTTTTGATGGCAAAATAAGTTCTTTCATCGTTTTTTCCCTAAAGAAAGATCAGCGGGGGAAAAAAAAATTTGAGGCTCAACGCGAAGAAATAAAAATTGTGTGGGCTTTTCCTGAAGTTTATGACGTGCGGTATTGTTGTTTGTGTTGCAGATTTGATGTGAAGGATTATGTGACGGGGTTTGGGAATCCGGATTGGGGGAGAACGCATGGCGTGGCTGAGAAGATGGCGGTGGTAATGACCGCTCTTTTGAAAAATGGGGCTACCTGCGTTGGCAAGACTGTAATGGACGAATTAGCAATGGGGTAAAATCCTTTCACTTTGTACTTTTATGTGCTATGCATTTTTGCTGGTGTTGTCCAAATTTTGTTGAGCTTATCCTTTTTGTTTTTCTTGTTATATTAGGATAACCGGTGAGAATATGCATTATGGAACTCCTATCAATCCACAAATGCCATCATTTGTCCCTGGAGGTTCTTCTAGTGGTTCAGCTGTGGCTGTTGCTGCTGAGCTTGTTGATTTTGCCTTGGGTAAGTTCATTTGTTTATTGGTTGAATACCAAATTATGATTTAAATTACATCAGATATGCAATTCCAAGGCTAATGGACGTTCCTATATTATTTGAAGTTTATTATAGATTGCTCTTTTTAGATCTTATGTGATCAGAAGATTTGGTTCAATAACTTTTTGAAGAACTCATTCATGTCAAAAATAGTTTGAATTTCTTGGTGTTTTTTCTTAGCGTGAAAATTAGTAATGAGGATGTCAATTTATTTGGTGAGTAACTGTGAAAATGGAGGAAATATTAAAAAAATTGTGATATAATGCAATTATTTTGAAGAATACTTTTTATCACAGTATGTTAAGGGCCTCAACGGGAAATGATCAAAGTTATAATTATATCACATTATAATCTTGAGAAAACTGTTCCACCCACCATGTCAAGTGCACGATTGGCATTCTTATTGTACTACATTCCCACACAATTACCAAATACAGACACCTGATGACATGTTATAATTTGTGAGGATGGTAAACTGCCTTTTCTTATTCTAGCTAGAAGAAAGGGTTCTCTAGGCTCAATCCTATTTCGTGTAGTTCAAATTTTGTAGATGAATTTATGTCTCAATTATGCAAACTCATTATATGAGACAATTTTGCAGGAAGTGATACAATTGGTTGCATTAGAATTCCAGCGGCATTTTGTGGTATCTTTGGTTATCGGCCATCCCATGGGAGTATATCTATGATTGGAGCTATTCCGAATTCACAAAGTCTGGACACCGTTGGTATGGATATATTTACATTATGCTGTAAACATGTTGTAGAAAAAAGAGGTAGAAATTAGTCTATCAAAACTGATATCTAGGTTTCGTAGTTTGGTTGGTCGAGATTTGATTGTGCAAGTGCTTATTCAAGCTCATTTCAAGGTTCTAAATAAAAGTTGACAAACAAGGCTAGACTTGCCTCACAGGTTAATAATTTTGGGATGTCTCCTAAATGATTCTAGCATGATAATTATCATTAGGAGCATAATAAGTCAATTTACTCACAAGCTGTCTGATCTCAACTTGCAAAGTAGTGTTTGGAGTCTAGTTTGAGCATCACATTTTTGGACTTGAGTAGCTGGTAAGCCTACATGATTATTTATTTTACAATATATTTATGTTATGTATAAAATGTAATATTTAAATAAATGCTTTATGCTCATCATTTATTTATGACCATGAAAACGAAACACTAATTTGAGCTTGAACTCAATCACAGTTGCACTTAAATTTAACAGTTCTGTGGAACTTGGCTTTAGTTTTTAATGGTATTGCAAAGAGTTGATTGACCTCAAATGTCTTGAGTATTTCTTCAAGACTTTGAGATGAAAACTAAGATTATAGAGTTTAGTTGAGTTTTAGTGCTACGTTTTACAATTGAGTCAAATTCAAATATTATACTTTATGGATTTGACTGATCTTGATTTTTCTATAATAGATGCCTCAGTAGTTGTCAATATGGGAGAGAAAGAACATTTAGCGTGTGCTTGAATTGGGTTCAGTTGAGGGCTGAATAGGAACTACGGCCCTTTCAGTTTCCTACTCTTCAGGGTATATGGGATGCTTTTGACTTCAGTTTGCAAATTAAGACTGGATTCTAAGACAAGTCCCAATGCAAACTTAAAGAGAATTATGTGATTTATGCAGTATTTGTATCATTATAGTGAGGTTAGCATTATACACCAAATACAATATTTTTGTGTTTGGTTTTGCTTGTTGACATTGTTAGATTTGAGATCAGGCTTGGTTTTTAGCTTGGCCCTTTTATATATTGAGTCCTGGGGTTGTGCTTATTGAATCCTGGGGTTGTGCTCATTGGATTATTGAAGAAGTATTCACATATTTGGCTACGTACTTACCTGTTCTAAACTGCCACATCTGCCCCCTGCTTTTCCTTTTTCTCTATGGCAGTTAAATCTATGTAAGAATTGAAATATTCGAGGCCTATATTTACTTGAGTGGCCTCTTTGCACATGCTTGCGCTCATCTTGCTTGAGTGACCTATTCGCACATGCATGTGTTTTTGTCAGCTAATCTCATTTGATCATTTTGAGTTGCTAAAACATTTCTATGGTAGAAGCTCTCTTACATACTAGTTCTTAGGGTCTTTTAGGACTTCCGTTGTTCTTCTTTACAAATTTTATTTTCTTCCCTGTTTATTTGTTTCTTATCCCTATGACATTGTTTTAGGTTGGCTTGCACGCGATCCTTCTGTATTACATCGTGTTGGACATGCTTTATTGCAATTGAATGCTGTGGAACCCAGAAGGGCAAGGCGCCTTATTTTTGCTGATGATCTTTTTCAGCTTTCTAAAGTGCCTAAGCAGAAGACTGAATATGTTATTAGCAAAGCAATTGAAAAGCTATCTGGGTGTAAGTTTCAACTTCAAGGCTCCTATCTGGTTTTGGTTATGTAATTTCAATGTTATAGTTTATTATCATATTTTAATAATGATATGCAATGATTTCCCACTCAAAATTGTGTGTATTTGTTGGGTTGGAGAAGGAGAGACACTCTAGCTACATGCATCTTGAACTTGCTATGTTGTTGTTTTGATTGCGCAGACCAGCCTCTGAAGCATATGAACTTAGGCCAGTATATTGCCTCAAATGTACAGTCTCTAAAAGGGTTCTGTGAAGAATCTACGCACCTGCAAAATGGAACATCTACTTTAAAAGCTCTTTCATCTGTGATGGTTTCCTTACAAAGGTACTCCAGAATTTTCAACTTTTTTTCCTTGGACTATCTTTTTTCCAACATGTGTGTGCCTGTGCATTGAATAAATCAATGCTATATTGATTGGCATGTGTATCTGAACAGTTTACTTTTTTTTTTTTAAAAATTTGATGTAGTCTTTTGATATTGATTGTGAATTTATGTTTGCACGCTCATTTTAGTGTTTTTATTCCTTTTAAATTGTGCATGTTTATGAATCTCTTTCTCTGGGTGTGTATTGTGGCTCCATTAGCCTTGTTTGAAAAGTTATTGATGTTTTTACTTCCAGAGGTGCTAGATCTATAAGATGGGGCCTCGAAAAAACTACAAGTTAAAACTATTTTGGTATTATTGTGAGAAAAGATGTTGTGGTCTTGAAATAAACTGTCAATAAAAAGACAGAATAATAAGTTTTTTAAAGAATAAAAGCAAATGTCCAAATTATGTACAAAAAAACTAGAGAAACATTAATGTCAACCTGGTATAATCTGCTATACTGAAATTGAAGAATCTTAATTGACTATCTAAAATTACGAGTAGATGTAATCCCTCTCCTGCAAAAGCGATCTCATTGTGCTCCATCTAAACTGGTCAATCGTAAGATAGCTTCAATAGATGCATTTTCTTTCCAGCTGAAAGATGGGTTCTCCATAGTATTGACTGCAGACCATTCAGTGTCCTTGAAAGTATAACTTTTTGATTTTGAGCTTCACTCCTAGTCTGGTTCCTATACCTCCAGATCACTTGTTTTCTGGATAACTGCAACTATGAGAAATGGGGCATCCATATCTATTGGAATCATGTTTCAGTTTTTTATATGGAATTTTGACATGTTAAAGTTATGCATAGAAAGTTGGTCATTAACTTTAGGTCATATGGTATTGCAAACATCGTCTTAGCTTGGCTGTTAGCCTCATTTGTGGTTTATGCCTTACCTTTTGGCTATGTTGCATGGAAATGGAAACCAAGAAATGCGGAAATGCTGAAATAATACGGGGAAATGACATTTAAAGTATTATTTTACTCAGAGAAACGGTATTTTATATGAGGAAACGGATATGTGGAAACATTTTCGAAACGTGGAAATGCCCATGGCTAGAAGTTTCTGTGCATCGTAGCCTTTTGGCAAGTCTTTGGTGGGAAATTGTTTGACAATTCTTGGCTTGTTGATAAATGCTTCTTATTTGCTTTCTAATGCTAGAAGTCAAGCTTGTGCTTTTCATATGGTTTATGTCAAATTCTTTCTTTTCCCTTGTTGCTACCCTTGAATGTGGAAGAAACCACCACATTGCACTTCAATTCTCGTCTAGGTTTCATTTGGACTAACATCTATACTGCATATATTGCTTTTCAGATATGAATTCAAAACAAACCATGAAGAATGGGTTAAATCGGTAAAACCCAAGTTAGCACCTGATGTCTCTAATCATGTTCTTGCAGCTATTAATACTACATATGAGAACATAAAAATGCTATACAAGATTAGATCTGAGATGCGAACTGCCCTTCATAGTCTCCTAAAGGTATTCCTACCTTCTTATTTGTAGTTTTGTCTAGTATTTTGGCTTGATTGCATTCCATTGCAGAAATTGATTTTTTAAACCCGGGCTGGGGGTTGGGAAGAGGAGGGGGGGGGGGGAGAAATTGGAATTTTTTAACCCCGGGGCTGGGGGTTGGGAAGTAGGGGAGGGGGGGGGGGGGAGTTATGGTGAAGTTTCTAGGATATAACTCATCTTCTCTTGGTGCAACTATCCTCTTTGTTTTTATTTCATCATACTTGCTGCGCCACCCCAATAGTTGGTCATCTGCTTGGTCTTACTTCTTTGGATGTCATGAAGTTCTGATTCTTTCAAAAGGTTTTTCATGGAAAGACTTTGACTTAAGTATTGCAGATAGATCTCTTTTTTAAACTTTTTGGGGGGGGGGGGGGGGAGTTATGGTGAAGTTTCTAGGATAAACTCATCTTCTCTTGTGCAACTATCCTCTTTGTTTTTATTTCATCATTACATTGCTGCGCCACCATAGTTGTCATCTGCTTGTCTTTACTCTTTGGATGTCATGAAGTTTCTGATTCTTTCAAAAAGGTTTTTCATGGAAATGACTTTGACTTAGTATTGCAGATAGATCTCTTTTATAAACTTTTGGAACTCATCATATTGCTAGAACATTTGGTAATTTTAGTAGGTCTTGTACTTTATACATGATGCAAAGAAGATTCTTATGCACCATTCAGTAGGTAATGGAAAAATTAAAAAAATTCTATATAAAGAGAAATGAAGCTAGAATTATCACTAAATTAGCTTTATAATGTGTCATAACTCTCTCCTCCTTGTGGAAACAAATATGGAAGCACAATTTGTTGCAAATCTCATATAGCAAGGATTAAACATTTAAGTTGGTTTGGGTTAAATGAGTGGATATGTCTAATATCTATGTTCACATCATGATTGTAATGTGTTTCAGTTCTTATCTTTGTTGACAGGATGATGGGTTGTTAGTTATTCCCACAGTTGCAGATCCTCCTTTTAAGCTTAATACAAAGAAAGTATATTCTACAGCGTCTTATGATAGAGCATTAATACTTTCAAGCATTGCTAGCATGTCTGGATGTTGTCAGGTAACTTGGTATTATTAGTTTCTGGGTTTTTTTTTTTAATTTTTTTTTTAATCTCTACGGTTTAATTTCGAAGCTGCTTTTAGTCATTATTTTTTATTTATTGTCTTATATTTGTATCCCACTTTCAGGTTACCATTCCCTTAGGAAAGCATGATGGTTTCCCTGTCTCTGTTTCATTTATCTCGTTCCATGGGGCTGATAAGTTTGTTCTTGATACGGTTTTGGACATGTACTCAGCTCTTCAAGAGCAAGTTGGCATTGTTTCTAATTCAGCACCAATACCAGATATCAATGGAAATATTGATGCCTCTGAACTTTTGAAAGAAAAGGTTGGTTTTCCTATTTCACACGTTATTGCTTCATCTTACTTCTACCAGTTCTTTGTTTTTTAAGAAGGATCCTACCAATAGTTTTTGGAATGAGTTTTGTTTGCATTTCCTTTTCTTAGTTCCCTTTCCTTTCTCTACTGCCTTGTAGTCTATTTAAGTTGCTCTTGATGTAATATCAATTTGGGCTGTTTTTGCTCAAGAAGCACCTTTCTACAGTTCTATGCATAAAATTGTGGGATTGTAACAACAGTATGGTTTGTCAACGAAACTCTTTCACTGAGCATGCGCCATCCTTTCCAAAGGTCCCAAACTGAGTTTTTAACTGTTACTATACTTTTGCTTGATAAGTTGGCTTTTTATTCATTCATGCAGATAATTTCTGCTTATATATAAATATAGCCATGTAGTGTCTTGTTGGCTAGGCACAGATTGTAAATTGAGGCCTTGCATTTGCTTCTAATGCATTTATTTGGAAGTTAAGTTATCCAATTGCCAATGAATGGCATGATTTGATATTTAAGATGCAGATTGGAAACACCCACAACTAATACCATTACCTCCTTTGTTCCCTCTACTTTAAACCATGCAATTTTGGGTTTATGTAATTGATGGACTGATGTTGTCGTTCTCTTTATATATATTGCCAATGGCTTTGGATCATCTTGGACCTTGGGGAATATTTGATTTATAATTTCCATGTAAAATTCTCCTTCCATTTCAACAAATGTTTTGCTTACTTTTCTATTCTTGAAAATTTCTCCTTTGTGGCTTTGTCATAGGTAGCTGTGCTTTATCTTTTGTCTGATTTGTTAGTGAGGACATAATTGTATTAACAGTCCTATTTATGTGGTTGTTTTGCACTGTCTATGTGTATTTTACACTTATGGCCTGTTTAGTAGTTTTTTAATGCATAATCTGCGGAAGGTGTTCCATTTACATTTCTGATGTCAACTTTCACCCTCATGGACCCTTTAACTGTATGATTCTTTTGGCGTAACTTTGTTGCCAAAATCTTCTACGAGATACATTGGAAGTCCCTTATGACCAGCTATTAGGTGGCTTTGTCATTACACATTGATAAAATGAAATGAATAAAGTTGTTTTTGGTTTTACTGATGAAGAATTCATTCCAGGGGAATGCTGCATTTAAGGGGAAGCAGTGGAATAAGGCTGTCAATTACTACACTGAAGCTATTAAGTTGAATGAGTTAAATGCAACTTATTATTCCAACCGGGCAGCAGCTTTCTTAGAATTAGGATGGTATGATATTTTGTCAAATTTTAACTTTTATTTTTGCTACATTGCTCTGTACATAACTTGCTTGTTTACATACCAATTGCTTTCAACATATGCAGCTTTCAACAAGCTGAAGAAGATTGCAGTAAGGCAATATCACTTGATAAAAAGGTGATTGGATCAACCTGGGAGATTACTTTGCCAAACATTCTTTTCTAATATTTTTATTACTCCATAAAACTTTTAGCAACTACAATTGGAGACAGAAAAGGAAAAAAAAAAAGTCCTGTTTTCTTGAAGCATCATACATATTTAGTTAGATTATAATGGTCTTCACTCAGGACTTTTTGGATGATAATATAATTTAAATAGGAGTAATATGAACCTAGAGCAGTTGTTTCTATTTTTTAATTAATTAATTTTATGATGGATCATGACATTATCTGAAATGGGGAACAAATCTGTAAGAGAAACAAAAATTGTCTAGCATATGCTTTCCATCAACTGCCATATGTAGTCCTTGATATTGGAGTTTTAGTTGTATTATACTCTCTGAACATTGTGCAATAGAATGTTTTGGGCATGAAGAAATTTATATCCCATTTTTCTTCCATAAGTGGTAAGTACTAACTAGGAGGTTTACCACTCAATATTAGATAGACAAAATGTTGATTGGTGATATTGACAATGATCTGTCTTTCTTTGCAGAATGTAAAGGCATATTTGAGGCGTGGAACAGCTAGAGAATCACTTCTTTTCTATAAAGAGGCTGCTCAAGGCGAGTCTTCATTTTATGCAGTTATAAACTGTGCATGCTGTGTGTTTTCCAAGTTTAGGAAATTTACATTAATTCCATACATGTCATATGAAAGCCTTTATCATCTGCTACTGTAATTTAATGAATGATCAACATAACAAGGTAATCTTCCAAGTCTATGAGACGTGAAATGCTAATCCTAGGTCCATACAAACATGGAGAGGCACATATCTCTATTTGTATTTAGTCTTGTTTCTATTTCCTCCCTTATTTCTTACAAGAAATTTCATTTCTTGGTATTTACAGATTTCAAGCATGCTCTTGTTCTTGAGCCGCAGAATAAGGTTGCTAGTCTTGCTGAAAAAAGACTGAGAAAATTGATGAGTTGATGCTTCACTCTTTCCTCCTCAGTCCTCACTCAGCGCCAAAATGTATAAGCATTGATGAAGATCCAATCCAAAGTGCATTTTCCTTTAGATGCTACAATTTTGAGTTAAAAAAGGAACAAAAAGAAAGAGAGAGATGTTCTGTGCATAGCGTTTTATCACATTCAATGTATTTTTACTTTGAAAGTTCTTAGATGAGATTAAAGACAGCAGTGGCTGTTTTAATTGTATTTATGATCATTACAATACAACTCAAAGTTGCATATTGTTCAAGAGGAAAAAGATGCGAGTGCTTACATGTGTACACAATGTTTTCCTTTTTTAAATATCTATCTAATGCCTGGAAAATTTTGCAAGACTATAAAATAGCTTTTGGTTTAATTTTCTATACTGTGAAATTGTAATTTCATATTTGTTGAATTTTTAAAAATTTTTCCCTCATTATAAATAAAGATTATACTAAATAAAAAAATTCAAAAAATTGAAAATTTCTCAACGATTTAATCTTAGAAAAATAAATTCTATTTTAAACTTAAGAAATTAGTTTGATTGTATCAACATGTGAAAATGAAAAGTAAATAACATCTTTAACTATATATATTTCTGTCTAGGCGCCTAATCACCTAAAGTTGGTGGGACTATATATAGTTAAAAATCTTATTTTTGTCCTCAAACCGAACAAGGAATTGGTATTTTAACTTCATTTTGTCAGAACTTACAATCATTCTTGTAATAGTTCCACTCTTTTCGGAGAATGTATATACATAGATCTTCCCTATCTTCAATCATTTTCTTGCTGCTGTGCGAAATCCATGCTTCCTAAATCCACAGCTTCTAATTCTTTTTCCTTTCTCATAATCCATCTTGATCAAAATGGCTAGATGTTTCAGCTTCACCTCTTCTCGCGACTGGTTCTACCGTTACTCCTTTTGCAATGCCGGTCTGCGGTCAACCTCCACCGATCTCTGCGATGGCACCCACATGCATTGTTGGGTACCAAGAACCCCCAAACTCTCAAAACCCAATCTTGTTCTAGTCCACGGCTTTGGAGCCAACGCAATGTGGCAATACGGCGACCAACTCCGTCACTTCACCGCCCGTTTTAACGTCTACGTGCCGGATCTTCTCTTTTTCGGCGAGTCGTACACGTTGAGACCAGAAAGGCATGAGTCATTTCAAGCTAAGTGTTTGATGAAATTACTGGTGAAGCTTGGGGTGCATAAAATACGCCTTGTTGGGGTAAGCTACGGAGGGTTTGTTGGGTATAGTTTGGCGGCGCAGTTTCCTGATGCTGTTGAAAGGATTGTGTTATGTTGTGCTGGTGTTTGTTTGGAGGAAAAAGATATGGAAAGTGGTCTGTTTAAAGTTTCTAATTTAGATGATGCAGCTGATATTTTGTTACCTCAAACACCTGATAAATTAAGAGAATTGATGAAGTTTTCATTTGTTAGACCTGCTAGAGGGGTTCCTTCTTGCTTTCTTGCTGATTATATTGATGTAAGTCGGCATTTTCTTTTCTTTTTATCATATTTTCTTGATGAAATTATATTGACTATATTTTCTAATTTAGAGCATTATTCCTCTTTGTAATCTTTTGATCTTTTTGGACAGGTTATGTGTACAGAATATGCAGTGGAGAAGAGAGAACTAATTCATGCAATACTTAAGAATCGAAAGCTTTCTAATCTACCAAAGATCACTCAGGTTTTACCTTATTCAAATGATTTATCTTCTAATTAATACCTGGAGCTAGCTCTCATTCATTCTGGATATTGTACTTCTAATTAACTTTCTTGTAACTTTCTGGATTTTATCTTCTTTTAAATTTGTTCATCATTTCACTAACATCGTTTCCATATTGAAACAGCCAACCTTGATAATATGGGGAGACCAAGATCAAATTTTTCCTGTGGAACTAGCTTACAGATTACTAAGGTTGAAGCATGACTTCTGCTTCTTTTTGTTATTAATCCTTTTTATATTTCATGCATATAGTTTAGAGTTTGCTCAGTCCTTTCATGATAAATTGACAAGAACATCAAACTCAAATCAATAAAAGTTGTACCACCACCATCACCGTTAAATTCTTATCAAATCGATTAGTAGTATGAATAATTATCTTGTAATTAGACCTGTTAATCCATAAAGCTTGGCACATGAAAAAAAAAAAAATGTCAAATTTCCAAAAACTTGATTTCCTCGGGTCACAAGTTTCTTCACAGATTGAGACTTATGATCCGAATAACGAATAAGTCTACCTGTGAACTACCAAAAGAATAATTGAAAAGAAAGGGTAATTACAATATAGTCTTTAAGGTTTTGCTCAAATACACTGGGTAAGAATTTCAATTTTTAAAATTATACTATTCAGTCCTTATATTATAATTTTGTTACACTATAAGATCTAACCGTTAGTTTTTCTATTAGGTACCTGTGAAAGTCTACAGTAACCCTAAAGATAATTACAATATACTCCTCATGTTTTGGTGAAAAAACTAATAAGGATCTCAATTTTTATAATTTTACATTATTAGGTAATTCTCTTTAAGAGTATTTTTGATATTTCACAACCATTGAATGGAAAAACTAATCTTGGACTTAATAGTATAACAGACTTATAATGTATGGACTAAATAATGTAATTTTGAAAACTGAAGTCCTTATTAATATATTTGATACAAACATAGGAACCGTATAATAATTACTCTTGAAAAAGTTGGATTTGAAATAGATGATAAAAATTTCTCAAAGATACAATTTTACACAGAAAATTGCATATTGTATTAATTTTTTAATCAATTTAAACAATAAGAAAAATTAAAATGTATTTTCCGGTTTTCCAATTTATGCTTCTTTTCTTATGTATAATTATAATTACAATATGGTTTTGGCTAACCAATTAAAATATTGTAATATAGGCATATTGGACGAAGTGCAGACTTAGTAGTGGTTAAGAATGCTGGACATGCTGTGAACCTAGAGAAGTCCAAAGAGTTCGGTAAGCACTTGAAGTCCTTCCTTGTTGATTCGGATTCGCCGCCTGCCACCACCGTATCACTAATGAAGCTCTTCGAGGACAAAAGTTTCCATTAATCGTTAATTCATCCCTAATTCTTGTAATATAATTATTTTTGCTTTTTTTTGTACATTTTTCAAAAAAAAAAAAAAAAAAATTGAATTCCAATCATAAACCTTATGAAATTTTCAAGTGAACCTCATCATTTGTTTTATTCATTTATTTTCAATTAAAAGAAGGATTTATTAATTTAGCTATCTATATAAGTTCATATATATTATCTAGTTCAATTATCCCACAGCCAAAAATATAATATAATCCCTGAAATTTCAAAAAAAATTTTATGGTCCTTTAAAATTTGAAAATTGAAATTGTGGACTTATGGACTTTACTTTTTAACTTTGCATCCTTATGAGATTATGAGATTATTAATTTTTTGAATTATGAGATTATTAATTTAAAAAATGATATTCAAGAATAATAAAAAAAGAAATTTAGGAAGCTAGAAAGTCAAAAATTAAAATTTAAAAGGCCATAAAATTATTTTCACACTTCAGAATAAATCACAAATTTTTAGTATTTTTTTTTTTTAATTCAGAGCTTGAATTATGTATTCACGGGTTATATCTCTCTATTCGGCTTTCCAAAAGGAGGGAAAACGAAAAGCTTTGAGATGTCGATATGTCATTAATTGAAAGATACTAGGTTGTACAAATACATAATCAGCTGATTTCCATTTTCCACCGCAAAATCAACCCACGCTATCATCCAACAAAAATCCTCGCGCATACAGACTTTCTACAAATAAAATTCCCCGTTTCCCACGGCAATTACCCACTTCGTCGTTATTCTCACCGTTACAACTGCCCAGAACCTTCCCATTTCACTTCTCCAACTACCTTTTTCTCATCTTTCTTGGAAGGATTTACAAGACTATTACCGTTCACAGCCGATTCGAAACAAATGAGTGATTCGTAGAATTCATTTATAAATAAATTATAATTAATATTTATTTACAAATGGATTTGTTATTTTTATATATTATAATTTAAAATAAAGAATTCAATTGATTCCATGCAATTATGTTTAGAATAAATTCTTAAATAAAAATTTATTTGTCTTTATTTCTTATGTCACTCTTGACATAATAATTTAATAAAAATAAATAACAAACGCTAATTATATTTATCATGTACAATATAATAACTTACCACTTTTTTATTAAAATATAAATAATACATTTCATATAAATAAGTACACTAATATTCCAAGCTAATTAATTAATTATATAAGCAGTAACATTCATTATAATAATTATTTTTAATTGATGTAAAAAATTTTGTTGATTTAAGTTATTAATTTGGAACCTAAAAAAAAATATTAAGAATATTACTATTGTATATTTATCAATGTACAATATATAACTTACCGACTTTTTTTATTAAAATTATAAATAATACATTTTCATAATGAAATAAGTACACTAATATTCCAAGCGTAATTAATTAATTATATAAGCAGTAACTCATTATAATAATTATTTTTAATTGGATGTAAAAATTTTGTTGATTTAAGTTAATAAATTTGGAACTAAAAAAAAAAATATTAAGAATATTACTAATTGTTTTTTAATGGCAATTCGAAAACAATTGTTTTAATTGATGTAAAAAATTTTGTTGATTTAAGTTATTAATTTGGAACCTAAAAAAAAATATTAAGAATATTACTATTGTTTTTAATTGCATTCGAAAACAATTGATAATACTCAGTTTTTATAGTACCATCGTAATAATAACGTTAGTTATTATTAGACTTAAAAAAAAAAACGTCATTAATGATTTGGAATTTTCAAAAAAAAAGTAAAAGGAGAAAAAAATATATAAACGAATGTTATTATTGGATTAAAAAAATAATATGGTTTAGAATTTTCCAAAGAAAAAAAATAAAAAGGAAAAAAAGTAAAAATAGTTGAGTTTATAGTAGAGGATAATTTTGTCAATAAACATTTAAACGGTCAATTTTGTGGAATTTATTTACAAATTCCATCAATTTTAGTTGAATTTGAGTTATGCATACTCAATTTTATATAATTAAATTTGTAAAATTTAAATTTATATATATATATATATTTTTTCCAAATACAAGGTTTTGAATTTTCAAATGATTTTCACTGAATGCCGTGAAATTTATTTGTTCCAAACCGCTCTTAATCTCCTTAATTAATTAATCATTTTCATTCACAAATTCTATACACTTCTTGACAACTTCCCTTCTTCCTCATGGCTGTGATGGAAAGCTCTCCGACCGCCATAGCCTCTTTGCTTCTAAGAAACTTAGTCGCTCCCATATTCATCTTCGCCGATAAATCACTAATAAATCTTGGAGAGAAATATAAATTTCTTGAATATCTTCGCTATATACTTATGACTTGTTTTTTCTTCTTATTACGTCTCCTTCCTTCTTTCTTGCCTTCTTCAAACCCTAATCTTGATAATAATCACCTAACCAAATCGACCAAAAGTGGAAACTACTTGCTTTCACACGGCAGCGATTCTGGTATAGCTCGAGCACTTTCGCAGATCTTAACGGCGATTAATGATATCCCTGTCAGCTCAAGGAAGTATGAACTCCTTCGATCTTTAGCTGAGCGGGTTATAGAAGAGAACGAGAAGGAGAACGTTGAGATTTTACGTGAAGTTAATGGTAAAAGCTTATCTGCGGCTTTTGAAAGGACTCTTAATCAGCTTGAAGCGGGCGTTATGGAATTGGGCAATGACCCGATCGGAAATGGTGGTGGGTCAGGATATTGGCCAGTTCATTACGGGTTGAACCGGGTTTTGAAGGTGGTTCGGTCTGTTAAAGAAGTGCCGTTGCTAGGCTGGGCCGGAAGAGGAGGGAGAGATGGAGTAGACAGGTTGGAGGAGAAATTGGCGGCTGAACTGCTTTGGTTGGCTCAGAAGTTGGCGGCTTGTGGATGCGGAGAGGAAGCTGTTCTGAAGTGGGCATCAGCTTCAAATTTGGCTTGGCTAGCTCTGTCAGCTGAGCCGCGGCTGCAGGGTTCATTGGTGAAAGTTTCAGGTAAATTGTTTCCTTATTTGCGGTTTAAATTTCATAACTAGAAGCTTCAATTTTGCTAATGTTGGGGATATGATTAGTCTAATGATATTAAATTTCTTTCCCAAATTAAAAATTGTCAATTTAATTAGTAGAATTTAGAAAGGTATCAAAGTCAAAAATGGCCTGCCATAATAGAATTGCAATTTCTGTCTAAACTTCTTTGGCAATTGCTAAGGATAGAATATTCTTTTCTATTTTTATGTAGGATAGAATCATACATACATATAAGATTCTGGATTCTAGTTGATAAATATTAATTTATAGTTATTTTCTAAAAACAAACCGATTCTAGTTAATTTGTAGTTCTTTTTCCATAATTTTCTTTTTTTGGCTAAGGTTATATAGATGATAAATATGCAGCATTTCTATTCAAGCAAGCCAAAGATTTGGGAGCAGAAGAAACAGAAGAAAGCAAGAAAGAACAACAAAGACAAACAAAGAAGAAGATGCTAATGGCTTGGCTACCATTACTGTGCAGAGCTAGCAATGGAACTGATATACCTGTGCTGAACACTAGCCAAAAGGCAGAGCTAGAGAGAGAATTAGAAGAGATGATAGGAATGCTTGAGCATGAAGACGAGCAGGAACAAGTATTGTCTCTATGGCTACACCACTTCACGTGTTGCTCTTCTTCAGATTGGCCTAATCTCCAGGCCTCTTATGATCGCTGGTGCATGGCTTCCCGTAAACTTCTCATTCTCAGATGAAAGGTTATAAAATCTGTACATATAATTAAAACTTAATTGCAATTATTATTAGATTTTTTTGTTGTAATCAAGTTTTTAGTTTGGCTATAAGATATAGGTTCTTATTTTTATTCTTTTCGCGAAATATTGCATATTATTATATTCAAATTAAATGGCATTATTTAGTAGAAATTTTATCAAATATATTTGATTGGATATGCACAAAACTTAATGCCTTTTAGTTTAAAATTTATTTGTAAATTTTACGAAATTCTTGTAAAATTTTAAGTATAATCAATTTCATTAATTAGAAATATGAAATTGTAAATGAATTATGTAAATTAAATATGAAAAGGACATATTTCTCACTGAATTTCATATTACTTACAGTACAGAATAGGAAATTTCTTTATCTATAAAGAAGCTTTTTTATATTATTAGATTTCAATAACCTCTATATGAACTGTTAGATTTGATTAAAATAAGAATACTTATTAATTGTAAATTAGTTAATGATATATTAATAGTCTATTTTTTTTTTTGTGTAAACCATCGGTATCAGACCACTAGGGACCGCCTAATCCGACTCGGGATTTAGTCACACTTAAGGCTTTTCGCCTCTCGCTGCAGGTGTGTTTATTCTATATTAATAGTCTATTAATAATATATATTAATAGTATTCAAATTCACATATGAATTATTGTTTTTTAAGAAATAATTTCATATTCATTACTTACATTACGCCTCTTTTGTCTAAATGAGTTCAAATTGCACAATACATTTATAAATATAGAATTTGGTTCAATTACATAAATGTCATAAATTTTAGCTTTTTTAGGAATAAAATGAAAATTTTCATTTATCTCCAATATACAAACATAAAAATCAAAACCAATTCCACAAAATTTCATGGAATGCATTTGCACCAAACAGGCCTTAACCTTTATCTAATCAGACCAATCTTGCAAGCAAGCCTACATAACAACCATAGCCAATATCTATTACAGTAAAAATTGTTTGGAGTAAATATCAAATTTCTCAGAAGAAGACAACTGCGGTTCCTGCAAAAGATCACCAATTAAAGGTCTCTTAGTATATTCATAATTAAGAAAATTAAAGATGAAATGTGAAGCAATTTGCTTATATATACCTGTGTTATCTCAGTGTTGAATAATGTTCTGTTTATTAGAGAAGCAATAGGACCACTTAGGCGTAATCCGCCTGTTTTAGCTCCACGAATTGCTTGGCGCATGGCATTAAGCAAGCGACCATATGTTAATCCAGGTTCATTTTCCACTGCTTGTATAAAGCTGTAAGTCAGGGCACCAGTTGATGCATTTCCTGCTAATGCCTGCAAGTAATTTAAGCTGTATTAAGACAATTTGAAGGTCATGGGTTTTTGTTGGTTTTAAAATGTCTCTTCCTGTTCGACCGGAAATGGTATCTAGGTAAAACCCTCACAGATTTTGAAGGACAGTGACAATCCAGGTTTTGAAGGTTATGGGTTTTTTATAAATAGTAACATTCTGTTTCCCCTGTTTGTTCCTCTGTTTTCTCCTCTACTTAGTTCCTTGTTTTCTCTTCTACTCAGTTCCTCTGTTTCCCCTGTTTGTTCCTCTGTCTTGGATCTTTAAAACAAAATAATATTTGAAATGTTGAGGTTCATTCCTTAGTTTCAAAAGTAATATAAAAAGTGATCACTCACTGTAGTATCCACAGAAATTTGATCATCATTACAAGCGCTGAAACAGAGGGCTAGCCCTCCACTTGTTCCTTTGTAAGGACCTGATGTACAAATTTGCTCTTCCCATGTATAAAATCCATCCCTATTGACAACCATTATCGTTCAAATGTTAGATCAAGTATTAACCAAACATAAAAACTAGGGTTTAGCTCAGTTGAAATGCATTCACCTGTTCATCTTGCATGCAAATGGTAGATCAAGTATGGTTCCACTATAGCAAGCATCAATGATGGCATGAAGCATAGCTCCTTTTGGCAATGGCCTTACAATGGTCTCATTAATTTCATCATCAATTATCATTCCTTCAGTTTCATAATCAAGAGGACATAAAGTTTCATCTAACCCATCAACCTCATCCATGTCCGTGTCTGGCACTTGGGAACCATGGCCTGAGAAATGAAACACTAAAGAGTCTCCTGGTTGACATCCTTGAACAAGCCATCTTAATGCCTGTCTTATGTTCTCTTTTGTTGGGATCTTGAGTGGGCATTTCTCATCTTCTGCATATTCATTTCAAATCATTTTTCATATAAAAAAGTGGGAAATTTATGTAACTTTGGTACATCAGAATTTTATTTTTTTAAACATCTGAAATTTTCAAAAGCAAAGGAATGAAATTAAAACTCTTTCTGGGAAAAAAAAAAAAAACCTTTAGAGGAACCAAACTAGACTTCAAATATTAGGGGACCGAAAATAAAAAATAGAGTTAGATTTAAATATAGGGGGCTAAAATGGACATTTTTGAAATATAAATAAAATTTAAAGAGAAGAAAATTGAATTTTAAAAAGTTTGGAGGGATTATAGCCTGCTAAAGTCTAAAGTAGTTTCGACATTATATTTGGGAGGAAATTTTATAGAGTAAAGGAAGGTTTTATAAGATTAATCTTTCCTTTTTGTTTGGAAAAGACATGATAATTAGTGAAAAAGAACCCTAAATCCTTATTTTTTCGCTCATCAAATTAGTGAAAAAAAATTTTAACTTTAAATATATTAATTTGATGACCAGTAATTTATGACCGAGCAGAAAAATATAAAATTAGCATATTTAATATAGTGAAAAATCCATATTGAAGTTCCCTCTTGGAATACTAAAAAAAGGAAAATTTTGAAATTCGAAACAAAAATCTTTTAAACCAAAAACATGTCAAATGTACATTAAAATTACCAAAAAAAAAAAAAAAAAAGAAAAATATTTAATATATGAACCATCCAATATGAAGTTCCCTCTTGGAATACTAAAAAAAGGGAATTTTGAAATTCGAACACAAAAATCCTTTTTAAACAAAAACATGTCAAATGTAACATTAAAATTACCAAAAAAAAAAAAAAAAAGAAAAAAAAAAAAAAAAAAGAAAAGAAAAATCAAGTACCTGTAAGCATTAGTATAGAGTCGGTAGGAAACCCCATCTTCTCAACTAGAAGGTATCTCATGCACCTAACATCATTAATACTTCCTTTTATCTTATAACTCTTCCCTTTATAACTCACCCCACAAAGCACTGCCCTTTTCCTCCCATGCGCAGAAGGAAGAGGCAAAAGCACCGGTCTTGGCGGTTGAACATAATAACCATAACCATAATTCCCAGCCGCCGCTCCAGGACCAGTCACCATGTTAATGATCCGTGTAGCTGTCTGGTTTATAGTGTCACGGACTTGAGCCAAGGTGTCATAGGGCTGAACCCTCGTGATGGCTTGACACACTGCACATCTAATGGTTTGAGCTTCTGGTGGCACAATTAGCTGCACACCACACCAGCTGCATCTTTCTCTTCGGCTTGCCATTGCTTACTAGCTTCTGTTCTAATTAAGAAAGATAGATTATAAAACATCTCACGTATATACACATATATATACACATGGAAATGGCGATTAAAAAAAAGGCATTACTTTTATTTATTGAAACTAAATGATTGATTGTGGCAAGAACTGTTTTTTGTCAAACGAAGTGACATTCGATTTCTTGGAGGAGTTGTAAAGAACCAGATGCTTGTAATCTTTGTATTTTTTTTTTATTTTGTTAATTTCTTTTTTGAGTGGACATATGAAGATTCTTTATATCTAATTGTTGGTTGTTTAGCCAAAATCTTTGGGGCCACATTCAATGATTTGGTAAATTGATGATCAATTAATCTGCACTAATTAAACAAGGAAAACACTTAAAGACACTTAATCAGAATTAATTGAGGTTTTGTATCTTTTTTAATAGCTTCCAACTTATCAGAAGATATTATTTGTTTGAGAATGATAAAAGGGAAACAATGGAGGCCATGGTCCCTTAGCTGGTTTCATAAAGTTTTTGTGGGTAAAGATGACAGCCAAAAATTAGTTGAGGCCTTCAAAAAAAGTGTATGACCCACTATTATTCCAAGTTTTTTCTGTTGAAGTATCAAATTTTCTATTCTTGAGCTGATACGAAGTCTGGCAGATTCCAAATAATTAGTGTAAAGCTAATGTGGTGATTCCAGATGGTCTGAACAGGTATAAGATTTGATCCAAGGTGTTGAAAATTTGTAGTTGACTTGAAGTCTTTTTTCTTTCTTTACCCTCAAAATTAAGACATCAAAGGTTTATACTTCGTTTTGAAAAAAAGATTTTTTTGTAGAGGAAAGAAAATATCTAAGGAAAATATCATGAAAAATGTTTAATTATCCTTTTTTGGAAAGGGTGAGGAAAATATATATATATTTTTCCGATCCATTAAACTAGAACGTCTCTAAATTGAAGAAAAAAAAAAGAACGAATTGAGAAAACTGCATGCACCGTTTAATGTTGATTTCAATATTTTCTCTTCTCCATTATTTTTTTTCATCTCCTTTCCAAATAAAGCATTAATCTCCAATAGTGCATTGAATATATTTGATAGTTGTTGTTTAATTATGACATTCATGGATTAACATTTAATTGCAGCAAATTAAACAGCTCCTATTTTGTTAAAAAAAGAAATTACTGAATGCCAAAAATAAGAAATATATAAATGATAAGGAACAAGATCAGAAAGGGTATATGTGACTTAATTACATTCTCTCCTAATTATGAAACGGATAATTTTTTATCTATTAGCAATTGGTACAGTTTAATAATCCAACTCGCTACAAAAAAAAAAAAAAAAACACAATTCAATAAAATCCAAATATAATTTAAAAATACTTTTTTTAAAAAAAAAAAAAAATTATCCTCTATATTACACTTATAGAAGGCACAAAATATGTGGAACATAGGCCACACGAAATATCATTATTCATTATCATCCCTAATGGCTTCAACTACAAATTGTGGCCATGACTTTGTATTTTACATTCACAAGAACAATCTTATTGATTATTTCAAAACATACTATTTGTAAATTGAACCATCCTCATTCCTCCAAAAGCAAACCTTCTTATATATGTACACATTAATCATAAAACGAAAGGCTTCTGATAAATATTGAAGGGTTCAGAGCTCGAAAGTTGAGGCTTCTGCAACAATTTTAAAACATAAAAATTATGTAAATCAGCAGCTAATCAACTATGTTGAGAATACTACGAAATATTGATAAATTGAAGTTTAATATGTTAATTTAAAACCTTAAATTGAAATTTTCTATAATTAATTTTATAAAATTGCTTGATTATACGATGATCAGGAAATTAATTAAATGAAGTAGATAATAAATTGACCTGTAATAATCTCTCATGAAGCAGTGTTCTCAAGAGCCTGAGAGGAAGGCAACCTCTTTGGTCAGCCTTTTCAATGTCATTATAGATATTGTCAAGTAGCTGACCATATGTTATTTGTTGCTCTTTTTGCACATTACTTATCAATGTATGAGTAAGAGCTCCACTCATTTCCATATCAGCTTTGCTTATATTAAATGCCTGTAATATTTAATTCATGAATTTTAACAAACTATTAATTGATATAAGCTAAATAAATAAAGAAATACACACCAAAACATAAGCCTAGAGATTTTTTTTCTAAAAAAAAAATTATAAGCTTAGTGTTACATGTACAATCTGGTAATAGATCAAAATTCGAATCCCCTCTCTTAATATTAAAAAAAAAAAAAAAAAAAAAAAAAAAAAAAAAAAAAAAAAAAAAAAAAAAAAAAAAAAACATTTCTAGCTGCGGAGGTAGAAAATACAGTGGCATAAAAAAAAAAAAAAAAAAAAAAAAAAAAAAAAAAAAACATTTCTAGCTGCGAGGTAGAATAAGTGGCATGTCCTTGATAGATGACTGATTAGGTTTAGTTGTTTATAGGCGATAGGGGTTAGTTGATAAATTTTGATGTTTAGTAAAATTTTAATAGATATTGCTGTTAAAATGTAAAGTGTGATTAAAGGTATATAATTATTTTTATATATTATATTGTAGAATATATATTCTTTTAATTTTTAAGATGAATTCATCATTTCTTGTTTTAATGTGTTATATAAATAAAAAATACTAATTAATTTTTTTAAAATGATATTTATAGAAATTTGTTATTCTTAAATAATTATCAATATGATTGATTCTCAAAAAAATTTGTTATTCGTAATTATTTTTATAAAATTAATAAAGTTTAAATATAATATAAATAGGAAAAAGATGAAATTTGATTGATAGACTTTTATCAGCTTTCAGCTTTAATCTGCCAAACCTAAAGACCATAGAAGCAACTTGTGGTTGGCAGGCAACGAATGTAAACAACAGATTGTCAAATTAACAAACTGCTCAAAAATTGATATAATTTCCTTGTGTGTAACGGCATGTCGTTTAAATTAAGATTAAACTGAATAACTCACATCAGTATCTGCAGCCATTTGATCATCCCGACAAGCACTAATTCCAATAGCCAATCCACCAATTGTAGATTTGTAAACACCAGATGGTGGCCGATTGTCGTCCCAGCATTTCCTATTTCACGAAATAGAACTGATGAGTACAACTTTAAACTCTGGAGAAGATTGATGTGCGGTATTCTCTGTATTTTTTTTTTGGCAGAGAGGTTGTTTTCTTGATTCGAATATCAGACTTTTAAATCACAAGTAGAGTACTAGAATTATTCATAGATTTACGACATTTCGAGTTTAAACCTCCAAAATAATCAAAGTCTAATCGAAAAAATTGTAAAAGAAAAAATATTACCTGTCTCTATTATACACATAAGGTAGATCAAGAACAGTTCCGCTATGGCAAGCATCAACAATTGCATGTAACACAACACCCTTAGGGAGAGGCCGAACAATTGTGGCATTAATTTCATTGTCTAAAATCATGCCTGCTTTATCAAAATCAACCGGACAAATAGTTTCGTCCCAGCCGTCACGCTCATCCTCGTCAAAATCCGGTTGCCGCAAGCCATGGCCGGAGAAGTAGAAAACCAAAGAGTCACCCTCTCTGCAATCCTTCACTAGCCATTTCATGGAATTTTGAATGTTCTCCTTTGTTGGTTTTAGTCTTTTATCCTTCTCGTCTTCTGAAAATGAAACAATAGATCAATATTATGATAATATCATAAAGATAATTGCTAACTAAATAGATATTAATTTACCTGTGAGAATGAGAATGTTCTTTGGCTTAAACTCAAAATTACCAATTAACCACTTCTTCATTCTCTTTACATCATTGATAGTTCCTTTAAGCTCATATTTCTGGCCTCTGTAACTCACTGCAATAAGCACCGCAAACTTCCGTGGCCTTTCCGGCGACTTAGGAACATCCAAAGGGCATGGTTGATCAGACTTGATCAACTTCAAAACCGACCTTGTCTTACGGAGAATTTTTCCTATCCTGGCATGGTTAGTGTTATTATTTTCAGGGTTTTTATCAGATTCAATACTCATAATTATTTTTCCTCTGAGAATTTCAATGAGAAGGGTATGTAATAATGGAAGTTATATAAAAAGAAGGGTACTGTAACTGTTTAGACAAGCTTGAAGGACATTTCTGGAGATGAGAAAAGAATATAATTATATGCAAGCTTTTATCTTTTGCTTTTGTGGATTAATTGGAAATTTGTAATAAAAGATTCTTTTAATTTATATATATTGTAAAGTTGTATAATTAGCAATTGGTATCTTAATCTAGTCATAGATTTAAGGTTGTTCAGATGAACTTTGGATGCCAATTCCATGTTTCTTTATGAACATAATATTCCGGAAAATCCATTTGATCATGGCATAAAATGACATTGTTCATCATCAAGAAAACAACTGCCACCACTGAATAGTAATTGAGAATGACCTTATTGAACAGTAACTTTTAACATCTGGCTGAAGACAATCAATTTTTTTTTCTTTTTTTCTTTTTTTTTTTTTGAAAATTTGTTAATATATATATAGTGACAAAAGAAAAGAATGGACTAGGTATCTTGTTAATTATTTAGTGAGAGAGACAATATCAAATGGATAAAAAGATTCATTTATATATCTTCATTAATTGTGTTTTTTTGTATTATGTATTGTTAGAAAACAAAAAAAAAAAAAAAATTTGCATTAATTACCAGTATTTTTTTTTTCTTGAATGGAAATGTTGCTTAAATATTATTAGCATAGAAGAACAAAACATCACAATACTCCACTCCAATAAATCAGATATATAAACAGCAGCACTTGCTATAAAATGGACATACTGGTTCACTAAATTCTTCGAAAATTAAAAAAAAAATGACGTGAACTCATTGATAAAAGTCCTACAATCATGAAGTAAAACATCAAAAATACAAATTATCACTAAAAGATTGCTGAATAGCCTGAATTACCACAAGACAATCCCCTTCCCCGTCAGCCATTCTCCCCTTCCTTTTTAGCCAACTTAAAGCTTCACGGATTCCCATAAGCTCAGCCATAAGTGCTGACTACATTCCCAGCAGCGACACAGCCTCCACCAACGCACTGCCCTTGGTCATTTCGTAACTTAATATACGAAATAATGTTAAGCCCTAAATAATATAAATGCTGAAATTCTTATACTATAAAGTTATATCAAAATTTCACGACTAACTATATGTCAATCCATATTTTAGATTAGAAATTTTTTGATTTATTATTTAAAGTAAATTTTAATTTGGAGAACTTTGAAAACAATCGCAGATAAGGAATATAAAGTAATTTAAATTAAAAATCTTAAAATTTAAAATATTATCATATTATGGTTGATTTAGATTTTAAATGATAATCATTAAATTCCATCATATTATAGTTATTTTTTCTATTTTTCACAGAGTTATGAGTTCAAACCTACTATCAATTTAACAAATATTATTTATGAAAATGAGAGGAAAATTTCCATTACATAACTTGAAAAAAAAAAAGAAAAAAGAAAAAAACATTTCATTGCTTTCTTCCACCCAATGTAAAAGAATCAAAGCCTTATCGGAAAAGGCAAAGGACATGTCATATGCAAGTTCTTTCCAGGATTCTGAAGGGATAATGGACTGCCTTATAAGATACATGTCCAATATTTCTTGATTAGATTTCAGTTTTTATTTACAGTTATGTCCCCTTTTCTTCTCATTCATTTCTTCATTCTGTCGCCTAAGACAGAATCAGATGCACTTCTCTTTATTTTATTTGGTATCGTACATCCATCTTTTATCCATTCTTTTTTTTAATGGAGAAAATGAATTTATTTTATTATTTTAAAACCAGTAAAAAGTTAGGTTATTAGAGAAACTATATCCAAGGTATAAGGAACAATTTATTTTATCCATTCGTTTGGTTCTTTTTACATTACTTTTTTTTTTTTTTTAATTATAACGAAATCCTGGTATCAATTCATCAAATGCTTCATTTATTTTCGTAAATCTGTAAAATTATAGCATTAATTTTTGTTTATTAATTTCACTTTAATTAGGGTTCAAACTTGTAATGAAGATTCCAATACTATTCCGGCGGAGCCAGACTCCAAAATTAAAGGGCCAAAGAAAGCAGATCAATTTTTTTTTTTTTTTTTTTTTTTAATTAGGGTTCAAAACTCTGTAATGGAAGATTCCAATTACCTATTTCCGGCGGAGCCAGACTCCAGAAATTAAAAGGGCAAAAGGAAAGCAGATCAATTTTTTTTTTTTTTTTTTTTGGCAAAAACTCATTTTTTGTTTTGAGTATCAAGGACGCTCTTTGCAGAGACCAAATCAATTTTTTTTTTTTTTTTTTTTGGCAAAAACTCATTTTTGTTTTGAGTATCAACTGGACGCTCTGCAGAGACCAAAATTTTATTAAGTTAATTTAATTATTTAATTAGCCAATTAAATTATTGGTTAGTTAAATTAAATAATTTGTTTCAATAACCAACCAAAATATTTAAATGGATATTTAAATAATATTATTGGATAAATATTATTTACTGTATAAATAAAAAATGCAGTAAAATCAAATTAAAATTGGCCAAGTGGACCAATTAAATTAAATCTTAGCGAATAAGTCAGAAGTCTATATAAGTTAAAGTGATGCAACAGCAGCCAATGAGAGTTTGCCAAGTGGACCGATCAAATTACTTACTTGGCAAGGGAGCTTTCTCAAATCACTATAAATAGAATGTCTCTCTTCACGTACGGGATATACACAGACATATAAAGAGAAACACAAACCTATAAAGAGAAAGAGAAAAAAGAAACCTCAAAGCTCTGTCAAATTCAAGACTACAAAAGCTCTATCCCAAATCCAACCAATCAATGTTCTTTCAATTCCAATTCAAGATCAAGTCTCTTTGATCCTTGAATTTTCAAAAGTTTATTCTACATCAATTCAACATCAAGTCTTTTTGACAGTTTAATCGTATTCAAGATCAAATCGTTTCGACCCTTGAATTTTATCCACGACAATAAAGAGAAGAATCAGATGATAATCTTCATTATAATAGAAGATTCCATGTAGAGATTGTATCCACTTATTTATAAATACAATTTGTATTTTTGTATTTTGTTTCTTTATTTTTAGAAATAAATTTTACGCATATACTCTCTTCGCCCAGAAAGCAGTAGGGTTCACCTTGGGCTCTCTTCATTCAGTTCTTAAATTTTATTGTCACAATGAGGCTTAAATAAATAATTTGATTTCTATACATTCTCTTGTTGTTTGATTACCTTAACCATTGATTTCAGTTTTCCTCTCTCATATACAGTCAAAAAAGGAAAAAGAAACAATGCAAAAAGAAAAGAAAAAGATGACTTAAAGTGAAGCTAATTTTGTTAAAGCAGTAACTCAAGACAGCGACCATTTTCTTTCTTTCTTTCTTTTTAAACGGTGAAATAAAAACTTGCTTTAGAGGAACCTTGTAATGCAAAATCCATGTACACTGCAAATTAGCTAGTTCCATAGCCTCTAAAACAGCCACCAGAACGGCAATCTCAGGTTTAACCCAGTATAATAATTAAATAAAGAAGCTTTCAGATCTTCAATGGCCGAGAACTGGATCAATCAAATTAAATAATGTTTTTTTAATATATCTTTATATTAATATCCTTTAAAATGAAATCATCCATATTAATTGTTCTTGAAATTAATTAAATTATAGTCAAATATTTGATTAAATCGAGTATTCTTCAAAGATTAAGTGTAAATTTTTTTTTTTTTTTTGGTATAACCAGGAGTTTTCCATCGAACTTGTGTTTTTACCCAAACAGAAATTGACTCCAACCAACACTTGTTGGTTAAATATTGATATTTTGATTTTGTTTATATCAAAATTTTAATTACTGATAATACAGCAGTAATAGGATATAAATTCTAAAATTTTAATATTGTCTTGGACTTGGGTTTAGTATAGGTTACAAGGAACCTATAAGCAACTCCAACAAAATTTTAATTCTTTTTTTTTTTTTTCATTGTTGTTCAGACATAAAATTAGTAATCTAAATCTTCTTTTCTTGCTATTTTCAACATTTATTATATACAACTAATATGTTTTAGCTTAGTGACAGTAGAATTACCTATCAATATCGGGAACAAAGTAGTTGAAACTCATTTTCCCTTAATTATTTAAATGTCCCTGTTTGAATTTTGGGTACGAAAATTGCTATGTTAGAAGAGTTGATCCCTATATGAGCCTAGAGTACTTGAGCCAGCATTCATAGTATACCTCAATAATAATATATATGCAAAGGACGAATCCATAACTGCTCTTTATAACATAAAATTGTTTTCATTTCATGACAACAATCAATTTACTCACCCGTACCCAAAAAAAAAAAAAAAAAAAAAATTTCATTTCATGACACAACAATCAATTTACTCACCCGTACCCAAAAAAAAAAAAAAAAAAAAAAATAATGATAACAAAATTCATTGAATAACTCACTCAAACTAATACTTAATAATATCTCTTCTTTTCCTTTCCAAGACATCGTATAAGTGTCGCTTGGAAAAAAAAAAAAAAAAAAAAAATGATAACAAAATTAATTGAATAATCACAAACTAACAATATATATTCTCTTCTTTTTCCTTTCCAAACATCGTGTGCTTGGATTGAGCAGGAAAAGAAAAGGAAATGTTGTGAAAGATTATCAATTCATGAAAATCTTAATTATTATTGCTGATTGATTTGATTTTCTTGCCCTTTTTATTCAATTTAATTGTACTCTCTGTTGAAAGGAAGCTGATTTGGTGCTTTAATGATTTACAAAATGAAATGTTTTTTATAAACATCAAATTCTTCAGAAGCTGAAAGGAGAGGCTTCTGCACAAATCAAATACTACTATATCAGAAATTTGGATGAAAATGCATTAAATAGCATAAAATTGAAGGGGTGAAACTGTGTGTGTATATATATTATAGTTGTCTTTTATTAGAAAAACTTATCATCACAATTTCAAAACAAAAAAAGCTAACCTGTAATAATTTGCTGTTAAACATTGTTCTTACAACCTTTGACAAACCGCAACCACTGTTATTAACTTTGTCAATGGTCTCATGTATCATGTCAATTAAGTCACCGTATGTTGGTCCTGGGTGTTTCTTCACAATTTCTACTAAAATGTACGTTAAAGCACCATTCATTTCTTTTCCATTGAAAGCCTGCAATTTGTAAAACAATATAACCCCTAATTATTTTTTTTTTTACTTTTAATTTTACATGTAAATTAGACTGAAATTTAAAAATCTCACGACCCTAAATAATTATAACAAAGTTAGAATTCATTAATTAGTAATAATACTGATGCATAAATCTCTTACTGTGGTGTCGGCAGCCATTTGATCATCTTCACAAGCACTTATAGAAATTGCCAATCCACCATTTGTGTGCTTCCAAGAACCATTTGGAGGGCTGTTATCCATCCATTTCCTTCTGTTTCAAGAAAGAACTTTTGCATTTTTAGTCCACAATATTCTAATTGGTATCACAATTCACTAAATAATTGAGTCTTCGTAATATTAAATTCTCTGTTGGGATTATAACTGATCCCGAGTGGCGCCTGCGGAAATGTCGGTGGTAGAAGTAAAATAAAAATTACCGACAATAAAAGTTAATAGCGTCAATAAAAATTTAAATTACTATTACCACATTTACCTCCAATAATTACGTATTGGATATTGACGATCGAATCCACTAGAGATAATAACCACAGTAAAAATTAAATAATTACCGTAAATGTCAGATGAAAAAACCTACCGTAAATGTCAGATGAAAAATAAGAGAAACAGAGATTTTACGTGGTTACTTTGTTTTGGGCTACGTCCACCGGACATAAAAACTCCGAATAATTTTCTTTCCCTAAAAATAGTAGGTACAAAAGAGATTAAAAAAATTAGTGGCGACTCTAAGTGTCTTCCCCAAAAAACACCCCAAAAATTAATAAATCCTCACTATTTTGACGGGACAAAAACTCCGAATAATTCTTCCACTAAAAATAGTAGGTACAAAAGAGATTAAAAAAATAGTGGCACTCTAAGTGTTTCCCCAAAAACACCCCAAAAATTATAATCCTCACTATTTTCTCTCTTTTCAAATTTTAGGACCCTTTTCATAAAATTATACACTTCTTTGAAATGTATTTATATTTCTTTTTTTTTTTGTTTTTGTTGTGTATATCGAATCAGTTTCTTCTCCTATTTATAGGAGAAGAAACTCCTCCACAACTCCTTCACAACTCCTTCACAGCTCATGTGGACACAGCTCACCCACACGAGATGTTCTTTTTTTTTTATATATATTTAAACCATGTGCGTGGGTCCCACGTGATGGAGGGATCCCACAACATTCTCATCAACCGGATTAGTAAGGTAAGTGAGCTTCGAATATCGGAAAACTTACTTTACTTTGTCGTAGACGTGGACAAGATCAAGAATGGTTCCACTATGACAAGCATCAACAATCGCATGAAGAGTGACACCTTTTGGGAGTGGCTGAACGATGACGGAATTTATGTCATTATCAAGAATCATTCCTTCTTCCAAGAAATCAACTGGACAAATAGTTTCATCAAACCCATCACGTTCATCCTTATCGAAATCCGGTTGTCGCAAGCCATGACCCGAGAAATAAAACACAAGAGAGTCACCATCCCGGCAATTCTCCACCAGCCATTTTAATGACGATTGAATGTTTTTCTTTGTAGGACTTAGCTCTTTGTCTATCTCCTCTTCTGCATTAATTAATCACTTTAAATTAATCTTGTGTTTAATCAAAATCAAAATAATTACTATTTTAACTCATTTATTAGAGTACTGAAAGATCATTGAAGGTGGAGATCATGAATGTAGAAGCCAGACTTCACCTAAAGAACCAGAAAGAAAAAATAATAATAATAAATCAAGAAAAGAATAATAAGTACCTGTAAGAACAAGAATGTTCTCTTTCTGAAATGCAAATTGATCAATCAACATATTCCTGATACGCTTGACATCATTAACAGTTCCTTTAAGCCTATATTTCCATTGCTTGTAAGTCACTCCTATAAGCAGTGCACGTTTCCTAGGTTGACCCGATCGATGACTCGAAGATGAAGAACTCAAAGCAGAAGGATTAGTATTCAATGTAGAAGAAGATAACTTGCTACCAGTAATTTCTGGATTACTGCGAGAATTACGATGAAGATGAGGAAAAAACTTATTCTTGCATTGGTCGATACAAAGAACTCTACCAGATCCTGGACTCGCATTCGGACCCGAATTGGGACTCAGTCTCGGACTGGAATGCGCACTCAGACTCGGACTCGGACTCGGACTCGAACTAAACTTGGAACTCACTCTTTGGCATGATTGGCATTTGATTTCTCCAATATTATTTGTTGTGATGGAAAACCGTTGCCGGCATTGGCTGCAATAATATCCTCTTGTATCCCTGACGATTGTTGTCCCGCTCATGATGATATCACTATCCGTAGAAGTTGCGGGAAAATCACCGGTCCGGTACAAGAAGGATTGATGAGCGAGAGGGCTAATTAATAGAGCTTACATGGATGACGATTTGAACAGTGAAAGTAGCGTCACAAGTGTACTTTTTTAGCGGGAAGCATATTTAGAGGCTTTTGATGATTCATTTCAGTAGCTTGTCTTTTCTACTTTTCCTTTTCTTTTTCTTTTTGTCAATATCTATTTTCTTCTGTAATGAATTCTACATCGTCCAAAATAGATGGGGAACTCACAAATCTTACATCGTACAAAATATTGTTTACCCTTTTTTTTTTTTGTGAAGGAGGATTTTTTTGAGTTTTTCTTTTTTTTTTTTTTTTTTTTTTTTTGGGGAACTCAACAAATCTTACATCGGTACAAAAATATTGTTTACGCCCTTTTTTTTTTTTTTGTGAAGGAGGATTTTTTTGAGTTTTTCTCCCTTTTTTTTTTTCTTTTTTTTTTTTTGAAAACCTAAAGTAAACAAAATATTAAGGTTTTTTTTTTTTTTTTTTTTAAATATTAGAATCTCTCTGAATTGAGATAGTAGACTCGTTGTTAAGAATCTCGATTCTATAAGTAAATTAATCAAATTTAATTAGTAATTCATTTAATATTTAAGTTTATAATGAGTTAAATTTTAATTTCTCATTATATGTCATTTACTCAATTTATACTTATTAAATGTAGAATTACCCACAAATTTAATTAGTAATTCATTTAATATTTAAGTTTATAATGAGTTAAATTTTAATTTCTCATTATATGTCATTTACTCAATTTATACTTATTAAATGTAGAATTACCCACATACTTCAAGTTCTTATAAAGAGTGGATTCAGTATTGATGATGGTAGGGGCGTGCAAATGGACAGTTTGATTTCAAACTGAACCACAAAAATAAAAAATTGAAAATACATTTTTTTTTTTTGAAATCGAACCAAATCAAAATAAATTTGAAAAGCAAATGAAATTGATCAATTCAGTTTGGTAGGCATCAATTCAATTTTACTAAGAAAATAAATATTTTGGAATAACCGATCCAGAGACCGAAACAATTTTACTAAGAAAATAAATATTTTGGAATAACCGACCCAGAGACCGAAAACTAAAATTATGAAAGATTTCAAACCGAATAACTGAATCAAAAATCGAAATTAATTTGATTCAATTCAGTTTTTGGTTTTTTTTCCAAAAATTGACCGAAAATACTGTAATAAGAATAATTTTAAAGGAAGTTATAACCTTGTAAGTTGACGATGAGATGGATTTCTCATTCAATCTTGTAGTTGACTTCAAATGCACATAAAAATTTCATGTGCACTAAGTATATTATGTTGAAAAGATTTACAACTTAAAAAGAGCTCGGTAACTCTTTTCATACTTGTTTTTTAATGTAAAATATTATAGAACGGAAGTAATAAAAAGAAAATCTACTGAAGGTTGGTAGAAAAGAGTATTGAATTCGATATTTTTTGGCACCGGTAACTCCGCATCGGCCAATATCTATCCTTTAAATCATAATATTCAATTAATGAAATATTCCTCAAAATCAAATATTATATTACGAATGCGTGCACATTTCAAATATGACTAACGAGCATATGTACAAAAATCGATTCCTCTAAATTCATATTTGATGTGAACATTCAACGGATATATGCCAAATACTCACTTCAAAGTGCTTGATGTTATATATATAGAACTCTATTTGCTTTATTTTTTTTTATTAAATACTATAATAATGAATATATCACAATTTGCACTCATACAATACTGCAATTAAAACAGACGTATAAAATTACAATTTTAAATATAAATTATATCAAAGTCTATTAAGAGCAGCCTAATCCATATAAAAGGCAGAAAATAATTAAAAAAATATTGGGGAGGATCATGGGTGCCTTACCCTAACTATCTTGAATCAATTAAATTTTGAAGCATATATTAAACTTATCTCAGGATATCTTTATCTGTAAATAAAGATATTTTGTACACATAAATATTTTTAAAAGGACAAGGAAAAAACATACATATTTATAAAATTTACGTCAAAAAGTTAAGAGATGTAACAACAAATTAAATCATTTGAAAACAACGTCAGCCAGCAGACAAAGGGATATGTAAATTTGTAGAAATAGAACCGGAAAGCAGGTAGTTTTTCTTTTTATTATTATTATTATTATTTTAATTGGAATAAAATTAATGACTTAGGAATAGTATAATTGTCTTTTTGACATTCACAAATTTAATTAAGGTTTGAATTTACATTATGTAATAATTGTGTTAAATGAAAACTTGAAATTCCAAAGTCTTTGGTATCCAGTAATCGCACTTTAAATGGTTCTTAATTATTCTTGATTATGTATTTAGCACTATAATTATCTTTATCAATTTTGTTTTTCTATTACTATTCTGTTTCCCCTTTAATTAGTAAATACCATTCATTTCTTTATATTCTGCCATTACCTTAGCTTTGCAGAGAAAGAAAGAACCAGATTCCCCACTTGTATTTGATATCCGGCAGAGTGCTTTACGTCTACATTAGTTAATATAGATTCTATTCTACACCGACAATTTATATTACTACACATCTGCTGAAATAGAAAAATTAAATCTTGAATAATCTTTAAAAATATATATATGCAAAAGGAAATTATATTCCTTTTTCTTTTCAAGAAATTTCTTTTTAAAGAATAATGTAAAAATCCACTTTAATAAAATGGCACTAAACATAATTATAATGAAACAATGTGAATTACGATTCCACAAAAAGCAAAATGGGAATAACAAAATAGAATTAAATGTTGAAACAGATTATGATATATATTTTTTTCTTTTTCTCTTTTCATGATTCTTTTTAATTAGGTTGCAATAGTTGAACTTGCAAAGAGTTTCTGGATTTTTGTAATTTCTTTTGAAATTTGCAATCTTGATGTGTGATATTGATTTGGAATTGATTCTGGATTTGCAATCTTATGTTTGGTTTGTTATTGGTCAATAGTTCTACGGTCAAGAGTTTGCCACATAATTCTAAGATTTTAAATCCTATGCATTCCAATTAAGTTGCATATACCAATATTTGTTAAACGCTCTCGGATACATCTTGAATACTTTAAAAAATATCATATTTTTTTAATATTATTAGTTTCGAACACTTTGAATACACTTCTAGCACGTTTAATTTAGGAACAAATTTGATAATTTCATTAGATTTTTAAATAAATTTATTAGTAAAAATTATATAAAATATATATTAGATAATTATTTATATTTCAAATACAAAGTTGAAAAAAAATAAAGGAAGGAAAAATCCTATTTTATATGATTTAAATTTATTTACATATTTATTATGTCAAATTTAAGAATTAATTCAAACAAAATTTATATGAAATTAGTAATTTACAAAGGTTGCGAACAAAATGTCAGGAATTTTAAAATTGCCTTTTATTTCTAAATATGTCAAAGATAAAGACTATGATTTTTAATGGTGATATTAATGTTAAAGATTTAACTAATTATATTAGAATATTTAGGAAATTAGGTGTTTTTTATTAATGAATTATTATTTATTTAATTTTAATAAATTATATTTATTTAATTAATGCAACACGTTTCAAATATATCTGTATTCTTTTAAAAATATTATATCTTGTTTTCATATCCATGTTTACAACTTAGCATTTTATTCTATTTAAAAATTTTTAATGTGTATAACAATTAATAGCGCCCCGTCTTCTCATTCTCTGAACAAATGTAAAGAATGACAAATTTTAAATTTAAATCCTCTCCAATATAAAATCTTTTATCAATTTAGTAAATTCAAAATCTAAAGAAATTAATAGAATCAGATATGTTATGTGAAGTATTATTTTAGATATTATCTTAATTTTAGACTACATTTATCCTATTCATATCTAATAAATAAATTAAAGCTCTATTTGATTGCTTGTAATATAATGTAATCAAAGATGTAGTGCAATGAAAAATATATTATAATGAAATGTAATTATATTATATTACTATATTTGGTAATGTAATTAAAAATATTTATTAAATGTAATCATCATTTCATTTTTATATTTATTTATAAATCTATAATGTAATTAGCATATTACCATCACTAACAATTAATTATATTCATTGCCATTCTACCACCGCTATAACCCCACTCCACCGCTACCACACTAACAATCATTGTTAATACAAAAGGAATATTCAAACCAAAAGCCATTTATATTTTGACAATTACATATATTACTGCTAAATAATTTTATAATGGAATGAGAAATCACTAAAAAGATAAAAATACTCATAATTTTACATTGCAATTTAGTTTATTCAACGAAAATATATGAAATTGTATAAAAAAATAATTTTAACTTTTATCTAAATGATATTTAATAGTTTGATATAATGAATATCTTTTGATTTAATTATTTGTGTCTGATTATAAGATGAAATGAGATGTAATTAATTCTTAATTTTGTTATTTTATACATAATGTAAAATGTACAGTAATGAGGAGAGAAAAAAAAAAAAAGAAAGAAGACAAAAGTCATGTACAATCACTCATAGACTACAACTTGAATTTCTTATTGTAAATGTCAAACTTTTCGGAAGATGAGAGTTGAACCTCCTGCAATCACCAATTTAGTAAAACAATTCATCAAAATTATAATTCAAATATATATATATATATATATTAATGAAAGAATATAATTAATGGCAAGATTTTCTACCTGTAAAAAAGAATTCTTAAAAAATTTCCTTAGAAACCAGGTTTTACAGCCTGGTGCTTCAATAGCTTTGTCAATGTTATTCTGAACAGATGTAATTAGGGCATCATATGACAATCCAGGGTTTTCATTTATCTCTTGAATTAAGTTATAGGTCAGGTTTCCCTTTCCACATAAAGCCTGCACATAAGTTTACCCAAAAGAAAATGTTAACTCCATTATTTAAGCTTCCAAAGTCTCCTATAAACAAAAAAATAAATAAATAAATAGTAACAAAATCACAAACACTTACAGATGAATCAACAACTTTTTGATCATCTCTACAGGCACTTATACAAATGGCCAATCCACCACTTGTGCCCTTATTGGCCCCTGATGGAGGAGGATTCTCCACCCACTTCTTCCTATTCATATTCAAATTTAAGCAAGAAAAAGAAAAAAATGAAAAAAAAAAAAGACAATAATAATATTACATGTAAACCAAACTAAGCCTAATCGATAAACTTACTGTTTTGCGTTGCACATAAATGGAAGATCTAGCATTGTTGCACTATGACAAGTATCAATAATGGCATGAAGTGTGACACCTTCTACAAGAGGTCTAACAATTACAGAATTGATATAATCATCAACGATCTTTCCATTCACTTGAAAATCAAGTGGGCAAATCGTTTCATCAAGTTCATCAATCTCATCCCCGTCACTATCATCCACTTGTGACCCATGTCCGGCAAAGTAAAATACCAGTGAGTCGCCGGAACGGCAACCCTCTACAAGCCATTTCAATGCCTTCTCAATGTTCTTTCTTGTAGGAATTAGTTCAGGGTCTTGTTCCTCTACAGGTAAACAAAATCTTTAAGTTACAGTTAGTTCAGTATGGATCATCAAGAATTCCAAGAAGTTACCTGTAAGTTGCAGAATAGAATCTTGTGGAAACCTAAAGTAAGAAATAAGCAAATTTCTCATGTCCTTGACATCGTTAATAGTTCCCTTCAACTTGTACTTCTTCTGATAGTAACTCACTCCACAGAGAACTGCTTTCTTTCTCGGTAGTATTTCTTCTTTAGAATTAGCAGTAGTCACTTTAGGGTCTTTAATAAAAAACACTCTTGATTGTTCGTTGCGTGGAAGGGTATTAACACGCTTGCAGGATATACATCTGCTTGTTTTCGCACCTTTTGCTACCCAAAAATGTTTCTGACAGGAACAACATTTGATAATTATAGTTTCTATCATATTTGAAAATTTTTGTATTTCAGGTTTGTCAGGTAAACAAAAGGATGTATTGGAGTGATTCGCTCTGGCAATGCTAATGCCTAGCTTTAACCAATTAATCAATGCTAATAGTAATGTTGTATTAGCTGAAGGCTAATCGAAATACCCTAACTTTACAAGCTTTTGACAATTTCACCATATTTTGTTATTTCTATCAATTTTATCCCAATTTCAATATTTTATAGCGATATTACTCTTAGTTACAATTCTGAATAAAATTACAAATGAAAAAGTATTTCCATCATTTTTAAGATATTACCTCAAAAAGTCAAAATAAATTTTTATGCTAAGATATGTTTAAATTTTCATTTAATTTTTTATCTTGTAACCACAAATTTTCTAAAACTAACTAGTTTCATAATATTAAAATATGATTATAAGTATGAATCTTAATATACGGCACTTAACTTTTATATTTTAGTTGGCCCTATAGTATCTTATTATTTCATAAATTAAAAAATTAATATAAAAATAAAATGTTAGATGTTCTCTAAATATTTATATTCACGTTTAGTGGGTAATACATTTATAGATTTCAAAATATAATATTCAGACATGTGCAATTAAAATAATTAAGAAGTTATTTATTTATGTTTTTATTAAAAGAATAATAATTCTGACTATATTATCAATAGAAAAAGTACAACAACTAGGATTACTTCATTCTTAATATATAGATAATATGGAAGGAAGAATATAGTTGAAAATTTTTATTCTATTAATTTAGTTTTTATGCCATGTTTTGGGAATTTTTGGTAACTAATAGAAACTTATGTTACTGAACTATTAATTAAAAACATTATTTAAAAATTCAAATTTAATCTATGCAACATTAATTGGATAGACTAATGGAATTCTTTTTAACTTTAAATTTTTATCAATTTTTTATATAAAAAATGATGAAAATAATTTTCTATTTGCAATCTTATCCTTAATTGCAATTGAAGGTATTATTGTTATAAAAGAGCAAAATTGGAATAAAATTAACGAAAATATCAAAATAAAGTGAAATTATATAAGCTTTCGAATATTCTGATATATTACGCGATTGGGAGAACGACATTACAACTTTAATGTTGTGATATTACAAAGATGCCAACATCAATGAAGTGAACCACTGCTTTTCTCTCCCAACAAAGGCAGACGCCACGCGTGCGGCCATCTAAATTTTGTTACAATCGGCACTAGATAATATTTGTGTAGGACAAATATTTATAAATAACATAAGAAAAGATTAAATTGGTCAATTTCATATCAAAAATTCAACCTGCATTTCAGAGCCAAAATTTCTTGATTATAGTAAATATGTTAATCATCAAAATGTATTACCATTAATTGTACATTTCATATGCTTACCTACAACTTTATCTTTATCTTTTTTTTAAAAAAAAAAAAAAAAATTCTCATCCCTTAATATCTTTATTCCACCAGAGCATAATGCAAGAAGAATCCAGTACTCTAGCTCTACCCTTCAATCCATGGAAGAACACACATCAGCTTCATCAAATATATATGTATCACCTGATGTCTTTCAATAGGGGTTCGGTAAGAACGGTGCGTTCCGAGGTGCGTTCCGAGGTGTGAAGTGGGAGAAAAGGGATTTCATAACCTTTCTTCAAGAATTCAAGCTAGTGGACAGTGATGATTCATGAAATATTATCATAGTTTCAAAAGGAACGAGGTGTAAGAACAATATATAATAACATATATCTACTACTCAACTTAATTTAAATACAGCTTTGATTTATAGACAACACAGTGGAAGCAACTAGTGAAAAAACAACAGACTATGATAATTACTGTGTACATCCTATTGGCCTTCACTATTGGTCTTCGAGAAGAAAAGAATGTGGATACAAGGATGAAAGGAAAATCTAAAAATGGACAGTGTCATCCAGTAAGCACAGACCTTAATACATACAAAAAGATACAGTGATCAACTTCTTACCGCAAATAGTCCTGGACTTTGCCAATGCAAGTATCTTCCATCCACCATCTGCTGCCGAAGTAAAACAGAAGCGAATGTTGTCAGAATTAAAAATCAGTAGCACATCAACTGCCAATAAAAAGGATGGATTTTTCATTCATAAAATAGACTGAGAATCCAGTAAAAGAAAATATCAATGGCAAGCACTTAGAGACACAATAGTTGCTGCTATTATGAATCTATCTCTATTCTAGATTACTTGTAGTTTCTATCAAAATATATCTATCATGGCAAGGACCAAATATCTAAAGATAATATGCAACAACAAACCCAGCAGTAATAAATGTATATATAGGAAACTAGAATAATTACTTACATTTTACTATTTCATTTTTCAAATAAACAAATAAATTGACAAACATAAAAAACATGGAAAACTCTTAATAGAAAAGATAGATCTAAAAGAATTGAAATTACCCTACACCTACAGATTCATGAGAGACCACCACCCAGCACATCAAGCTGCCCGGAGATTCTTGCCTTGCATGTCGGACACATATAACCAACTGAATCTGACTGCATTTCAGTATCAACAGCCTCATGGCTGAACTCCACTCCACACCATACACAAACAGTTGTAAACTGTTGTGCATCAGTTGTATCTACAACCTCTGATTCAAACTGAACTGAGGTATCATATGCCCCTTCCACCTCAGGATTGTTTTCCATATTGATTGTTCCCTCAGGCAGAGAGAGAGGTTCTTGGCCCGTCCCAAAACTAAATTTAAGTTGTTCAATATCCTCCAACCTTAACTCCTCAAATCCGGTTATTTTGTCCTCCCTCTGGTTCACCGAACAAAATTCATTTTCTACCTGTCAAGAAAGCACAGATAGCAATCAACCAATATCCATGGAAAATAAATACAATTGCACCAAACTTACTTGAATATGCAAATTCTTATTTCTACGACCTTAACCAAAAATTTCTTTCACTATGATCGACAAGAATGTATCTCACGGTCAGTAATGAAGTTATATTGTTTGCAGGCTTCTCATGGTGGAAAGGAAGGAGAAGAAGAGACAAATTAATTGATTGAATTCTGAGAAAAGTAAGAAGATATAGAAAAAATTTAGAAGGCTGCAAGTTGGCATTAAGCATACCTTTAAATCACAAACTTAAGAAGAGACTCTCAGTCCCACTTTATATACTATCTTTCTTTATTAAAATTCTTTTCTATTTCTAATAGAGAGAAAAGAAAAAAAAATCATTCAAACATCACTTAAGGGTTTAAAATATATTATATACCCAAAAGTACAAACAACTATTATTCTATTCTCTAAACAAAAAGGATCCCAGAAATACCTTATCCAAGTTCACATTGGGCGCCGAAAAACCATGGCATGGTTGTAATCCAGATACCACTGGTTCTGGACTTCCACGCTGAAGTCCATCTTCTTCGAAAGGTTGATGTACAGCATCTTGTACAATATTATTATCTGCAGCACTGTTCTTACTTCCAAAGCCAATGTCTATCTCAGCGCTCTTTGTTTTATCCACTTTATCAGTCTTACTATGGTCTTGTTTGTCTGTATTAACCAGATTCATATTATTATCAATGCTACAAGTTTTCTGACTGCTCAATGGAGAAAGGGAATGGCAGTCAGTACCTCTTTCCTGCTCAATGACTGACTTTTCCATTTCATCAGCGCAGACTGCCAGACAATCTGTTGCACCAAGAGCTTTAGACGTATTACCACATTGCTCATTAGCAAATGAAGAATCTACCTCAACATCTAGAATATTAGTAGCATCATCAATGATCCCCATCCTTCTATCAATCACATGATCACTTTTTTGTAACTCTAATTCCTGAGATTTATCAATCATGCCATATTCCAAATCCAGTTCACTGAGAGAAGAATCAGATTTCAGTTCAGAATCAGAAACTGAAGCCAGAAGTTCTTCACTAGGAGCTAGATTCTGTTGATTAGATGTAAACCCACCATTGGGTTCATAATTAGGAACAGGAGATTCTGTTTCTCGAATAGAATTCTGAGCTATTTCAATCAATGCATCCATTTTGGATATTTTTGCAGGCAATTCATCTTTGTTAGGAGACTCATTTCTCTTTTGCAAAGCCATTCTGTCAAGAGGAGATTCTTCAATCCCTCTCACATAATTCCTCACATGGATTCCAACATGACCATTATACCGACGCCTTTCGTGAAATACCTTATGGCAGAACTGGCATTCGTATTTTCCATCTTTAACTATTACACCATCACCAACAGAAGAACCAAGTCTATACCTCCTTGTAGTTCTCTGGTGAAATGACAAAAGGTGCTGCAGATATGTGTCCCTGTCATCAAATGTCATGTTACATTTGTGGCATTCAAAAAGGTCATGTATTTGAACCTCTGCCAACTCCATATTATCAATTCCCAGCAAGGCAACAGCCTTCTCACGTTCACTAGATTGCCTCTGACCTTCCGCTTTCCCAGTAGTACCTGCATACTGTTGCATATACTGTAAGTTCGTTAGACAAGGTTAAATTCGACAAAGTTATGAAGCAAATATTTACTTACACTGTCAGAAGCTACAATGTGGACCTGCTGAATGTTCCCACCCGCATTATGCGTCACTTGTTGTGTATCACAAGATCCAAAGCATGATTGCAAGTATGCCGAGACTTCCTTACAGGATACAAAGTGTTGTCCACCGGGGCTGGATAATATCAAAGGAAGAAAAAAAATCAGGCACAGAGAGAGTGAGAGAGAGAGATGTATACCTTTGAATCCACAAAAAAAATAGTTGTACATGAATATCAAAGAGGGGACAATAAGAAGTAAAAAAGAAAGATTTGCCCCATTAATTGGTTGAGCAGAAATACGGCATTCAATACAAGATAATTGGATAGTGCCACTAATTGTCAATAATTTCACCATTGGCAACCAAAGAAGATCATTGAGTAGAACAGCAAAGAAAAACATGCAAGTTAATAAACCTTCTAAAGAAATAGGCTTGGCCAATATTTACTAACATAACCAGTGGTTAAGACACACTCACTCTCAAATCACTTTGATTGCGGAGACAACAACTCAGAGGATATGGTAAAACAAAAATTAAAAAGAAAAAAAAAAAGAAAAAAAAAAGAAAGAAAGAAAAGAAAAAGGCATCCCAATTTTAAGACGGTCAAACCTAGGATGATAGCAGCAACAATTAGCAAGGATTTGCATGCTCAAGAAACAATATCTGAAAATTTAAATTCATAGATTGAATACTAACGGTGTAGCTTCCAGTGACAAATCGCCAGCACGGCAACCGACTTAAGTATTCAAATTAAGATCCTAAAGTTTTCCAATTGTCAGTGCAATGGATTTTTGGCAATTCAGCCCTGCTTCAATCATATGCGATTACTAGGTTACATAAAAGTGCTAAGTGCTAACGGCAAAAAACAATATGATCTAACTGCTTCCTCAATGCGACTTCTTTCATTGAGTGCTCACTATTGCATATGGTAAACAGGTACTGCAATTAACTGCAATCACACTGAAATATACTGCCTTGTGTTTTTAACTAGATTTAAGTCAGCCATAAAATGGTTTCTGCCCATTACTTCTAAATAACAGAAAGTTATCACAGAAGCTGGTGGGGCATCTTACTGTTTGGATTTATTGTAAACACCAGCAATATATTAATGGTCACCTACAAGAGCAATAGGTAGAACATTGTTTTTGCTTCAGAAGTTGGCCATGGAAAACCATTAATCACACTGGACTTCTTAGATTCTTCTAGCTCTATGCCTCTCTCTTGAAAGTGCAAAAGCTGGAAACTTATCCCAGTTCAAGGTATACAGTGATCGCAGAGCAGAACAATAAAATCCATAATCTGTTTGAAAAACTGACACTCCATATACATAACACAATAAATCAAATACCTTAAATATCTACGGCAATAAACCCAAGCACGGCCTTCTTTCCTCTTGAGCCCAAGCAGTAGCTTCCAACCAACTGGTAATGTATCACCAAACTCACTTGCATCAACAATTTTTCTCTTCCTTCTCCTACTACACCACTGCCCCTCTAAATCCCTGAAAAATCCCAACAACTCTTCTTCTTTATCCATCCCTTGGGTTCTCCTACTCAATTCCTCTCTGTATGGATCCTCCATACCAGCCAATCTCACCAAGTCTACTGCAACCCCGTTTTTGTTCAGAATCTCCACACTCATTGCCTTCCTTCTCTCTTCCGCATTCAAGACTTTCACTTTCGGCTTTCTTCCTCTTTTCCTCTTTCTTTCCCCAATTTTGAAGTTCCCATTTACCACTGGCGCTTCTACTGCTGCCCCTAGTGATAATTGGTGCGAAGTGAAATTAATAGCTTCATTGAGATGGCTAAAGGTATCAAAATCTACTAAATCTAATTGTTCGAATTCGGGATGAGTAGAAAGAAATTGCTTAAGGTAACTAATAATAGAGTGATTTTCGAGGTAATCGGAGTCGGTTGTGGGATTATTGAAAGGAGGACTTGAACTTGGGGGATTTGGGGTTTTGGAAAGGACACCAGCTAGACGGTGGCGGTGGTGGTGGTGGTGGGAGGAAAGGCGCGAATAGGTCTGTCGGCGGGAGCCGGCACTTTCATTGAAGCTTGAGCGATCAATGACAGGAGTCACGACGTCATCGGTCCGGCGAGGGTCAAAGGAAGAAGAAGAGCAGAGAGATAGAGCGCGAAGTTCTGATTGGGAAAGTGTTGTCATGTCTACGAATGGGAGAAAGCCTAGGGCTAAGCCTGGTGGTTCCGCGGCGGTGGTAGTGGGCATTTTGATGGTGTTGATGGTGATGGTGGTGGTAGGTGGTGACTGGACTCTGGAGTGGAACAAAGGTGAGATTTTTACGAGGTTTGCAAAAGAAAACTGTAGTAAGCGTGCGTTTACCTGTTTTTGCAAGAGAAATTTTGACACGTGCTAGTTGTCTTGTCTTTTGTGGGTTAAAAATTTATTTCAAAATGATTTGGATCTTGCGAAAAAGCTTAAATCAAATGGAAATGAATGATACTTAGTACTTATAAAAATAAATAAAAAATTATAGTTAATGGTGAATGGCCTTTTTTACACAAACTTTATTTGTAAAATTACAATATAAAATCTGAAATTATTATCTTTTAGAAGATTTATTAAATATCACCGTTGTGCAAAACGAAAATCCCAAAAATTGTCCCTCTTAAATTTTAAAATTTAATTTCATACGCTTAAATTATGCCTATGTTAGATTCTAATTAGCAATAATGTTTAATATTTTAACCTAATTATTTATAGTGTTAGATGTGATAGCATTTATATAAGTGTTTAGAGTCTGAGAGAGTTGATTACTCACTTCGACCATATTTAACAACAATTTTTTTATATAACATTTAGTGTTTTAATCAAATAAAAAATAGTATTTGATTATAATAATAGTGTTAAGAGATTAAGGAAGCAGAAACATTTATCCTAATGGATTATAAAATGTTATTTCATACAGTGTTCGTCGAAACGTTAGTAAAATATTTGGTAAACTATTAAAACAATTAACAACTACTAAAACAAGTAATTTTATCGGACAAGTATTTACCGATGCTAATAATATATCTCATGAACCTTTTATTTGAACAGTTACTTCACAATATACGTGAAGTTATTTTATACATGAAATTGGTAACTTGTGAAGTCCGTTCATGTACTCATAACCAGTTGCTGCCTACAGTGGATAGTAATGAATCCACCTTTCAAACATTTTATAACATTCTACCGGTTTGTATTCAGTAGGAGAATGGCCTGCACCCTGTTCAAATAATCAAAAATTAATTACCTTAATTTCATTTTTATATATTTGATTAGAAAATTAATATAATCAAAGGATTTTCTCTCACCTTTAAAGTAGCAAACGTTATGCGGAATCCATGATACTCATTCCTGAGCGTATATCTACATAAAAAAAAAAAAAAAAAAAAAAACGCACACGAATTTTTAAACACCTCCTTAACAATTGTAGGAGAAGAAGAAGAAGAAAAAGGGAAAAATGTTACCCTGCAACTTGACCATCAACGAACCATGGTCGCCAAGCATAATCTACAGTTAGATTTAAATCTTCTATCCACTCCAAAGTAGATGTGTATGGAACAACCAAATCATGATCACCACTGCATTATGAGATAATTAAAATTTTAGATTAGCTAATAAAATAGGATTAGGTTTATTGAGAATGCAATTAACCTGTAAAGCAGAACTTGAATGCCGGAATTAGTAAGATTTTGATAATAATCAGCAGCGCTGCCAATATTATACGTATATGTATTGTGCGCCAAGGAATTATTGCACCTATACCATTCCTTAATGGTTCCCTGTAACAACCATAATTTAAATAATGAAAATAAAAATAATCTATATTTAGCGAATCTTAATAATACATTAATGCAATGGTTGTTAGTTTTAAAACGTTACATACATTTCTAACATGTAGTGCATCTTGAACGGTTTTATTGTTTGCCCAAATGTCAAGAAGTTTGTAATCAAAATTCTGCAAAACAATGTAATGAAATAATTATTTTAATTAATTACATCAGTGATAATATATATATATATATATATATATAGAATAATTATTTTAATTAATTACATCAGTTGATAATATATATATATATATATATTATATATTACTTATATATATATATATATATATATTACTAATAATATGAAAAAATAATAATATATACCCGACACCAATAATCTTGACGGCTCAAAATTGGAAAATGAGAATTTCTTGAAGTTGCTCTCAGGGATCTGCGAAATTTTTTACCATCTGATTGTTTTGGGATTAGCTCAGCACACTTGGGTTCCAAAATATTTTCCTCATTAATTGGATCAATGCACTGCAATTTAAAAAAATTAATTTTAAAAAGTTTTCTATCAGGAAATTATAGAAAAAAGTATGCAAACATAATAAGATTTATTTTGACGAACTGCGTATTTTTAATACGATCTTCGTATTAAAAATATATTTAATTACATTACTTTCCATTACATTTGGAGTAAAAAATAGACATAACGAACCTCGTCAATTTCTTCGAGATATTCTAAACATTCTGCACTAGAATCTATCCCCAAATAATCCTCATTGCAACTGTTTTTGGCTGACTGCAAAAATAAACAATAAATAGCATAATGAGAGATACTTTTATAATTTATTACAATGTTAATTACTAAATTAATTAAAATAAACTCGGTAATTAGTGTGTTAATTTGCATGGAATTACCTCATAAACAGTTTTAGATATAAGTCCCAAATGGTAACAAAGAAGTATTCTGCTATTTGCTTCTAGGGCATGACTGATATGTGGAGATCCACTTATGATTCCCTGTAATAATTTTCAATAACATTTTTACTCACTATAATCGGCAAAATGATAATATATATATATATATAAAGAATAAAAATTTAAGATTAATTAAGTATTTAAAGAAAATTTCCTAATTAATAAGATAATTACTTCTAAATTAATCTGTGGCTGCAGTCCTGCTTCGTTACCTGCGTATATGACCATGATCAAACAATTCAAATATATATATATATACACACATATATTATATATTATATATATTGCAGTTAAAAGATGAAAATAAATATTTTAAAGGACGGTTTAAATTAATATTTTAACCCCACAAATTACCGTCTATTATTGCTTGAGCAAGTACTGGGAGTTATTATACCAGAATATGAATCACTAGCTATGAAAGAATCGGTTGTTTTTGTTATTCTGGTGTGATCAGCCTTGAACCACCTGCAATTATTAATTTCAAAAAACATCACATAATCGGAAAATTTTAAATACAATTTTTCAAAAAATTCAGAATTTTTAAAACCGAATTTTATTACTTGAAAAAAAATCGTTCTGGATTTTTCCGATTAGATTTATTTTTTGGGGAGTAATCCATGAGAAGTAGAATCAATAGGTCGGTTTTTGTAGTCGGATTTTTAAACCCAGATAAATTATTTATCCACATGAATTGTACAGATAGATTGTAAAAAACCATTATGGCTTAATCTGTAAGTTAGTTGTTTCTACCTTGTCGGTAACCTCTATCTTATTCTACTTACCAAAAATGATTTGATCTAACAGAATGATGTCTTTCTATTTAATCATTATGACATACCGGCTGCATTTGGTTAGGCATTAAGGATTTTTATTTAAATGGCCGTTTTCTGTGCCAATATTGATCATTTAACGCCCCTTTAAATCGCCTCCTGTAACCTTACGAAGTCAAAATAACATTAATTCTACGTGTATGTCTTATCAAGACTTTTTAATCCCAGACAACCTTTCTTAAATATATCTATAAACGTAAAATACTATGGTCTTTATGTTATGGGACTGTTGTATGTCTATTTGATTGTGCCCCTCTTGTGATATTTGTCAAAGCATAAACCTTCCGAGGAAGCTTGTAGCATAGTTATACTTTCAGAAAGGTGCCAACAATGTGAGATCAATAAGACATCTAGTGTGAATATCCAATATTAACGTACCGTATGTTCAATGTCATTTTATCAAAAACACCAAGTCAGATATTCTATGGCCAACAAATCTTATGCCTATATGTCATATAAACCACATTTTGCTAGAAGGACACTATAATTATAGGAAAAAATTAAACCTTACTAGTACTTATAGGGAAATATACGATTTGAGACTCTCACAAAATCATAAGAATTCTGCTAGTATACCATAGTTGTGATTTGTAAAAATTGTACCTAAATAATATCACATTTAGGGTTTTTAGGACAACACTCCTAAACACAATTCCAAGCTATCAATATTTGGTGCGACAATCGCCTAATTCACCTTCACACTATTGAGTGCGCACGATTTTGTGGATATTCTTTGGGCCTTAAAATTCACCCAAATCAAATTGGCTAAAGGCTCCACTTTACTAAAATGACTCATTTTTTTTGGAGCCAGCAATGTATTTTATAGGGTCTGAAATCTAATACACCTTCATTATCTGGTTGGCTTACAAAAAAGCGTCCCATTGAAAAATATTAGCCTCAACACTTTTTTTAGGTACCATAGCCCATAATGCAGTTAATTAATCAATATCAAAATTTCAATTATTATTTTGTCCTCCCCAAAAGGAATGGCGGGACGTAAAACTGGAAAGAATAGTTAGCACCAATGATCCGCATACACGACAAGCTGTATATGGCGGAGTCAGGCAGCATCCCAGTAATCAAAAGTCACTACTGAAAAAAGAGGCCTAAGATAGATCCGGAAAACTAAGCAAGGTGGACATATTGTATCTTTCCAATTTCACTGCCGGCTTTATCTAAATAAACTGGTCCAAGAGTCCTGACCGTAGCACGTGCAGAGAATTTATCTAATCTGTAACCCTATGCTTACCAGTCTGGAAGAAAAATCCGAGTTGCCCCCAGGAGCAGAACAAGCGGGCACAAGTTCCGGGAAACCTTCACTCATATCAATTGTAACAAACTAACATAAGCTCCATTCACCCCCTAGTGCAAAAGCATTCAAGCATTCATCATGGTTAGTATTATTCAGGCAGATGACATTAGTTTCCGGATTTTTTTTTTTTGGTCTTGTCCCTCCCCCAGCTCCTCTAATCTCCTGGTGTGTTGAAGGATCCTCCCACATGCCACAATAATAATCATATAGGAGGCTTAAATTAATCTAGACAAGTAGGTTAAAATCAAGTTCTGATATCTGAGTATGTTACATCGCTCTTATAGTAGTATCCTCTTTCTAGTTCCACTATAGCCACGCGACAGAGAATAATAAATTAATAGAATAAGAATAATACTTCACCCATCATTAAAATAAATTATAAATTGTTAACATCAAAATCCATTTTTCATTTAATTAAGCAAATAAGATAGCTCACCATGTTCAAGCCTTAAATGGTAAAGCTTCCAGAGAGGTGGCGGAACGTCCCACCTAGGACAATCACGAGGTGCAAGTTTCTCTTCCGTCTAATAGGTCTGACCAATGCCCTTCGATTGAATAGCCTCTTTTTATGGAGATCTGTTGTTTAGCTACAAAGGGTAGCGAGGTTCACAGTTTGGCGGACTCTGCTGGGGAATTTATGTAATCTTTTTGCCATAAAATAAAGTCGGAACGCTCACGAATTGGGCTGAGGAAATTAAAACCTAAACCACCGTGGCCCTATCCAGTCTTAGCCTAGATTAACAAGCCTAGTTATGCCTTATGAGTCCGTTGTTTATTGGTGCACATGGGATTACTTTGATCCAGAGATCTTGACAAAAAGAGCAATGCAGAAGTTGTTACTTTCCTTTTAAGAATGTGACTCCGATGAGGGAAGTGGGAGATAATTTTGTTTATACAAAGATTATATAACATGGGTAAAAAATATTGAATACTATTTAATAAGAACCCTATTGTTTTAGAAAAAGTTGGAAAAATTATTTAGTTTTAGATCTAAGTTCTTTTGGAGTAGCCCTGTAAAACCAAACCTCTGCACTGAGGAGGTCACGGTCCTTTGATATCATCCATATGCATAAAAGGTTAAAAAGATGGAGATTTCAAAATAATGAGAATTTCTGTTTCGGTGCTGCCTCTAGTTTATAATTGACTTCTTTTTGGATAGGTATCCAATGGTCATTTGGTATTTTATAAGTATAGCAGTTAAGGCCCAGCTAGCCATCTTTGTTTTCTGGGACTCGACAGGTTCTCTTTTGATATGGTATGTCCCTCCGACGCGCCACCATATCTAGTGTGTGCCGCCCTCCCTCCTCTTAAGGTTATTCCGAAAACCGCCCTAGATCAATCCCTTTCTTATGGAGATCTGGTGGCTCCTTACTTGGGTTATGCGTTAGCCCACCTTGATCTCCACACGTTGAAATTCTCGATATTTGTTTTTCAAGCCCGTATGTGTTTAAATGGGTATAGTGTATTTCTCATACACTTACAGGGTATCAGTTACTAGGCTAGAGACTGGTCCCTTATAACTCAGGACCTCTGGAGCATTCTCTCCTTAGTTCTTGGAGTTGCATTACTCTCCCATAATCATAAGAAAAACCATATACAGGTTTAGGTCTGTAATAGCCAAAGCGCACCCCGAAGACTTGGCAAACAGGCCACCACACGCTAATGGATGTTGGAGATCACTAACGAATGTAATACAGTATATTTATGAACGTGTTTGTTATGCCCGAGTGGCACAATGTATTTCCTGCAGCTTGCACGAAGTTCAGAATCAAAATAAAAACATGTGTGGGGTATTAGCAGTTTGAAATAATACAAACTCAAAGAAGAGGGATTGCTAATGTGAAACTTGCCCTCATATTATAGCATTATATTCTAATGTCCTATAAAAATTGCTCACACAGTTTTATGGAGTATTAAGAGAAATTCGAATTACAATCCTTACACATTCATAGTCATATACAGCTGTACTACGACCGACCAACTATAGTTGTGATCAACATAAATCCAACCCATAAACCTTTCCTAGTGCCTCTTTCCACAAAGGGTTGCCCACCTCTAGAAATATTCCTGATGGTGAGGCTCACCGGCATATGGGTGGCGCCATTAGGGAACAATCAGAAATCCGGTTATACAAGATGGTTCATATTCACCCATATGCTTTCAGGCTAGCCTTTAATTTAAGACAACTGAGCCCTTATATATTGCGGTAAAGATGAAAATAAATATTTTAAAGGACGGTTAAATTATATTTAACCCCAAAAATTACCGTCTATTATTGCTTGAGCAAGTACTGGAGTTATTATACCAGAATATGAATCACTAGCTATGAAGAATCGGTTGTTTTTGTATTCTGGGTGATCATTGAACCACTGCAATATAATTCAAAAAACATCACATAATCGGAAAATTTTAATAAATTTTCAAAAAAATATCAGTAATTTTTAAAACCGAATTTTTACTTGAAAAAAAATCGTTCTGATTTTTCCGATTAGATTTATTTTTTGGGTTAAATCAATATGGTTTTTAGGATTTTTAAAAATTACTGAATTTCAAAAGAAAAAAGTCGGTTTTTTCTCTGTTAAAATTAAAATTGACTGATTTTTTTTAATGAAGGCGTTGGTTTGATTTGGTTCGGCCAATTTCACCTGCTATTAACCTACAAGCAAACAATTCATTGTTTCACTAACATTTCTTAAAAACGAATAGGTTTGTGCTGCTGATTCTGTGTCTGTGATGTAGTAACCACCAGAGCTTGTAGCATAGGAATAACCAGAGCCAACAGGAGCATCTATGAATATTATACTAGATGTCTGCATTTAAAAACCAACAGATTTACAAATTAGCATCAATTAGAATAAATAGAAAATAAATTTAGTACATTAATAATAGTTGAACCAATAACCTTTGTCCATGTGTATGGATTGTACATTAACTTTGGCAATCCCCCAGCATAATCTGTTTCATTCAAAATCAGTGGACCTGCATATACAAAGACGTTAAATGTTTTCTGAATTCTAAACTTGGTCAAACCATAAGGATTATACAGTAATTAATCTAATAATTTTTCAGGACGGGACGATGGGTGTTACATGTCCGGTGATGGAGCCAGAAATAAGAGATAGAGGAAAGAAAAATCTGCTTTCTAATTCCAATCCTGAATAGAGTCAAATTATTTTGTAATATCTTACCAGTCTGGAAGAAAAATCCATTCAGAGCAGAACAACCAGGACCTCCAATCAAGTACACTAAAACAGGGTCTTGTTCAGGCTTTCCTTGGGACTCCACAAAAAGGTAGAACAGTTCTGATTCATTTACTGTTATATACCTATCCACAAGCAGGAGGTAAATGTAGAATTACTTCACCATCATTAAAATAAATTTATAAATTGTTAACTTCAAATCCATTTTTTCATTTAATTAAGCAAATAAGATAGCTCACCCAGTTTCAAGCTTAAATGGTAAAGCTCCAGAGAAGCCTGGAAGAGTTTCTGCAATCCTGCCTGATGACACTGCATGTTTAGCTACAAACAGGAGCAGCAGAAGCTGGAAACAGGCACAGCTTAGAACAGAGTGTATTGATGACATGATTTTGGACTTGCAGAGCAGAAAAATGGGTATTCATTTGTATCAAGATTAACTGTAAAAGATACTATAAATCTAATTGGTTGAGTTGAAATTATTTATAGTCTATAGTGTAAAACCAAACCTTCCAGTCCAGGTTGAATATAGGTTGAGGTGGTTGGGCTTAGATAATTGGTTAACCAATGGTCATTATGGTATTTAATTAGACTAGCCATCTTTGTTTTTGGAACTATGGTCATCAATTCTGTGTGCCCCTTCTAAGGAAAGACCATGGGAGATGCTTTTACTTGCTGCCTATTACATTATTCGATTTAAGCCGTGAATTAGGTATTTAAAACTAGAAGTTCTGCTAAATGGCTCAACTTGACACTGCATGTTCAGCTACAAACAGGAGCAGCAGAAGCTGGAAACAGGCACAGCTTAGAACAGAGTGTATTGATGACATGATTTTGGACTTGCAGAGCAGAAAAATGGGTATTAATTTGTATCAAGATTAACTGTAAAAGATAATTATCTATAAATCTAATTTATTGAATTGAAATTATTTATAGTCTATAGTGTAAAACCAAACCTTCCTGTCCAGGTTGAATGTAGGTTGAGGCGGTTGGGCTTAGATAGTTGGTTAACCAATGGTCATTATGGTATTTAATTAGACTAGCCATCTTTGTTTTTGGAACTATGGTCATTAATTCTGTGTGCCTCTTATAAAGAAAGACCATGGGAGATGCTTTTACTTGCTGCCCATTGCATTATTCTATTTAAGCCGTGAATTAGGTATTTAAAACTAGAAGTTCTGCTAAATGGCTCAACTTGAATTTGACGTAATTTTTACTACAATAGGGCAAAATATTTAAAATGCCTTAACAGGTTCAATCCACAAATTTTGCCTGCATTTTTCGAGTGGGCCAACTATATTTTTTGAATGTCTTAATAAATAAATCAAGGTCATATGTTGGTCATAAAAAAAATTAAGGATTTTTTTCGATTATCATTTTACTGTAAAAAAAAAGTGTGAATTGCACGAGTGCATGGCTTGCTAGTCCTGTGAGAGCACCCAATAATTGCAAGTCATAAACTACTGAATGCATCTCTTTCTGCGGCTTACACTATCCTTTATTATATATCCATCTCTTTCTTTGGAACAATGGCGTAGTTGAAATCAAAACTACAAATAGCGTCAAAATTGATGGGTTAGAAGCTTATTAAAATTAGTTAATTTCAATTTCAATTCTTAATTTGTAGGTTCATTGAATCGAAACTGCCATTTAAATAGACCAACCACAAATTTTGAGAGTACAATTAAATTCGGTGACAAAATTGATGGGTTGGAACTTGATTAGAACTAAAAGAATTGATTTCGAGCTCAATTTTTAATTTTCTCTTGGACTTAAATCATAAAAGAATAAAGAGAATAATGTTATATGATTCACTTGTTTTTAATTTTTAAAAATTTTTATAAAACACTAAGGCCCTCAACAGTATAATAATACTATTGCCTACTTTAAAAGCTCTTTGATCGTCTTCGCAATCCTTCACAGTGGAGTAGTCATGCATGGCAAGTATTTCTGAATGCCTGGCGGTCAAGCACTTGGGAACAATTCTATTCAACGTTTCCTATGTCAATGGCTCAATAAGCCGCCTCTCTCTGATAAAAAAATAATAATAATTTATTAAAATAAAAATACAGGATAGACTGATGTTATTAGGCAATTATAGATTTTAAAATGAAATAAATATGAAATATGATTATAAAAAAATAAAAAAATTAGTTGAATCTAAAAATTTTTTTTCATCAGGCTACTGAATATAGATAAATTTTATCAAATTTATAAATGAGACTCACACTTAACAATAAAATAGGTAATATAAATTATCAATAAGAAATTATTATAAAGTAATCCTTTATTTAGAATAAATGAATTCAAAAAATAAATATAAATATATATATCAAGATATATTCTAACGGCAAAATGTATGCACGGCAAGTTAATATATTTCATTTTACCAAAGAGCTCATTAGTAATCGAGTTTTTCTAAAAAGATTTTATTTTGACGTTGAATGCAAAATTTAGCTTATTTATTTTGTTATTTTTCCCCAATTACTCAAATTTTATATAAAAGTAATACAAAACTAATATTATGTAGAAATTAGTTATTGTAATAAAATTAAACAATAATATATTGAATAATATAATAGTATTCAATTTATTCATTATGATTTTAAAAATGAGTCAGCAAAGCTTGTTCTATTTAAGCAAATTCATTATCATGTGCGTGTCACTAGTTAAGCCTGAAAGCAGAAATGATAAAAGCTTGTCGAGATGGGTGGCTGTGGCAAAAAGCATATGGTGATTGGACCCGCTCAATTGAAAGCTGATGACATTTTTTTAATTAATCGAAACTTTTAAACCATATAAAATATTCAATTCTTGCAGTGCAAGCACATGGGCTACCAAATTTGAAAATTCTTGTCTCATTATTTGTCTCTATCTCTATATATATATATGCTTGGTTAGTCTTTAGATGCTCTCACCACTCACAAACAGTAAAATAGATCAACGAAGTCATGGAACTTCCATCGACAACCAGCAAGCCACATGTAGTATGCTTCCCTTACCCAGCTCAAGGTCACATAAACCCAATGCTTAAACTAGCCAAACTACTCCATACCAAAGGTTTCTACATTACGTTTGTCCATACAGAGCACAATCAGAGACGCTTGCTACACTCTAGAGGCTCTAACTCCCTCGCCGGCTTGCCTGACTTCGTTTTCGAAACTATTACAGACGGTCTTCCTCCGGCTACTGATGTTGATTCTAATCAAGATATTGAATCTCTTAATAAATCTGTTTCAAGAAACTGCTCAGCTCCATTTCGGCAACTTCTTGCAAAACTCAAAGAATCCTCCAATGTTCCACCAGTCACTTGTATAGTATCTGATGGTATTATGACTTTCACTCTTGATGCTGCTCGTGAAATTGAAGTTCCTGGAATCTTGTTTTGGTCTACAAGTGCTTGTGGTTTGTTAGGCTATGCATATTGTTGGCATCTTATTCAAAGACGCTTAATACCACTCGAAGGTACTTACTACTAAGAAGTTATTATGTTAAAATCTTGTTGCCAAAAATTTTAAAAAATTTTATTAACAGGATAAGTCTGATTTTGATTTACAGATAGTAGCTGTTTAACAAATGGATATCTAGAGACAACTGTGGACTCAGTTCCAGGTATGGAAGGAATACGTTTAAAGGACTTTCCAGCTTTGATTCGTACAACAGATGGAAATGATTTCTTTCTGAACTTTGCAATTAGAGAAGTAGAAGGAGCCTCAAAAGCTTCAGCTATTATTCTCAATACATTTGATGATTTAGAGCGTCAAGTTTTAGTTTCTCTCTCATCTGTTTTTACCCCTCCAATTTACACCATTGGTCCTCTCGACTTACTTCTTGATAAAATTGCTCCAAGAAATAACCTAACCTCCAATATTGGTTCCAATTTATGGAAAGAAGATCATGAGAGCCTTCAATGGCTTAATTCGAAGAAACCCGATTCAGTACTTTATGTAAATTTTGGCAGCATGATTAACTTGACACCGCAAGAACTTGTAGAATTTGCATGGGGACTTGCTAATAGCAAGAAAGACTTCCTGTGGATAATCAGGCCTGATCTTGTCAATGACAAATCCGTAGTTCTGCCACAAGATTTTCTTCTTGAGGTTAAAGAAAGAGGTTTAATTGCAAGTTGGTGTCCACAAGAGGAAATCCTGAAGCACCCATCGATTGGAGGGTTTTTAAGTCATATGGGTTGGAATTCAACTATAGAAAGCTTGTCAAGTGGCGTTGCAATGGTTTGTTGGCCTTTTCTCGGCGAGCAACCAACAAATTGTTGGTTTGCTTGCAACGAATGGGGGATCGGTACAGAGATGGACAGCAGTGTGAAGAGAGATGAAATAGAGAAGGTCGTTAGGGTCTTAATGGAGGGAGAAAAGGGGAAAGAAATGAAGAAGAAAGCAGCCGAGTGGAAAAGAAAGGCTGAAGAAGCCATTGCCCCTGATGGTAAATCAGTTTTGAATTTGGATAGATTGGTCAATGAGGTGCTATTGTCAAAAACTGCATAGAAATGAAAAAAAAAAAATTGTTTTCTTTATGAATCAATTAGGCCATTTAGTTAATTAATAAATTGTATCTGAATTAGTTTTCTTTTTTGAAAAATATTGAGGTTGAGCTTAATATTATTCATTGCCAAGTTGTGAGGATTTTATCTAATAGATTAATATGCTCTGTTTCAGTATTGTGTGATTAATGATTATTTACAAATCACTTGTTACACTTTAGTTTTAGACATATTTTTACAAATCTTTTTTTTTTTTAAGAAAAATCTAATGATACTCTAAACTTTTATTCACTTAGCCCAACACTTCTAACTTAAAAGTATACCTATTAAATTCTTTTAATTTGTAAATTCATTATATATATTAAAAACTCCAATTGATAACTTAGACTAGTTAAACGCTTATTAAATACTACCTCCTTCCCGTTTTGTTTGCATGGTTTGACAAAATACGCATATTAAGCATTTAGTCAATAAAAGTTATTTTGCCGTTCTTCACTCTTAATAACTCATTAAAATACTAAAAATCTTTCGTTCAATGAACAATTATAAAGATTATTATGGAAAAAATAATTGTTTAACCCTTAATAACCATTTTGTTTAACCATTGCAAACATTTCGGAACATCCACAAAAGGAATAACAAGCAAACAAAATGGGACAAAAGGAGTAGTTTAAAATGTGAATCACTATTTGAAAAGTCGCACTAACCACATATCAAATCAATATTTTCACGGAACAAACAAGAATCTTAAAATTATAGTAGTAAAAATTGTGTAAATGTTAATTAGAGAGCTCAATAAGTCTTCGTCAAAATTCAAGGTGCCATTAAATAAAGTTATAAAAATAAAGAGCATATTTATGTATTTGGACTATGTTAATGTTCTTAAAATAGTTGTCACATTTGTATGACAGTTATATTTGTGTCTGTATATAAGCATTCTTTTTTTAAGTTTATACAATTGTTTCCATGCTCTAGGCGAATTCAAGTAAAGCCTTAAAAATGGTGATGACTCTAAAGTTTTGAATCACTAACCTTTCATGTTAAATTTGCTTGAAACCAATATGTAGTTCACTACCCAATTGCCTGTTTACTAGGAGATCTTTTTTTCAAAATTTAATTAATTTTGCAAAAGTTTAGGAATTAATTAGGTTCTAAATGGTTGAATTTCATAATTAGGATTAAATAATTCTTCCTCAAATGAAATTGATTACAAGAGTAACAATACTTATTGCACCAACAAACATCATCCATCCAGTGAGTCTTAAACTCTATCCTACCATTAGAATTTTTTTCTACTCAGTTGATTGTTTAGAAGAAACCCAACAAATTCATCAAAGTTTCTGCGAGAAGAACCACCTGGTCCTGTAGCCTCCTCTGCCTTACTTTTCCACTCTATTGCTTTCTTTTTCATTTCCTTGCCTTTCTTTCCGTCCATCAACTCTCTTACAAGCTTCTCCACTTCTTCTCTCTTTACGTTGTTATCTATTTCCATTCCAACACCCCATTTATTACAAGCAAACCAACAATTTGTCTGTTGCTCAGCGAAAAAAGGCCAACAAACCATTGGAACACATCCACACATACTATCCAATGTTGAATTCCACCCCATATGACTTAAAAATCCTCCAATTGAAGGATGCTTCAAGATTTGTTCTTGTGGACACCAACTAGCTAACATGCCTCTTTCTTTAGTTTCCGATACAAATTCTGGTGGCAACATTGCTTTGTCGCCGACCACAAGATCCGGCCTTATTATCCACAAGAATGGTTTCTTGCTATTTGCAAGCCCCCATGCAAATTCTATCATTTGTTGAGGAGTTATCACAGTTATGCTTCCAAAATTGACATAAACGACAGCGTTTTCTTCATTTGAATCAAGCCATTCTATACATTCAGGTTGTTCTTTCCAGAGATTTGAGCCTAAATTTTTCAAGCTGCTACTTGATGGAATTTGTTCAACAAGAAGCTGGAGTGGACCAATAGTGTAAATTGGAGGAAACATTGTGGAGAGAATATCTAGAACGTCTTGCTCAAATGCGTCGAATGTGTTCAAAATGACAGCACAAGCTCTTGTCGTTCTCTCTATTTCCCTGACGAGGAAGTTGAGCATAATGTCTTTTTTGTCTGTTGTTCTAATAAAGCTTGGAAGATCTTTTAATCTAATGTTTTTCATGCCTGGAATCCAATCTATAGTTGTTTCCAAGTACCCATTTGTTAGATAGCTTGCATCTGCAATATTTTACAAAACCAAGCAAGACAGAAAATATTTGAGTAATTAAACATTTTTAACAGAAGAAAATAGATAAAGATATAAAGAATCAAACCTTTGAGGGGTGTTAAGCCTCTTTCAATAAGATGACAATATTGTGAATAGCCCAGAACACCACAAGAGCTAGGAGTCCAAAAAAGTACTTGAGGAATTCCAAATTCTTGAGCAGCATCAAGAGTGAAGCTCATGCAAGCATCAGAAATGATACAAGTAACAGGAGGCAAATTACTACTAGAAGACCCAAGACTAGAAAGAAGATTACAGAAAGGTATCAAGGAGTGTTTAGAAGTAGAATCACAAAGAGAAGGGATATCTTGTGTTGCATCAGCATCAGATGCTGGTAGACCATCAGAAATAGTCTCAAAGTGGAAATCTTGGAACCCGTCAAGTGAATTAGGGCCCCTTGATTTGAGTAAACGTCTGTGATTATATTCTGTGTTAACGAAGGTTATGTGGAAGCCATTGAAGTGGAGGAGTTTTGCTAGCTTAAACATTGGGTTTACATGTCCTTGAGCTGGATAGGGGACACATACAACATGAAGTTTGGTATCTCTTGCAATGCTACCCATTTGTGAGCGTTAATTTTTATTAGGAATGGTCTGCCCCTACTTGGGCTTTATAACAATAGGGATGTCTGATTCACTAAACTGATAGTTTTGGTTGAGTGAACCAATGGGTTTTTAGCCTTTTAAAATCGGAATTGAAACCAATCTTATTGATTTTGAAATTACCGGTTTTGATCTAATTTGAATGAGTTTTTTGGAATCCATAAACACTAGCAGCCACATCAAGAGTAATAATTTGGATTATTATGAAAATAATAGAGGAAAGACAAAAATAAGTGTGTCCATTTGGCTTCGGACAAAGGTGGCCGAATATAGCAGGACACAACACTACTTTACTATTATGTCAACGTTAGATGAACAGCTCAAATGCTAGGCTTGCTTTTAAAACTATAATAATCAATTTCTATCTTCAGACGTCACTGCTTACCCATGATGGTCAGATCCATTCGAAGTATCCATGAATTTTATTTTTTAAGAAAAGTATCCAAAAAAGAGCTCAATTATTGTTTCTTAATTTTATTTTTTTCAATTTTAATAATATTTCGCATGTTACAATATAAAGATTCCCCAATGCATAAATTTTAGGACTTTAATCTAACAGCATTCTTAACTTTAACAAGTTATTATTATTGGACTTTATTATTATTATTATTATATTTGTACAATAGAAAGATAAGAAAAAACAAAACAAAGAGAAAAAATTGATTCAGGAGCTGTACAGTTACAAAGGGTCAATTTAAAATGGACCAAATGAAACAATTGGCCATGAAATCTTTTTCTTCTTTTTTTAAAATATTTTAAGCCAGTATAGAACAGAAAAGAAAATAGAGAACAGAAATAATAATAAAAAAAAAAAAATGAAAGCATATGAAATGGGCCCTCATAACAAGAATCCTTGGGCTTGGTCCATTCACAGTAGATGAATGTTGGGCCATTATCCCATTCATACCTCCAGATCAGATTCAAAATCAATTAAAATAGTAAACATGATGCTACATTTTCTCAAATTATAAATTACCGAATTTTAGTAAATATATGGACAATATAATTACATAGTATATCAAAATGCTTGGTTAGTGTTTAATTGCTCCCATCACTCACAAAGATAAACAAAAAGATGGAAATTCCTGGGATAACCGACAAGTCCCATGTAGTGTGCATCCCTTACACAGCTCAAGATCACATAAACCCAATGCTTAAATTAGCAAAACTACTCCATACAAAAGGTTTCTACATTACCTTTGTCCATACAGAGTACAATCAGAGACGCTTGCTACACTCTAGAGGCCCTGACTCCCTCCCGGCTTGCCTGATTTTGTTTTCGAAACTATTACAGACGGTCTTCCCCTGGCAACTGATGTTGGTTCTAGTCTAGATCCTGAATCTATTTGTAAATCTACTTCAACAAAATGCCTAGCTTCATTTCTTGAACTTCTTGCAAAACTCAATGCATCCTCCAATGTTCCACCAGTCACTTGTATTGTCTCTGATGGTATTATGACTTTTACTCTTGATGCTGCTCAAGAAATTGGAGTTCCTGGAGTCTTGTTTTGGAATACAGTGCTTGTGGTTTCTCAGGCTATGCACATTCTACGCATCTTATTCAAAAAGGCTTAATACCACTCAAAGCTGCGTACTAAAAGAAAGGCTGAAGAGGCTATAGCTCCCAATGGTAAATCATTTTGAGTTTGGATAGATTGGTCAATGAGGTGTTATATCACAAAATGCTAAGAAACGAAAGATTGTTTTTCTATGAATTAATTATGTTATTTAGCTAGTCTTTTTTCTTGAAACGATATCATTTTAGTCAATAAATAAAATGTATTTAAATTAGTTTCCTTCTAAAAATTTTGATATGAAGTTTATTATTCATTTTGAATTTGTGAGGATTAAATTTTTTAATTTCCTAATCAAATGAAAAATCTTAGGAAAAAAAATTAAGGAAAAGAAATGACAACACCTAAAAAGATAATCTTGTTTGAAAGGTAAGAAAAGATTTTTGCCTCCAACAAGACGCAAATGTTGAATTTTTACTGTCTTTCTTCCAAGAATGACGCTTGGCAAGAACGAGACAAGGGCGATTAAGAGAATTTTGAGTGCGGACTTGCAAATAGAAATACCCATTTTTGTGGGGCATTAGATCTGATCTTATATATGGTGGAGATAAGGTAAATATCAAATAATATTATGGATGAGATGAAGTACTTGGTCATATTTCAATTGGAGGGTTTTTGATAGGGTAAAGTCAAATAATTAAATTCCTGAAATTATTAGTGAAAGAGTACCATTTTTTTGTTGGCCTTCTTTTGCTGACAACAGACAGATTCTTTGTTTTCATGTGGCAAGTGGGAGATAGATAGTGATGTTAGGAGAGAAAAGTTGAATGGGTTATGAGAGAATTGATGGAAGGAAATGAGAATTAAAGGCAATGGAATGGAAAAGAAAATCCGAATACATCGTTTGCATCCTAAACTTACAGAAACAAATTTTGTGACCTTCTATATTTTAAAAATGACCTTATGATCTTCTAAACTTGTGTTTTTATAATAATTGCACACATGACCAAAGTGATAAAAAAATTGTACACAGCACGCGCGGGTAATTTAGAAAATTAGCATTTCAAGTGGCAAACCGCGTTAGATCTCATGTTGGAAAAAGAGAAGATTTTTTTTTTTCATTTGCAGTTTCTTTGAATTTTTTTTTTTCATTTGCAAATATTTATCATGTACTAAAAAAATCCCTTCACCATTCAATTTCTGCAAGCCCCAGCTCCTCTACTTCTCCTACCACCTCCTCCATTTCTCCTACGACCACTACGCTTCGAATGAATTATAATCTGATTCGATCACCGCCATCACCTCTTTCGTATTTCAACCAGTGACCAGAAGAGTTCAAGTACGCAATTAGCTTCACTTTCTTCTTTTTCTTATTAACATGTCAATTTTTTTTCTCAATTCTAAACCACAAAAGATTGTCTATCACACTCATTATAAAATTTTACTTTTTGAGAGATTTTATATCATTTTAGTTTCAAGGTATCGTACTGGGTATCAATTTTAGAAGTTCTAATTAATTATTTTAGAAAATTTTTTGTTGTTACATTTTGAATTTATGGAATTGAGGTAATTTTGGTTTCCATGCATTGCTAAATTGAAGTTTTTTGTTCATTTCATCTTTGTTTTGTGATATATGTGTTTATCTTCTAGATTTGAATAAATTTTGATATATGGGTTTGTTATTGTCCAAATCTGCAAATTCTTTTTTTTTTTTTTATTTCTTTTATATATAACTTTCTTCTATGTGTTAATTCAATATTTTTTTAATTTTAGTTTTTTGATTTGTTATATATATTGTTCATATTTGATTTTTTTTTTTTTTTTTTCATTTTTTTTTTTTTTCAAGATCTCTATTTGATTTTTTTTTTTTTTTTTTCAAGATCTCCATATTTAGTTATTCATGTTGTTTAATATTTCAAACCTAGAAGTTCAATGTTTCTGCACTTGAAACCAATTGTTTAGGTAAGAGAGATGGTTTGGTAATAAGATGAAAGGAGAGACGAATTTGGCTTTGTTTGAAAATATCCAAATTTAATATGAATTTATGGAGAGGAAATAGAATGAGAGAGAAAAATTAAGTTTTTAATGGTATATGAATTAATTTAGCAATAAAAAATATTTTTTAATATTTTAAAATGCTAAATAGGAATAACTTTTATAGATTCACGTACAAGGAGAGACTTAAAATTCACACGTGTTGCTAATTGGATTAACGAGAGTGTAATGTTACCAATTTCATAATTTTAAAGTGTCATAAGGTCATTTTAAAAATAAAGAAAGCCATAAAACTTTTTGGTGAAAGTTGAATAAGAAATTTATGTATTAGGCGGAAAAGAAAAGCTCTAAGTTGTCACTAAACTTTATGGATCTTCTTATGTTAACTTTGAAAGGTTGGTCAAATACCTCATGGCTTGACTTTTTATCCATTAATTGGTTTTGACAATAGGAATTTTATGGACAAAGGAAGAAATGGTCCCTTGTCCATATATACACGCAGGAAAAAAAAAGTTAATCTCGTAATTTCCACCTCTCTTTATTATTTAAAATAATTTTTTACATATGGGAAACTCAATGGATTATACAACAGGATTATACACATGATAACATTATGGATTATACAGCAGGATTAATTATGTTCTTTGAATAATATTCACCACATATAATAACATTTATAATAGAGAGAACTTGAATTCGAAATCTTCTATTTTCCATCCATAAAAAGACCAATCAGACCAAATAAAAACAGAAATATTTTTCATTGAAAACATAAATTTATTTAGAGATAACATGCTATTGTTTTTATTTTTAGAACATCTCTGTATTAGAGACGAACTCTTTGATAACACACTTACTATGTTATTAATTGTCCATCTTATTGTTTCCAAGCAAAATCTCCAAGACTTTATCCAAGTTATCATAAGAAGAACCACCATAGCTAGTAGCTTCTTGAGCTTTTCTCTTCCACTCCGTTGCTTTCTTTTTCATTTCTTTACCCTTCTCTCCTTCCATCAACTCTATAATAACTTTCTCTATCTCTTCTCTCTTGAAATTCTTATCAATCTCAATCCCAATACCCCATTCACTACAAGCATACCTACAAACTGTTGTTTGGTCGGAAAAATTCGGCAAACAAATCATCGGTATACCACAACATAAGCTTTCGAGTGTCGAATTCCACCCCATATGACTTAAAAACCCTACTATAGAAGAATGCTCCAATATTTTTTCTTGTGAAGGACACCAACTCACTAGCATTCCTCTTTCCTTTATATCATCTAAAAATTCTTTAGTCAAAATTTCATTTAAATCCTCGCCTTCGACATGATCTAACCTTAGAACCCATAAAAAGTTTTTCTTACTATTTGCTAGTCCCCAAGAAATTTCTTTTAATTGCTCAATCGTCATCACAGTTGTACTACCAAAGTTTACAAATAACACGGAATCAGGGTTCTTCGAATCGAGCCAACACAAAAGTTCTCTTTCTTTTTCTTCGTCTTCTTTCCACAGACTTGGAAAAATATTTTTTATTCCATTGTTGTTTTTAATTTGATCGACCAATAAATGAAGAGGACCGATTGAATATAAGTGAGGATACATTTTGCAAAGAGAATTTAAGGCGTCTTCCTCTAAAGAATCGTATGTGTTCATTATTATTGCTGAAGCTCTTGAAGCTCTGTCTACTTCTCTTAGAATCCAATTGAAGTATAAATCATTTGGGTCTGTAGTTCTAAAGAAAGTTGGAAGATCTTTGAGACGGATAGTTTTCATGCCTGGAATCCAATCTACAGTAGTTTCAAGATATCCGTTTGTTAGGTAGCTTGCATCTGCAAATCAAAACAAGTTAGTGTATTTTTTTTATAATAATGCCATAAAACAAAGGTTTATCATAAATAATGAGACTCATCTTCACTCGTTGTCCTTAAGTGTCTTAGGGTTAATATTAAAGAACAATGGATAAAAAAAATTAGCCTAATTGGTTAGGCTCTCCATCCATTTTTATCTATAATATAAGGTTAATTTTTATATAGTAATTAAGAAAATAACTAATTAATCACCTAAATTATAATAAAATAATTCTTAATTTGACTAAATTACTTTATCTCGCGCAATTATTTTAATTAATTTCTACCTTTTTTTTCTATTAATATACCACTAAAATGAAAAAGAAGAGGTAATTAAGATGGGTTTTAGGACATTGTAGACAATAGTTATAGTGTTTAATAATGTTAAGGGCAAAATTAAAAGATTAATTAGCACTCCTTAATTTTCTTAAAGCAACAATAATTTTAAACAAAATAACTTCTAATAAACTACAAATAGAAATAGATAGAGCGAACGGCGGATCCACCTTATAAAAAGAGGGGTTGACCCCCTTTTTCTTTTTGGAACTCTCTATTATATATGTATATTTGTCCAAATTAATTCATAAAGTTCAATTTATTTATATTTTTTACCTCTCTTTTTTCAAACAATTATATATTTACCCCAGAAAATAATATTTCTAGATCCGCCACTAGACAGAGGGAGTATAAAAAGTAATTAATTGTACCTTTGAGGGGGGCTAAACCTTTTTCAACAAGATGAGGATAATGCGTATAACCCAAAACGCCACAGCCACTAGACGTCCAAAAGAGCACATCAGGAATTCCAAGTTGCTGAGCAGCGTCAATTGTAAAGCTCATGCCTCCATCCGATACTATACACGTAACTGGTGGAACTTCAGATGCTACACCATCATTCAATTTCTGAATTAGGTTAAGAAATGGAGCCAAACAATTATTTGAGAGGGCACAACACACTGTAGTGACATCAAGGTTGGCCTCATGATCTAAGGGATCGAGACCGTTGCTTATAGTCTCGAAACGAAAGTTTAAGAAGTCACAAAGGCTTGTGGGATTCGACCTCAGAATGCGATTATGGATGTATTCGGTGTTTACAAAAGTAATGTGGAAACCTTTGGAATGGAGAAGTTTTGCTACTTGTAACATTGGGTTAATGTGACCTTGAGCAGGAAATGGAACACAAATTGCATGAGGTTTATGAGCCATGGAAGGTATAATTATGTAATTAACTACTCTCTTTGTGTTTATAAATTTGTGCTTCAGCGGATCTCCATTCATGGCCTTTTATAGAGAAGGAAAGTATTAGTTACTTGGAGGGAAAACTATGTTTTTTTTTTTTTTTTTTTTTTTAAAGTTCATTTAAGAATGTAATCCACTTTTGCTAATTCAATTGCGTATTTTTAAAGTTGAATTATTTTTAATATACACATGAAAACTATCCATAACACCAATTGACTGCAAAAAATTTAATATTCTCAAATATACATATTTTTATTATATGCATTTCTTATGCAACTATGTTATCTATAAAGATTAAAATATAAAATATACAAAAGAAGTATTGATCTAGTAAAAGAGATTCCAGCCTGAAACCTTGGAACCTTACGAGTCTTATTGAATTATTTGAATAATTCTTGTTGTTTGTTGGTCTTTAATTGTCTAACAATGTAATGATGATGTTTGTACTGTTTATAACAAAAAAAAAAATACTATTAATTTTTATTTGATAATATAAAAATTTAAATTAATTTGATATTTGATTATCATTGACAACCACAAACAATTAGATCACTGAAAGTAAACTATATTTGGAGGCAAACTTTACTTTCGAAGACTTTACAATCTAAAATTGTCACTATGAGAAGATTTTATACGATTACTATCATTTATCCAAAAGTAAAAACAAACATATAAACCAATATATATATATATATATTCTTTATTAAAATGGGGAAAATTTAAAAACGAAATCGAGTGGGAAATGAAAAAAAAAAAACAATTTATTTGGAGTTAAAAATAAGGAGGTAATGCAAAACCATTACAAATATTTAATTACTCAACTCCAAATTGTTATTAATTATGGGCAGTGCAATTAATGATTTTTTTAGGATTAGTAATACAAAGACCAAATAACTAAATGTTGTCCGAAGAGAAGAATCTTTTCTTGTGTAATGTTTTTAGCTGTGACAATGAAGTTACAACTAAATATGTAAATGTGCAGATTTTAATTTATAATGCTCATGACGAAGGCTTATTCAAATCCAACGTTAGGCGTTTACTTCTTTGCTAAAGATAGCTTGTTTAGGTTTTTTTTTTACCTGGACGGCCATTAAGTGATGACCTTTGTATCAACTTAATTAATCCGTCAACTTTCCAATAATTGACCTTTTAACGATCATACTTCATCCAAAGAATCTATAAACTTAATTTATTTTCCAAACATAGGGCTTTTCGGCCATCTTAACTGTTTTTTAATAGTTGTTGACTATTTTAATAATTATCATGTGTTTTTTAGTAGTTATATGTTAATAACAGTTAGCAATTAGCTATTTATTAAGCGGTTTAGAATAAAAGTGTACGGTAAAATAACCATTTGATGAACTATTATGAAAGTAGAAAACAAAATAAGATAAGTTATGAGTTTAGGTATCATAAAAAATTTATAAAATGCTAAACGTTAATAAAAATAAGAATAACGTATCACGAAACACGACCTAAATTTTAAACGCTAGAATAAGATATTGTTTTAAGCTCGTCAAAACACTAAATACGACTTCCAATATTAACACGAAACTGGGCCATAAATTAGCAATAATGACGTACTTTTCTTTTCATTTCAACTAACTCCCTACATAATCATTCCATCACTCTAATAATTACTCTATTTTACAATGTCATTTTATATATCAACTCTTTGGTTATAAAACTATTTTCATTTTAGAGTTTGTTATTATATCTTTTCATAAATATTTTTTTTTATGATTTAAACTTTTAATATTATAGATATTCGCTAAATTTAAATATGTCTTACTGTTTGAATCACTTTTTATGTATTATATTGTTTAGATTTCTATTAAAATATAATTTATATTGAAATTAACCTAAATAGAGTGGCTAACTAATAAAATAGTAGTAGTCAAAAAATATTATGTATATACCCCAATTCAATTTTATAAATTATTCACTCTAGCCATGTATAATGTCATAATATCACTTAATAAATATATTTTAATGTAGAGACGGAGCTCTAAGGAGACTTAAGGGCCGTGTCCCCCTCGCCCCCAAAATCTGAGAAAATTCCTTGTGAAAAATTACATTTTAAAACCCTTTAAAATATAGAAAATTGTATTTGGTCCCCCATAAAAGTTTAATAAATTTCATTTGGCTCCTCAAATAAAATTGTCCTAGCTCCACTCCCGTCTCCTGCTGTATATATAATTCTTTCCACTAAAAAAATTCAAACGCACAATTAACAATCAATAACAATTCATTTTCCATCCAAAAAAATAATTTTAAAAAAATTAAAAAAAAAAAAAAAGATTACAATTATTTATACGTATACATCCATTGAACTTTGAAGGAATTACCAGAACTGAAATGAGTGGAAATTGAGAAGGGTTCAATCCTTATCTTGGAAAGCTATCCATTATTTATTGTAAATTGTTGCAGAAAGTGCCATTTGGAGTTGAACATCTCTAACCAAAATTGCAGCAATTAAGCGTTGGAGACATTTCAGAGGATTTAATCACAAGTATTGGTTGGTCTAAAGGTGGTGAAGATTATGAGAAGGTGAAGCATATTCTAAGTGTTGATCTCTCTTACTTCAAACCCGAACAGTAAATTACTTATCGCCTCGAGATTCTAGATTGTAGATTGTATGTATTGGGATACTGTCTTTTATATTCTGTTTTTTGTTTTCTTCTTACGTCAGCTTACAATATAATTTGGCAAAGTTTAATATTGTCTTCACAGTTTCTAAATATTCAGCAATTTGTATTTTGTTTTATAATTGTAACAAATTCAATGATGAGGAGTTCTTGAAGTGTCTTCGGCTGCGGTATCCTCGTCTTCTTCAAGACCTATGGTCCAATTCATTAACTTGTATCGAATTCTTTCTTTTGTTTTTCTAATTATAACAAGTTCATGAAAACAGAAGAAACTTATGGAAGAAAAATTTTCACCAATAGATAGAGAATTCATTGACCGTCATCTTCAATCAATGACAATGACAATTTGTCTTCAAAACATTTTTGTATAATTTCTTCAAGATGGCAGGACTTCAAACATTTTGTCAAACTCCGTTCATGGCATTATCCAAATCGAGTGAAATTGCAAACTCAGTTCATCTCTTACCAGAAAAGGAATTAGCCAGTAATCTGGCGGTAGGCCGGCTGCCATTGAATTACTTGCTGCTGAGTTCTTGCTGTATCAATTGTTGAGCTCCTTCAACCAACATTTTGACAACTTCACTTGCAGGAAGAATCTCATCGATAAGTCCTACGCCTTGGCCAGCATACATCGCCATGCTTTCTATATCACCGGTTGTCGTCCTATTTGGAACAGTGCCTCCAAAACGGCGAATCTCTTTTTCCTATAAGGCAATATTATTATTAAATAAACATAATTATTCTTATTAGAAAGGTATATGTATTTAAAAATGTAAAAATGAAAATATTCTCACCTCGCCATTTATTGTTGAACGGCCAATAACAGGTTGGTTGATCTCACTCTCGTGAGATGGGAGAGATTTCCAGTCATTGAAGAAAGGTGTTACTAGAACACGTTGCGGTGCATTAGGCCACCGGGCCCGACCAAACACATTCGTATGCTCAGTTTTACTGAGTTCAATCAACTTCCTCTTGTATATCGGATGAGCATAGCTTTCCTCAGCTGCAAGAAACCTATAAATAAGGTTTTAATTTCTGAACTTGAAATTGTACAATGATCATTAACAACAATTCAATTTTAAGGTTTCAATTGCACTGATTTTCTGCCTGAATGAGTTGCATCATACCTAGTGCCCAGACAGACCCCTTGAGCCCCAAGGGCCAGTGCGGCAACATAACCACGTGCATCCACAATGCCGCCAGCAGCAATTACGGGTATACCCCGGACGCCAACAAGATCAACTACCCTTGGCAATAACGAAATTAAGCCTTCCTGAAGCATATGATCAAGACAAGCACAAAATAGTTCAATATTGTTGAAAATTAAATTTAGCAGGCATTAAACAATTTGTAAAACCATTAAAGCAATAAGAGTGAGCTTATCAACATTAGAAATGAATAGCAGTACCAACTGCCTACGAACGTCGAAAGAGACACCTTTCATCAGGTGAAAAAATATCTTTTTGCAATGACCAAACATTAGGACAATATTAGTCGTGAGAAAAAATTTATATTGTCATAAAATTCCGAACAGTGAGAAAAGGAAAGCAAAACAGCAGGAGCCAGGAATTATTTTCAAGGTTAAATTCATCATACTTAACCCACCAAAACACAGTCTAAAGAAACTATAGAGCTGCAAATAAACAGAATTAAATTTGGAAATATACAAGCTAACATACCTGACCAATTACATGCCCCCCAGCTTCACGACCTTGGACAATAATTGCATCCACACCAACACTAATGGCTTTTTCTGCACCTTCATAACTCCCAACCTCAACCAGATACATGTTTATTAGTTAGCCATTCCAAGAAAATCATAAGGCGAGCACCCACAGCTACAGTTGAATCTAACAATTTAGTTTACATAGAAAGACACTTGCATCCATGTTCAACACCATAACGCTATGATTGATTATATCAATTAATAAACTATTTCTCGTATTATGCATTGATAATAATCTCATCTGACATCTATGGTTATTTGTCATATTTAATTGTTAGATTCATAATAATTTCGATATGCAAGATAAGAGTAATAAAATTTATGCAGGCATGCCTTGCTCACTAGAGTGGAGGTACTAATTAGAACATGAGTATATTATACTTACTTGGGGAACAACCTTGACTCCAGCCTGATGAGCTTTGAGTACAAGCTCCTCTGAACAATCACCCCAATAAACTTGCAAAACTGCAACTTTCTCATCCAATATGGCCTTTACATTTTCCTCATGCGGAAATGCCAAAACAACACCAATTCCAAAGGGTTTGTCGGTTAAGGTTCGTGTTTTCCTTATCAATCCCCGTACATAATCAGGTGACTCCTGTTACAAGTTCTGAGAAAATCACCTCCTATGCTCTTTTCTTTTTATATGAAGAAAAAGATTTTATGCCTTATTTTTTTAAGATTGAATTTTATGGTCAATATTAGAATACAACTCAAATGATGCACAATCTCCACACATTTAGTTAAAGTTTCTAACTTTATCAGCTTTTTAGCATGTAAGAAAAAATTTCCACCTGAAATTGAAGGAGACTAACCAAAATTATGCTTCCCTTCTTTTTTCGCTGTAATTTGTTTTTATTTCCAACACCACACCCCCCCCCCCCCAATTTGCTCTCCTTCTTTTTCGCTGTAATTTAGTCTTCTTAATTTCCAACACCACACTCCCCCCCCCCCTTTTTATTAATTCCAATCGCGCAAGCAATTCAAATCACTTAGTGCACAGATAATGAACTTGACAAATGGGATTAATTAAATCCAAATTTACACCAAGAATTAAATTAAACACTGAACACGATGTTTAACATATATTCAATTAATAATATAAAAGAAAACAGGTAAAGAAATGGAAAAGAAATGCATTATACCCAATTCAGGAGCTTCAGGAAAGCAAGACCACCAGCATTAGGCCACAGCAGCTACAATGGACAGAAATATAGTCCTAAGTGCGTGCTTGTACAAATCCATTATTCAAACCCCAAAATCCCCTCTCCAAACCATTTTCTTTTCTCCTCTATCCAAATGCAACAAAAAGGACACTTTAATAGTCAAACTATAGTTTTGTGGGTTTTTTCCTATCAATAACAGCATAAAAATTTATAAGACTTCAGAGTCATATATGACAGATCATATATCATTCATGGAGAGGGCTGAGGGAAGGTAGAGAATATCCTCCTCTCTTCTCAGTTTTGATCTTTATTCTTGTACTTGATTTATCTATTTAATTGAGAAATAGTATAGGAATAACATAGACATAATAAATTTTCTAATCAGTAGCCATTAGTAGCCATTCAGCTATGAATGTAGCCCCCCCCCCCCCCCCTTTTTTCTTAATTCCAATCGCCAAGCAATCAAATCACTTAGTGCACAGATAATGAACTTGACAATGGATTAATTAATCCAATTTACACCAAGATTAATTAAACTGAACACGATGTTAACATATACTTCAATAATAAATATAAAGCAAACAGGGGAAAGAAATGGAAAAGAAAATGCATATACCCAATCAGGAGCTCTCAGGAAGCCAAGACCACCAGCATTAGCCACAGCAGCTACAAGCTCTGGACCAGAAATATCAGGTCCTAATGGTGCTTGTACAATCCCATATTCAAACCCCAAAATCCCTCTCCAAACCATTTCTTTTCTCCTCTATCCAATGAACAAAAAGACACTTAAATAGTCAACTATAGTTTTGTGGGTTTTTTCCTATCAATAACACATAAAAATTTATAGAATTCAGAGTCACAGAAGACAGAATAAACAAGAAGAAGAAGAAGAAGAGAATTTCTCTTCTTTCAGTTTGACTGATTTGACTATAATCTGATAGTTATGAAATAGATAAATAAACAGATAATAAATTCTAATCTAGCATTAAGCATTGATTATGATTGAGATGGGGTTCGTAAAGCCGTCGTCCGACGACGTCGGTTAAAATAATGAGATTCTTAACGTAAGCGACGACGTAGTTTTGACATTTGCTTTGACCATTTGAATATTAAGCGGCTGCTGTTACGGTTTTCATGCTTTTCAGGGACATAAAACTGATTTAAATTTAAAATTCATCAAAGAAAATTCATAATAATACTGTATCAGTTTTCTTTTTACTCAGATCAATTTTCATCAATAGAGTTATAAGCACAAATAAGATTTAAAAAAAAAATCTCAAATGTTCGTCATAAACTAAACTATTTGTCTGCAATAAAGGAAAAATAGTTCAGAATTACGTAAGAAAAGGGAAAAAACACTGAAACATAAAAAGATAATTCGTCTTAAAATACAAGATTAGGGATCTAAAAATACAGACAATTCATTCTTCCCAACTATTTTAAGTTATTTAAAAAAGAGAACTTCAAGACATCTCTTATGATTTTAATAGACTCTTTTAATTTTATGAATTTTTACTGTTTAGGCATCCATCCTTTGGGATTTCAGATGTGGTTTCTTTTCAGAAATGGTTTCATTTGAAATTCTCCATCTTTTGTTTGAATGCTTAAGGCCCAGTTTCTCAATTGTGACTTTGGGCTTTTCAGTTAAAATAGACAACACTAGCAGTTGGGCTATTCTTTAAATAGTAATGGACTTTGATAGAGCTGATCCCTGGACCTCTTAGTTTTTTAGTGTCAAAATGGATCATAGCACGGGAAATATTGACACGGAACATGATTTCCCTAATAAGAAAATTAAACAGTTAAGATTAAGTTTAAATGGATTCGTATCATAAATGAGTGACTCATACACGGTATGAGTTTAAACGGTTATATCATGGGTTAATTTGTCTAATCCGTTTATTTAAGGGTAAAAATATAATTTCATATATAATATGTATATTAAGGGGTTATAAATGTTACACGTATTGTGTTCTAACCCGTATACGATCTATTTAACTAAATTTAGTTGAATTTTTATTTTGTATACTCATTTAATTAAACGGATTGCATTTATCGTATTTATATCATTCATTTAATTTTTGTGCAATGTTCATATATAAATATTTGACATGCTTATAAAACAGATTACATTTTTGTTGACTCTAATCATGTTGCATGTTAAGTAAATTTTTGTTCAACCTAACACGCGAAACCCATCTTAACACCCTATTTCGATATTTGAACCTTAATCTATGTGTAGTAACTTATTCTTGTACGTCCAAAATGCCTATGTTCCCAAGTTAAATTAGCATTTCCACAAAAAAAATGCGTGATAGACAATGTTATGGATTGAAACGCTATCCAAGAAATAGAATATTAATATAGGATAGATGAGAAAACAGAACATACATTTTTATCCATTTCTTATAGTTTTATGAATGATGTTTGCATGTAAAACAGCAAAAAGATTGCTTCATCAGCCGTCAAACTGGCTGAATATTTCGTTAAATGTGATAGCTAGAAACTTGTAGGATAAGTGTTTGAATCAATACTACCATTCACAATTTAATAAAACATAGAAAATAAATATTTTCTTTTATTATTATTTAGAACGGTAAATGAGTGGAGTTGAGCTTTAACATTTAACTCTCTTGTGTACTCAAATTTCAACTTAATTCGATTTCAAAAAATTGAACTCAAATTTGGTTCATTTAAAATTATCAAAACACCAACTTGAGAATTCAAGTTTGAGCTCACTTGTAAGTTTTATAACGATGGTCGCGATCTCCCTTTTAAAATTCAGACTCGACTTATTTGTTAAACAAGCTTGGTAAATAAGTTTAAACTCAGTTCATTAACCATGTTAAACAAGCTTTCAGAGTGGAGTTTTGAATAATTCATGAACATGCTTGACTTATTTACAACTCAACTCTTAGCTTGGGTCAAATTCAATTTATGATAAAATCATTTATACTAAAATTAGGAAAAATAACAATATTAAGAGAAGGAAATTAAGCACAAATCATCAAAAAGAAAAGCCAAGATAACCGTTCTTTTTGGGAGAAAGTATTGACAAGTGCTAAGTCCAAAATAGAGAATCAAATGATGGTAGTTGAGAAAGAGAGGAAGCCATGTTTTACTTTTGGCATCATTGCTGGATTTTTGCCCATATTAGTGTTCTATGCTAAACTACTTTCATGAAATGTCCTCACTTTTTGTGAGGTATGAGTAATGAGTGGCTAAGCTTAATTGCCATCCCCCAATTACACCATTTTCATGTGCTCTTTGCAAATAATTTACTCAACTTGGATCCCCATTTGCAGATGGCAATTTGAACTAAGGTCTAAGAATAAAAACGTAATTCGTACTCTTCTTCGTATGCAATATCAATTGAATACTTCCACAAGACCTATGCTCATGTATGTTTTTTCGGTTTTGATTACTTTCCGTTCATCCGTGGAGCCAAAGGGGCTAGCTCAGGAAGAGTGTGCATTTTGGAGGACAAACTCATGACTTAGAGTTCCACTAATATACTTTACTTCGATCTACATTTAAATTTAAATGAATGAAAACTCAGTTTATATAAGGGGAAAAGTTTTTAATTTAAAGCTAACTAGTCATATGGGATATCCTTTTTGGTGCAACAAAATTCAACAGGACAATGATAGGGTAGCCAAAGATCTATGGAACCTTATCATTCTAACTTTCTTTGTACATTTAGGTTCTCTTCTAAAACTATTGGAACTTTGTTCAAAAACCCCATTGTTTCATTTTCATAGCTATTAAATTCTCACACTAACCTAAAATTGTCAAGAAGCCAAGAAAAACTGGGCACCAGTTCCAATCAGATCAAAGTGAATTTACATAAAATAATACAAAGACTGGTTAAATCAAGTTACTGGACCCAGACAGTTGACACCATTTCAACCTCTTTGGAATCTATAATTGTACTAAATGATCAAGCAACAATTGAATTTAATAATTATGAAATGATATTTAGAAATCTTTCTTAGTTTAAATAAAATAGTATTTAAAAAGTCAAGTATGAATAATTAATGAAAATAATGTGCTGGATGGCACTTCCTGTTATAGGAAAAATTAATAAATTTATGGTTAAAGATTAGCATTTTCAGATTTTTTTTTTTTTAATGCCTCTTTTGCAGACTCGAATATATATAAAATTTCATAAATAATATTCATCAGCCGTCAAGCTGCTCATACTCCAAGGTGATTATGGTGTAATAAAAAAATGTCTTTAAAAAAATACGAGCGTGATGTCTCGTGATACGAGACAGATATTCAATAATTAAACTATTGATTTAAAAACTAAGTTATTTTATTAAAGAAATAATATCTGTTCAAAGACGAATTCTTTTTAAAATATTACATAAAATAACCCTTTAACTCAAATAATCTTTAGTAAATGAAACTTTTATCATTTCATAAGGAAAAATTCTTAATTTATAAATGAAATTAGCGAATAATGTTATTGTTCGTGATTTCTTAAAATTATTTTGTAATATATAAAAAAACTCTTAGCTACGAATTTGATGTAAATAATCAGAGAAGAAGCATTAATTAAACATTTTAAATATGAGATCTTTTATATTAGGAGTAACATAATTATTCAGTACTACAAATTATTGAATGCCAGACTCACACGATACTCTCATGTGCTCCCACGTGATATTATTATAATAATAATAATAATACATTTTTTTAAATATTAATAAAAATACTTCATCTGATATTAAAACAAGTATCCATCTTGTCCTGCAGAATTTACAGTCTATAATTCTGACAAGTCATTTCCATAATTACTTCGGTAGGTTTCTGAGTGCTGCTCTTAGGTACAGTGTTAGTACTATTATTGTCCTTTCAGCTATGAGTATTTCATAAACATTTTTTTTTTTTTGACAATATTTCATAAATAATATTAATCTTAAATGCAATAGATTGATTATGATATAATGAAAATATATTTACATTTTTTTAATTTTAATATGGATAAACTGATTTCAATATCCTTTACAAAGTATTATGTTGACATAAATTAATTAAAATATTTAAAGGGTATAATTTTATAAATTAAAGAATTTAATTACTTTATAAGACAGTGTAAAAAAATTTTAAAATTTTTTCTTCACTTTGACTATGAAAAATTTCTTTTGGCCCCTGAATTTTAAAGTATAACTCTGCACTAGCCATAAAACTTTTTTTTTTTTTTATGTATCAATTTATATATTTGGCATATATATATTTTAATTTATTAAATAGAAAACACATATGTGTTGATATATTAAAGAATGAGGATATATATATGTATGTATATATATACACATAATGAGGATAGCAAGCAAATTTTTTGTATTATGTTGAAACATTGAAAAGATTTATTGGGTCTAATAGTCATTATCTTGGTATTGAATTAATTGTCCATTTGTTTTGTATGGCAAAGGCTTCACCTAAAAGATTTAAATGCCAAATTTATGTGACTTTGACTCGGACAAATTTGATTAATTTGCCTTCTTAAAGTTAAAGCAATACTCACCAGAAATTAAATAATTAAGATGGATGATAAATAATATTAAGCATGCATATTGATGAGATTTGTCTCTGAAAATCAAATTAGATCTTTTTTTTTTTAATTTTGGCTCGTGAATCATGAGAAAGGACAGAACAAAATTATGAATATATAAATTGTTTATCATATAAACTAGAGATATTTGATTTGGTTGGCATTTCTACTTATACGAGGATCGAGAGATCTTAGATTCAATAACTTTTAAGCATAAATGTCTTTTTGGTACTCCTAACGAAAATAAATCGTGGTCTATGCACAATTCATTTTCAATACAATTTGCATTTTAGAAAACTTTTGTTTATTCGATCTGTAATGATTTGATTCAAACCGTCAAATATGGGGAAATTCGTAGAAAATTAAAATGTTTTACT